TATTTCACATGTAGCTGGGAAGTTCTGGAATGCAAAATATACGGACCTGATCGGGGCAAGAAACGCCATGAGCACGCACAGATATACGCGCTATATACGTTGTAAATATACTTTATAATATACTTGGCAGTGAGCGACTGAGGATTCTCGATGACAAAAAAGTGATATGTCACTGCAACCATGATAAGGAGAACGACTGCCGTTCAAGTTTATAGTGCAGACCTGATAGAAATCAACTAGTAAAGTGTGTTTCAACTAGCAGTGTGGCGTATTGTTACTGAAGACGGTTGGAAGATTTTAGATTCGCTGACCTTTTAGATTCATAGCCTACCCTACTAGCAGCTCCCGCCACTCACTACACGAGTCATAGCCTACCCTACTAGCAGCTCCCGCCACTCACTACACGAGTCATAGCCTACCCTACTAGCAGCTCCCGCCTACACGAGTCATAGCCTACCCTACTAGCAGCTCCCGCCTACACGAGTCATAGCCTACCCTTCTAGCAGCTCCCGCCACTCACTACACGAGTCATAGCCTACCCTACTAGCAGCTCCCGCCACTCACTACACGAGTCATAGCTACCAAACTATGTGGCGAAGGATAAAATCACTTCAAAAGTGTTTGTGTAACAATTGATGTCATTATATAAGGACAAAAAAGGTTGAATTTCAATAATTGTAAGAATCTTTCTTAGAAATTGTCAAATACTATGTTTTATGAGTTGTCACTGTTGATAAAAGCAATATTCTTAACGTAATAATGTAACATTTTTCATGTTATTATATGCGAATGGAAACACATTTTAAAGTGTAAATAAACTATATTAGCCAAAATGTTATGTGTTAGAGTTGCTCGTATGTTCCATGGCGGCATAAGCCAGATCGAGTGCTTGTGAGTTCAGTTCGTTCACCCAGCCTACAGGTCATGGCGGGAGATCTGATTCCGTTCGATGAAGTTGTTTTTGTTGTTGTTGGGAGAGGGTTATATGGAGTGTAACATTAGGTACAGAAATGTGACATATTGAATTGTTATCCCATATAGAGTAATATTGCTTCAAAAGGACTCACTCGAGATAATGAGTGTTCCACTTTCGGACCATATATATCTTTGGTTTCTTATGAGATTGTTTGAATGATTCTTCTTCCTCTTCTGTTTAGGTGTTTCAAAAACAACATGAAAGAGACCGTTACAGCGTTACTGCGATCTACACGTTAAAAAGCTTATGTGCTCTTAAATTAGCTTGGAATGACATTAAATGTTTTGCCCGTGTTTCACTGTGGGCTATAGGACTACACGTCTGATATAGATATAACACAATTATTCAGAATTCGTTTGTTGTGTAAATGCGTTACCCGCTGGGTAACTGAGGTCAAAGGTCAAGGTCACGAGTGACTTAGAGATCACCAATTCACGCACGTTTCATTTTCAGCAGCCACTGTGATCATTGCGTGTCGACACTTACTATGACTCATGCCCTCACAACCGTCTCCTAAAGCCCAATGCTGATCTTCACAGAGTGCAAATAACCGAATATAACAAATCATTATTCTCTGAATACAACCAAACCTTTCTTTTGTAAATGAATTTTAGTGAGAGGATCGAACGAGTCTACGAAAGGGTCGACTTTCTAGCCATAGTTACAGGCTCAGTCGGACTATTTTCAATCGGAATATTTGCTGTCCTAGGATAAATGATTTGGAAACAAGGTGATATAAACATCAGCAAGATATTCCTTAATTTGAACTCTGACAGAGCGTGTGAAGACCGGTGCAAAAATCAGCATCCGAGTTCAGTTTGGTGATACAGTATGATTTGTACGGGTGCCCCCGGGGCTACGGGTTAGTCCAATAAGTCTGAGTTCTATATAAGCAGAGTGCGACGCTTATCATTTGTTTCCGTCTGCATATCATAACATCAGTAATTGTTACCCATTGTATTATCCAATTATCAAATATACGAATCTTCGACGTGTGGGAGTCGAGCGTGCACTTGTTATGCTTGCAGTCTCAACAGGTTCAGATTTCAAAATATATGGATCGGAATAATTGCGCCGTCAGCTAATATGTCTTCCAAAGAAACATTTTGTTTAATGAACTTTGATGAGTGAGTGAGTGAAATGTTTGAACAGCTTTCAGCTGTAGTACATGAACCGCGCGGCATTGCTCACTCTGATGTTCATTTCCTTATTGTACAGCAATGTACTGCCTTTACACCATTCAAGCTTAACGATTTATGCCCTTAATTGAAATATGGGTCATTCGGAAAAATTAAAGAAAGCATAGAACCATAAATTAAACCTCTTTCTGTTGACTGAAAGATCCTGTTTCATTACAAAGAAAGTAATTATATTTAAGACGATATAAAACTGTCATTAATTCTAAGCCGGCACATGACAGTGGCAGTGGTGTGTTACTGGTTGACAGTGTAATCTATCACTCCATCAACCTATTGTTTTCTCTGTGGCTCCAGGGCCGCCTCGCACTCGGTGCGTCCGCGTGACGTCATCAAAGAATTGATGGCTTAAGTTAGTGTGAAGTGTAACAATCGAAGCGCCCTTGTTTATTTAGGCATTGTTCATGAGACGCTCGTCTTAATGACTCGCTATGTCAGATGTATTCTGTACAACAAGGGCGCTGTGACGTGGGACTGGCTTTGTCTTGGGAACTAAGAAGCTTTACTCTTGGCAAAACCATGACTCACTTGATGTGATCTTTTCACAAGTTTTAAAGAATATTCTCATTTTGAAAAAAATAAACGACAATGAGATATGGTTTGGTTTGTCTAATGGTGATCAGGACTTACAGAGTTTTCTGATGTAAGACGCATCTAATGTCACAGATCGAGGATAATGTGTAGGCATCGCGGTTCTCGTTTTGTCACCACATGCCGATATCTGGACAAATTATATCACTGCCTTATAATTTACTATAACTAATGGTATATTATAACCAAATAATATATTATTGCTATACAATTTATTATACCCAATTGATTTATTAAAACCAAATGATATATTATTGCCATACAATTTACTATAACTAATGGTATAATATAACCAAATGATATATTATTGCCATACAATTTACTATAACTAATTGATATATTATAACCAAATGATATATTATTGCCATACAATTTACTATAACTAATAGTATATTATAACCAAATGATATATTATTGCCATACAATTTACTATAACTAATTGATATATTATAACCAAATGATATATTATTGCCATACAATTTACTATAACTAATTGATATATTACAATCCAAATGATATACTAATACAATATGGTTTACCCTAACTAAATGCTATTTCATAAGCCAATAATATACTGTGTGGGGGCTGTGTTTTACGCCGCTCTTAACAGTGTTCCTGTTATATCACGGCGTGTCAGCTTAGTGTCGGAGGAAAGCCCGAAGTTATGCAGGTCTCAGACGTTTACCACTTTGATGAAACCCATGAGCATGGTTATGGTGCTGACAAACCTAGAAACATAATCGGGGCGAACCGGGATTCGAACCCACGATCATAGGTTTCCGTTTCGTGGCACCTTAGACGACTTTGCCACCCGTGCCCCAAATAATATACTAGTGTCATATGATTCACTATCACTGATGATATATATTATAATTCAAACCAAATTAGTCTTACCTAACATAAAAATACAGTGATAAAAATACGTCCATATTAACATTTATGAGCCACCCGTTTAGGGTTATTCGAGATTATTATTTGCATTAAAATACAAATAGAATATTTAAACAACAATGAGTTATCACAGTATTGTCAATAGCCCAACAACAATAAAAGAAACCCGGCCACCATGATATTAAGACATTTGTTTCCTTTCGAGTCAACCATTGCAGGTTTTGCCAGTGATCCAGCACAAGTCTTGGCGAGACAACCGTACTTTCTGCAAATCATTAAAAGTATTAACATTGCACATATTTCTTTGCTAAAATGGCACATCATTACGTCATTAAACAAGGGACAGTGTAATAAAACGTAACATTATGGATCTTTAAACCGTACTTCATAGGTTGTATTGTAAAATAGATTTCTGTGTACCTTATAACAGCGACGACGGTAGGAAAACAATTGTATTAGGTCTGTGATCACTCATCTGCACTGCACAAAATGCTAGATTGGAAACTATATGGCTGATATCTTAACATGCATAATTCAGAACCCAAAGAACAGGCGTGCAAACAGAAACGATTGCATGACTCTGAGCTCAGTTTAAACACAAAGCTGCTGAAATGAACCACACTAAATGGTAATTTTGTTGAAGGATGAATCACTGAATATTGTTTTACGACGCCTCATTGTTTAGGAGGCAGAAGGTACTGGGTATCTCAGTTACCTGTGATAGTTTGCCTGCTTTGATTATCTCTCGGATTTCCATGAAACAATGCTTCAGTGTCTCGGTTCCGTTCTTGTTACTGTGATTGCAACCGTAAACTATGCGACGATTCGAACACGAATTCCAACGCTAAAAGCGAAACGACTGTCCACACAGACAAAATAATGACAACTGCATATTATTATTATTATTATTATTATTATTATTATATCTGAAATATTTTCCTGTTAGGTGAAAAGACCAGGTAAACCAAAGAGATATTGTTCTGAAGGAATCTAGTTCAATTCGGGCCACACCTGAAACCCCATAACCGATATTCGCTTTCACATGAAACTTATCAGAGTTAACAAAGGATGACCAGAAAATACACTGTCACGTTATGTTTTATCTCCCCAATCTATCACACGTCGTGTCGGAATTGGCTAAGTATTAGACATGGGTATGGCAGCAGACGACAGTCAGTTGCGCCTAAGGTGCTTCGTCCTCCACCTGCGGCAATCTCTGACAGGAGTCGATCAGTCAATGGCGTCATTGTTTTCCCCCATGGCTCACACGTTCATCGTCATTGGTGACGAGTTGAATAAGCCACGCCCCCTTTTGTCACGAGAGGGGTGTATAGGGTCGCGTCCTCACTTCACCCAACACACCTTCCTTCAACCACAAGACGACACTGGGACGGTGTCCATCTGAAGTGTGCCTGCAGTAGTTGAGAATAAGTGACCCCGACTTGGTACAGTGAGTTAACATTATTGTTGTGATAGACTGATATTATACATAACGATGAACTCCGAGGAATCAGCAGCAAGTATTTTCATGTTTACTGAACGAAAGCCGGCGCCACCACCCCGAAGTGCTTTCGTGGAATTCTTCAGGAGCAAAATTCTGTGCCGGAAGGATGACCCTGAGGAAGAGCGTAAGGCTTTACTGAAGAAGGAAGGTGGCTATAGGATCACGTACACAGGGCTGAGTGAACATCGAAGGAAATACGTTGCGGACATTTACATCACGCTCATCGACCTGGAATGGAGGTATGCTATCGCGGTATTATTCAACGTCTTCCTTGTAACGTACTTGGTGTTTGCTTTCTTCTGGTGGCTCATGGCCTACAACAACGACGATTTCGCCAACTTGGACAATCCGGATCACGTGCCATGTCTGCTTGGCGTCAAGTCGTTTGCTGGCGCGGTTCTGTTCTCCATTGAAACGCAGACAACAATTGGATACGGGTATGCCTACCCTAACGCACATTGTGCTGGAACCTTACCCTTAATCTATCTGCAAGTCACGCTGGGATTTTTCTTAGAAACAGTTCTCCTTGGTTTTATCTTTGTGAAAATAGCCCGCCCCAAATATCGTGCTAATACCATCATCTTTAGCAAGAACGCCGTGGTATGCCAGGAAAACGGCCAGCTCTGTTTACAGATAAGAGTGGGAGATTTGAGGAAAACACATCTCGTCGACGCTCACCTCACGGCCATCATGGTTCGCAAGAAAACGACGGAAGAGGGCGCTGTGTACCCTTTGTTCCAGTACGAGGTCGAGATGGAGGCGAATGGAATGGGCGACAGGATCTTCCTCCTTTGGCCCCTCATCATCACCCATAAGATTGACGAGAACAGTCCATTCTGGGACATCAAGCCTGCTGATCTTTGTTCCGAGAAGTACGAACTCCTTATCTTCCTGGAGGGAACTGTTGAAGCTACGGGAGAGGTGTGCCAAGCCCGGACGTCGTACGGACCCAAGGAAATCCTTTGGGGGCACAGATTCGAGCGAGTTGAAGAATATGACCTGGGTATGAAAAGGTGGCATATTGATTTCACCGGGTTCAATGACGTGGTTTACTGCCAGAACCTACGTCACAGTGCAAAGGATCTCTCGCAGTACGCTGGCAGCACCCAGAAACTAGATACAACAGGGATCTCGAAACGCAAGTCTTCAGAACGACCGTCCCCAAACCCTCTTTCCCTCAACAGCGGCGTCCGGTACGACATGACGAATCTGAATGGTGCCCAGAATATGGCAGAAAGCAGCAGCGGAGCAGCCCTCCTCAGCAACGAAGATGAGACATCAACTTAGGTGAATATCTCTTATATTACCCCCTAGTGGGCGACTGAAGGGCCGTGTAGGCAGTAGGCAGTAGGCAGTAGTGGTATTACTTATCATACGGTCGGTAAAGTGATTGAGCCTGGACTAGACACAGGTTACTGGTGGTGTGAGTATTGGTCACTGGGGATCACGACGACACATATCCAGGCCTGGGGTCATGTGCAACCCTAACAATATTAATATTCAGTAACCATTTGTACCATCCAATCCACATGGCTAGGGTGGATGTTTTATTTGGATTAGATGCGAGTTGCAATGGGTAGTTTGAAGGATCTATGGCTAAGTTGGCTAACTGGGGGGTTGAAGTGTAAGTTCGTATGGATTGGTAGGTGTTCTATGTCAGATGTGAGGTCCACATATAATTCCCTTAGAAGAATTTATGGCATACATGTCCTCTTTGTTTACGTAGAAAACAATAAAGTGCAACATAAATGAATACATATGTCACGAAATCACAAGACTGTTTCTTACCGTCTGTCATTCAATATTACATGGGAATGTATATATGTCAGTGGTGATTAAGGACTACATAATAATATTTATTTTAATAATGGATTTGAAATAGCTTCCATGTCTCATGTATGTCATGCGTTGTGTTATACACTCTATTAAGTTGTCATGTATTTCTTCTTCTTCTTCCAGAACTTGGATTTGTGATTTGGTGTTACGCTGTTGACTCCAGGAGCCTTCGTCACTGACAACAACTGATGATATATATGTGGCCTTAAAACAATGATCTGCGCGCCATGGGATGACATATGGAGCTCTTTACATTATGTAATAGGCATAGGTTCAAACGGCGCAATAGAGAACTCTGATTGATTCAGTGTTTATTATTTATTTGTTGTCATGTTGTAAATATTCTCCATGTACATCTATTTCTAATCACGCAATGAGAGATTGATTTTCATTGCTCTTGTAATTCATACCTCGCATTTGTAAATAGTTTTATAATAACTCTTTTTCATTGTTTAAATAAACATCGTGATTGTGTCAAACTGTTTTTCTTTGTGCTTGTGAACATCGCTACACAGTCAAACCTCCTTCCTCAAAACGAACACATATATACACTACTCAAACCAGCTACGAATGGTATGTTTTTGAGGTTAATATAACTAAATAATAGATTATACAAGAGCCATTTTTGGTCCAGGGATATACATAATTTAAGAAATGAGGAAAATCTTTTCAAATTTTTGTCTTTTGTGTTGTGAGAAGTGCCAACATTTCAACAGTGCGATCGCTGACGTAATTCGCACAGCAGTTGCAGATTGCGATTGTAAGAAGTTTTGGTTTAAGATAGAAGCACTACTGCAGAACTGTAATGAGAAGATACATATCTCGTCAGGGAAGTGGTTTATCTATCTGAAAGATTTACTACACCCGACTCGTTGTAACAGCAAAGATGGGTTGGATGTAAGTGTCAATGATTACGACACATGATGATGATGAATGTACTTATTGTAACAGTATCAATAATCTACGGGAACGTATTATCTTAGTTAAGATTGACAAATCAAATGAAGTCACTTTAAATAGGCAAATTCCCGGGTACTGATGACAATCCACCCGAATGTTTCAAACACGTTAGTTCAATCGAATTGAATATTATTCCATGCTCTATTGGATAGCGGTTTTGCTCCGGGCTGTTGGAATGTCGGCTTGTCGCCATTGTATAAAGGAGGATGTTTATGATCGGTATTATTACCGTGGTGTTTCTTTGTTAAATTTAATGGGTAAAACATTCACATCTATCCTTGAATCCAGAATAGGGATTTGGCTACAGGTACAAAAAGTATTAAATGAATGTCAAGCTGGTTTTAGACATGACTATTCAACAAGTGATAATGTATTTGTCCTTCAATCTTTATGTCAAAAGTATTTGTGAAAACTACACAGATTCTATGCAGCTTTTGACTTGACAGAAATGAGCCTGTGTTTACTTCTTATGAAAGGTGTACATGGGAAAATGTTTATAATTCTGAGATATGAATGACACGCTTGTGTTAGAATCGGAAGTTCGATCATGTGAAGTACGCCAAGGATGTATGTTGTCCTGTTTTATTTATATTTTTCTTTATGAAAGAGCTAGTGTATCAATTGAAGAAATGTGGACTGATGGGTGTTTTTATGTCTGAGATGGACTAAACGATATCATGCTGCTATTTGCAGATGACGTAACATTGATTGATGACACTGTAGTATCATATTATATGCCTCCAACGAAACAACGATGTGTAAAAATGCTATTGTAACAAATAGGGCCTAGAAGTTAACCTAGAGAAGTCACAAAGTGTTGTTTTCAGAAATGCTGGATACCCAAGAAATACAGAAAAATGGACATGATGGTAGACATATGAAAGTAGTATCCCACGATAATTAGATATGGTCTCACATCCAGATCTGACAAAGTCAATACTTTTTAACTTAAGTGCAATAAATGTAATCATAATTTCCATTTTCTTGCAGCTTGTCCGTTTTATATGAAAAACAAGACTACATCCCAAGCTACTGTTACATGCATCGATCACAATATTGCTATATATTTGGAAAGAAATCTGCCTGTATAATGCATCTTATAAACCTCTAACGATGTCACTGTTATAAATATAGTTTAGATTTTTCTCGGGTAAACCCGTAAAGGAATTATTCCCTCAGAATGCCCGGGTAAGCGGGCATTCCGTGAAATTTAACGTTCAATAAACATGCCTCTTGATGTGAACACACTTGTGTTTGATGATTGGTTAAAAGTAAGAAATTTGTTTTAAACATGAAAATTCCACGACGTGGATCGAACCTGCAACCTCACATATCGTGTTAATTTTGTAACTCACTGAGCTACTGGGGCAGGTGATGAGAATTTGTTCAGATTATCATGTCAGGACTCCATCTAGTCCAGGCTGCACGTGTTTTTTTCTCTCGCACGCTTTGAGCTATTTCCTTTTCATACCGCGATACTGTGCTGTTTCACTATAGGGTATGTCGATATTTTTCCTGGTATTTCTTGCATTTAGACGGTTCATAAATAGGCCCTCCCCTATTTCCCTCCTCCCCGGGCTTACATTCTCCGTCAAGACCTCGAGGGGAGTTTATGTCCATAACATAAGTATTGTATTGAGATGTATTACATTTGTCCTACCTGTCCATGTGCCGAAGTTTTTTTTATCATGTTTTGTACTCCTTACCATGTGGCCTTAGATACCGACTTAACTTCATAAATGGTGAATTGCAGGTGCGAAAATAGCATTTTCTGAAGAAGATCGGTGTAGTGAAACTGCCTATCGTTTTGGTCGAAAACCTGCTGTAATGGAAAATTGCATCATTGAAAGTTTCGGCTATTATTGTAGGGTGGGTGATTTAACTGTACTTTTCAGCCCAGACTTAGCCCCCAGTGACTATTTCCTGTTCCGGCAAATGAAATCTGCCCTACGTGGAAGACGCTTCCAGGATGACGAGGACATAAAGGCTGCCACAGAGGCGTGGTTAGAGGGCCAATCTGCGGATTTCTATAAAAGTGGTATTAAAAGCTTGAAGGACAAATGGAATAAGTGTATTGAGGTGAATGGAGATTATACTGAAAAATAAAAGTGCAAAAGATATTCTGCGACTTGGTCTTATATTGAAGTTGCAAAACTTATTGAACGCCCCTCGTAGGTCGATGCTATAAGTGACATTGTTTTGCAACATCAGGATTTTTTTAAGAATTCTGCTACAATTGTACCCGGAAAAATCATATTCATAGGCGATGATTTCCTTATCCCCTTTCATTTTTCTATGTAATAAGACCCGGGATCCTTTTCATGTTGAAAACAAACGTTGTGACGTACTTCATAACCAAACACAAACTTTTGTTGCAGGCTATACAGTAGGACGGATATACAAACACTGCAAATCCTTGATTATCCAATCTTCTCACTTGGACTGGGCGATTGTTGTTTGTTGTTTAACGTCCCAGACGGCAATATTGCAGCATCCTGGACCAGACCACGGCTTAGGGTAAAACCCTATCCACAAGACACCGACACACCTGAGGCCGTGCAACTCGGCCCTGCGAATTCCTGGGTCCCTCTCAACACTATTACGACTTCAGCAACATGAAGGCCTCGGGCCTATTCCCGACGGGTAGCTGCTCCGTAGGTCAGTCGCAAGACCAGACAGATGAGGAACTCTGATGGTCAGTGATGATGCCGCCCGCCCGGCAGATGTTTACAGGCTGACATCACACAAATGAAATAATGCCGAACGGGACCTCAAAGCAGGAAAGGGGTTCAAACATATAACGCTTTTACCACTGGACGACCCTACACCCATTCCCTATGAAAAAGTTCTTTTTATCATTTTATTTCTTCTTCTAATATATAACTCTGTTGGACAGCTCTTTCTCACAAATATATTTCCCCGTCCCTAACTTGCTGACAGATTGGATAGAGCTTTTTGGAAAAACAAGAGTAATGAAGTAGAGATTAGATGTTCAGGGTGAACCGTGATTCGAACCCACATTCATGTGTTTCTAGTGTCACCAAGGGATACAACTCTGCACACCGAATTGCAGAACCTAAGACAACTGACCCTCCCTTGCTCTGCTGATCACTTGATGAATAGGTGACAAAAAAAACAGGGAATGCAATGGTTCACTGATTTGAATTTGTTGTCATGAAAACCTGAAAGACAAATCACCAGTTCATGGCTAGACTGATATCAGTGCGAAGTTCGATCATGAAATATCGAACTGTCTTTTGAGTTATGATATGGAAACAAAGCATAACCAATCCCCACCTTTACGGTGCGGGATACTAATATACATCCATACTTAGTCCGTTCCAAAAGGAATGGTGTGCACATTTTCCATTTCAAACAAGACAAAAATTGTGGACAAAATAAGCAAAATAATGTGTCTTTTGTATTTTTTTAATTTCCCCTTTTATAGTTTCCACTGCTTAGATGATGCCAATCTGTAAAGAAAAGAAGGTGTAATAAGTAAATGCAAAACTAGGATAACCAAAGAAATATGAAAATAGCCCACATGTCATGGATGAATCATTTGCAAATATGTTGCTGATTAGGAACTAGTTCTTCGTATTATTAGTTTCATGCCTTTAATAATCAGTTTGCCCAAGTATTGAGGGAGTTAACCTGTGTTAAACATTTCTCAGTTTCAGACATTTTAAGTGTCTGCCTTCACTTTGAGTGAGTTTCGTTAAACCCCGCTTTCAACAGTATTCCACTTATATCAGGGCATGTCAGCTTCATGTGGGAGGACAGCTCCAAGTGACGCTGGTCTCACACATCTACGACTTTGGTGAAACCCACGAGCAAGGATATGGTCCTGACAAACCCAGAAACAATCAGTGCCATAGCACGACCATAGGTTTCTGGGGTGACCAAGGAACACAACTCTGCACAGTGAATTGCAGTGCACCCCTGCCCAATTGAGGCTTAAGACTATTTATCATAATTGACACAGAACAAACAAAATTCATGCTTTTCAATAATGATTGTGTTATCAAGCAAGCAGATGAGCATACACATACTAAGTGATGTGATGAAAGAAGCAATTTTTACAAATGTCCATACATTTCCTGCTTCACATGGTCAGTAACAAACCTTCCTTGTACATTTGATACCCATCAATACTACATAGAAAACTATAGACCAGGGGCATCCACCACCTATGAATACATTCAAGATCCAGGAAGAGGGAAGCCAGCACGTTCACAGCCTAATGAGATTCCAGCTTCCATTGCCACACAAACACCCATGTTTCTCACCTGTCTGAAACATGCCCTGACCATGTGTTTACATCAAATGTCACAACAATTGCAACACAGAAACTAACCGTCCCTACCATCTTGCCACTAAATCTCAAACTTCTAATGCCACTCTTAGATATATTTATCAACATGCTGAACTTGCCTTGTTTGCAACATCCAGAGCATCATAATCTGATGCTAGCCTCACGTAAGCTTTCTTCTCCCCATCAGGTCTGAAAATAAAAGACAAAAATATCACGCCTATTTCACAGACAGTTAAAATCAAATCTACATCTGCATTTGAACAATGTCAGTAAAGATGTGGTTATTGGAGAAATAGATTGTCCCCCTTGAATTGTGAATTCATCCTTTCAATAGAACCATCCAATGCTTTATAAATATAGGAAGTAAAATCATGCTGAACCAAATATATGTGCTATCTTCGCAACTATGTACAGACTATAATAGACAAAAAAAACCTGCTGTTTCAGGCCAAATGTTATGCTAACATGGCCAAGCAAGTTAAATTACCAAAAATAAACCTTGTTTCAGTTACCATGACACTCATCAGAGACTAAATGAGGGCATCAAACAATGAGAAGAACAAACATGAATCCTTTACTTCTATGTAAAGTAAATCAATCATTTGTATTAGTGAGGGAATGTTGATTAAAGCATCAGTAATATTCCAGCAATGTCACTATTTCGATTTCAGTGAATGAAAGCATTCACGGAGGTTTGACGTCAGGTAATTGACAAAGTCTGACCACCCGACCCATATTTACAACAAGCATGGGGTACTGGTGATCTATTCTGACCCTGAATTCCTCCAGAGGTCATGTGGATTAGAGTGAGTGTTTGTTGTTGTTTAATGCTGCACTCAGCAATATTCCAGCCATATGACTGCTGACTGTAAATAATCGATTGGACCAGACAATCCAGTGATTGACATCATGAGCATCCATCCATGCAATTGGGATATGATGACATGCATTGTATTAGAGTGAGTATGGTTTACACCTCTTTTTAGCAATATTCCAGCAGTATCACGGCAAGGGACACCAGAAATGGAATTCACATTGGGTTTCTGGCGTGACAAGCAAACGCTTTAATCACTAGGCTACCCCACCGCCCCCCACGTGTATGCTTACTTCTTACACTCATGCAGACAGGAAATAAAAGAGTACATACCTGACCAAAGTGTTTACTTTAGCGACTTCAATATCATACAGCTTCTTGACGGAGCTCTTGATGAGGGGCTTGTTGGCTCGCTTGTCCACGATGAACACCAGAGTGTTGTTGTCTTCGATCTTCTTCATGGCAGACTCAGTGGTCAGGGGGAACTTCACAATCTTGTATCTGTCCAACCTGAAGGAATTACCAGAAGGAAATTAGAATTAGTAAAATCTAATCTAGTAAATTTTTTTTTACATTTGTATACTTATCCTGCATTATTCCTTTTAATGCAGTCACTGCTTACCTTACAACAACAAAAAGACAGCACACAGCGATGGTCTTGGGTGAAGAAAAAAAATTGTTTCAAAGTCCCACTCCATCGCCACTGTCATCGGACCTTTATGACAAGTCACCTTCCTCAAATCACTGCCTGTCACCCTAGCTTAAAACACATACTTTTGAGGTTTCTGAAGCCAAAGTGGGGAGGCAAGTCTTCGACAGGTGGGTCCTTAAACGTAGTAATGCAGGATAAGTATACAAATGTAAAAAATATTTAGATTTTACAAAATTATTTTACTTATCCTGCATTATTCATATTGCATCTGTTCCGCATACATATTTAGTAATAAAGAAAATATTAGCTAGGTACCTAATTCTTCACTTACTATGTCATAGAGCCAAGGCCTGACAAAAATGATTGTCTAATTTTCTTGCACTGGCCGAATCTCAGTAGACTGGCTCTGTATAGGTAACCTGCTGGCCTACTATCAGAGGACCAAAACTTTGCATGCCTTTCCGACTTCCTCGAGAGTCACATCGCAAAGGTAATGACTAGCAAAAACTGTGTCTGACCTCCAAAAACATCCTTCCATGATCATTCTAATAGAACAGTTGCTATGAAATGCCAACGGCCTGATCATGTGAGAATTATTCAAACTCCTGTTTTTTATACGGACCATCGCCACTGTCATATGACCTTGATGACAAGTCACCTTCCTCACATCAACGCCCTGATCTCGTGAGGATTACTCGCCCTCGGAAGATCCAGTTTGGTGATCTCGTAAGCCTGAGGATGACTGCGCATAACCATAGAGATATGGTGTTGCGACTACCTTCGGTCGTGGATGTAGGAGACACAGGTATAAATAACTGCTTCCTCGAACCATGTTGAGCGTTGGAGCGGCGGATGAAAACATTGATGCTGGTTCTAAGCAGTCTCAACGTGATGAGGCGGTAACAAGGTGGACACTTCAGATAACGTTCGTTGAACATGGGGAGATTGTGGATCATTCTCGTCTTGTCCAAGTCCTTCATGGGTACCAGGCAGGTGTGAGAATAAAACCCCAGTGTTAACTATGGGGTGTGAACCATCTCTACAGCTCCTTTCACCAACAGTATGTATGTTGGATTTTAATAGCAGATGTTGCTTTCTTGGATAATTCCAAAGCAAAGGAGCTGTGGTCAACAGTGGAGTTACCTCGATGACTAGACCGTAACAGTCTATAGTACGTTGAGTATGTAAGCATCCTTGAGAATGGTCCAGTTTTTCCAGAACAGATTCAGTCTCCTGCCTATGGGGGAGTCACCAGTCATGGCAGACCAACACTTCAGCGTTTACCCCTCCTATCACCTCCCCTGCCCTGGTATTTACCACGACAGGATTGATAAGCTTGAGGTTGCCTCTGCCACGCCCAGGGAATCCTGGTCTTGGCCTTCCTTGAGCGACACACGTCTAGGCTTATTGGGAACTTTGGCCTTTGATATGTTCATTGGACAGGGAAGTAGATGACCAAGGCTGATGTAGCAGCTTGAACTCAGTGTCCCGGTTGGAAAGCGCTAAACAACCAAGTCTGCGTGTGACGGTAAGAGCTGCCTTAAGATGGTTTCTCATGGACAATCTGACGCTGTTGGAAATTAGCCATAGTTTGGAAATGGTGTAATCAGATAGGGTTATCCTCTGATAGATCCTGATCCACCTCATGCGTTGACGATTTTGGTGCTGACAAAGGTTTCAGTACACAGCTGATTTCCGTTTCTATGAACGCAAATCACCTTGTAACTTGAGGGTGGTTGGTCCTGACGAGTTTGTCATCCTTTGAATGTTCTCATCTGAACTATGAGCTTGGGCTGCGACCGCAACCGCATGGATAGGATAGGAAAATCATCCTTCATAAACATGGGTGGCTTAAATGACGGAGCAAGTGTAAGCTTGGAGAAGTACATGGCCAATGATCTTATCATGTCTGTCACCTCGGATCCGCTGGCAACGATGTAGGATGTGACCATATGGTGTCCCTTTTATCCACCCTGTTACCAGGGGAGGGCGCCACTGACATGAGACGGTCTGCTACCCATCCGAGTACTTGTGCTAAGCCTAGATGCGTATTCCACTTCACAGAGGAACCGGTGCGTAGCGCCTCCTCTATCAGAAGGCTTTGATGACCTGCCTTGGCGATAAGGAGTGATGCGCCGATGTCCATGTACATGCTGGCGTACTTGCGCTGCCCAAGGATGTATGTGCTGTTCCAAAACGCCACATTAGGCACCTATGTAGGCGCTAACACTTGTGCCATAGTTGTAGCCGACAGTAGACTGTTTAGCGGTAAGAAAGCGATGCGCTCGGCGTAGGTCTATGAGACGCAATGACTGGATCATGGCTAACGCCTACGCTATCCCCCATCAAGGCGTCTGGAAATGCAGACACCGATGTCACTGGGATCATAGATCTGGATGTCCCAGGCGCCTGACAATTAGGAGCAGCTACAATACTCACAATAGCCTCCGGTAATTGGTTCGTATAAAAAGCAGGAGTGGGACTTTCTTTACCCAATACCATTGCTGTGTGCTTGCTTTTTATTGTTGTAATGTAAGCAGTGAATGCATTGAGGAGTAATGCAGGATAAGTAAAAAATAAAGCATTTTGTGAAAACTGTGCTTCAGCATAAAAGACCAATCTTTAGTAACAATTGGGCTAACTACAAAACTTAAATTCTTAGAAATAAAACTTGCATGAGTACATAAATGAACAAGAAGCCAGATAATAGCTGCAACAAGTGCACTCATCGTTTGTTGTTTAACGCCACACTGAGCAATATTTTAGCTTCATGACGGCTGTCTGAAAACAATAGAGTCCGGACCACACAATCCAGTGATTTACATCATGAGCATCTACACATTTGGGATATGATGTTATGCATCAACAAAGTCAGCAAGCCTGACCACCCAAACTCGTACAAAAATAGACGCCTGTTACAGCAAGCATGGGTTGCTGAAAACCTATTCTAACCTGGATCTTTAAGGGTCTGAGCACTCATCAAACTCTTAGTAAATCTTTCTGGTTAGGTTGCATCCATGCATTGTAACCACCATTTCAACACCCAACCATGTTGATTGAACAATGAAATGGATGCAACCATTCTTTCCAAGTAATACCAATATAGTTCACAAATGTTCATATCCTGATCAGTATCTCAACTGTAAAAGTAATTTCTAGATTTTCTACAATGGGAATTACCTGTCCCTTCGTGCAACGCTTTTACGAGGATATCTGGGAGCTCTGGGCAACTTCATGGTCTTAGGCCTCCTGAATTTGACCGAAGTCCTGGTTTTCCTGTTTCTGTTATCATGTACACCACGAAGGACGGCTTTCTTTGCTTTAAGCGCCTTGTCCTTGGCACCTTTAGGTGCTGCTGGTGCCTTTTTGACAGGCTCAGCTTTTGGTTTGTCGGCCTCTGTAACAGTGGGTGTGATATTAATCATGAAATATAATAAATTTCTAAAATAGGTCTTCCTTATACAACAATTGTAACATTTACCTTTATATCTAAGTGAGTTGTGTTTAACGCCGCTTTTAACATTATTCCAGTTATATCACGGCGTGTCAGCTTAATGTGGGAGGAAAGCCCGTAGTGATGCAGGTCTCAGACTTTTCCACTTCGGTGAAACTCACGAGCACGGGTATGGTGCTGACAAACCTAGAAAAATAATTGGGGCGATTTGAACCCACAATCATAGGTTTCTGGCGTGTCCAAGGGACGAAACTCTGCACAGCGAATCGCAGCACCTTTTACGACTGGGCCACCCTCTTTATATCTAAAACTCTGTTGATAATTCACATGTGAAAGATTCTCTTTATTTTCATTTCTCTCCATAATGCAGCTAATATTTCAATAAATGTTCTTTCTACAAGAACACGAACAATGCAATACTGCAAGCAGTGCTCAAAATTAAAGGGGGTCCTTGGTTCCATGTATTGTGCTGTGATAGTATTTGAATGCTGAACTTGAGGCACCCCCTTAATCATTTACTGTTAACATTGGAATTGTGACCAGGACCCCTTTGGCTTTCATGACTGTCTCCACTGGTGACGTATTCTCTTTCCCAAGATCTTTTTGTATGGCGAAACGTGGCTGCTAAGTCCATATTAACACAACTATCTACTCAATGGATAGAAAGAGACCACTCTGGGCTATTAGACGTAGCTATCTTAATAACAAGCATGGTCATTTTCAAGCCGTTCATTAACAATAGTGTTGTGTAGAGTGTTCTTTACTATCAGATAACAGCATCAGTTCTTTGGGCCACAGGTTAAATATCCCCATGTCACGTTTTCAAACCTCACCTCTTTTCATTTCAGTTTTCAAGCCCCTAAACAATATGTAACCATACACTTAAAAAATGCAATCAAGGTAGACGCTTTTAAGCCCACTGAAGGCTTCAAAGTGTTCACCACTTGCTGCTGAAGTTATGTTACAAATTAAGCTTAAGGTGGTGAGATATTCAGTAAGTAATGAATACCCAAAAACATACTTTTACACTTATGCACATCTTAATTAAACTTCATCTGATAACTTTGCATCAGAACAACAGTATGCACCCGGCTGCTGTTTGTAAACTTCTTGACTGTAATGTCATGTGACTGTTCATGTTGTGCATCTAGTTTAAACTTGAATGTCATGGACAGGCCTCAAAGCTGCGACTAAAACGGTCACCAATGCAACCAAAATTTCAATTTGTCTAAAATTCAGAGGTAGCCAAATGACTATCTTCAAAAATATCTTGTGGTGACTAAATTCTATTGCTACACATATGTAGACACAAAAATAAACATTTCTGCTACCGATTGTACTTGCAAATAATTCCTCCTAAAGTCAACAATGATCAAAAATGCATAAATATTATGGTAATTAGTATTTTATTTTAGTTAGTAGTTTTTTGGATAAGCAAGGATATACCTATATAATCTAGTAACATAAATTGTATCATTGTTCGTGTCACAAATAACAAAACTCAAGTACAGCATGTACAGTTTTCACCAACATACAATTCCAAGACTAGTGCTATGACTTGTACATATAATAGTTATTTCATAAAAGATAATTTCAAATGCTTTTGGATACCTACAACATTGGCTCGACTTCTTGATTTTACCACTGCCTACCCGGAAAAAAATACTTGCAGCCATATGGCTACTTAGTTAAATACTTAAACTTTGAGGCCTGATGGAGGGGCTCAAAATTATGTGACTGTAACAAGATGGTACCCGATCGACTCGTCCAGCTTAGCATTATCACTATAAAATTAACAAGACATAGTCATTTGATAATCCAGTGTTAGCAAAAATAAATGTTCTCAAAGATAAAATGTAATTTTAGTGTATTGGGATTGTTGTAAGACACATAATCGGAAATACTATTTATGGCCTCGAAAACACAGTACGCGAGGATATATTTGACCCACAAATATTGAAAACAACCCATTGTAGCACAAGTGTACTTGGATGGTCAATCTCCTTACTATTATACCTACTCCAGGCACATGACATTGTAATGAGTAGGTACAAATCCTCAGACTCCCAATAGACCAGTGTGCCAGTCAAAGACCAATAACAAGATCACATAACTCTGCACTACACCGTGATGGACAAAGCATTCTTCCCAGGATCATTAAGCGACAAGAGGTACAAGAACTGGTAGGAAATCAATGCTATTTGCTGACTGTATGTACACTCGCAGGTACAGGAACCGGGAAGAAATCAATGCTATTTGCTGACTGTATGTACACTCACATAACCATGTCTCTGTGCTATTTGAAAAAGCAAAATAACAGGCATGATCCGTCACACGCGTGCACAATTAGATTTAAACCATCAAGTTCTTATTGGTCGATTCAACCGTCATTACCGATGTGAATAACAACATAGCTCTTACTTTCATACATGAAGTAACTTTTATCAAAGTGTGTACGATCGGGCTTTTTCAGAACCAACAACATGTGCCTTCACCCTATCAATTTGTTATGGGCTTGATTGTAACGTGATGCGACACTTCTATCATCATATTAAACTACTTTCCACAAGTACGATAATTAAAAAGGGTATCAGTGTACTTATTTCTTGTGAACAACGTTTATTTTTTCAGATACATATCATGTTTTGTACGCACTTGCCGCTGGCTTCTTCTTAGCAGCCATGTTGGTGTGAAAGAGACCGAGTTGGGGCTACACGTGCTAGACCACGGTGGACGGGCACTTGCTTCCGTTTCCTGAACTCTGTTGCGCATGAAAAGGTGTAGCGGTTCCGCTTCCGCTAAATTCCAAACACATGAACACGAGCTCTGTGGAGATTATCCGTCCATGTACGTTAGACAGTAGGTTCTGTTTCGAAACAGATCTGTTACTATAATTTTAACCCAATTCGTAGAAGAAACCCACTTTCATTGCAAATTGACGGTTTCATTGAAAATATTAATGGTGTTTCAAGGATTCACCGGGTCGTCATTGCCTTATTTATAAGACAACATGCAACTAACGGTGTAAACACATGTTATCAGATCAGGAGAAAATGTGACAACATTGATAAGAAAAAGCCGCCTACCTTTGTGGGTAAAGGCAACATTTGTTCTTATTTCAATCCTTTATTATTTTTACTACCGTTGTTACTGAAAGGTCCAACAACTTTCTATACTTCTGTACTGGCAACATCCAGAGGGACAGCAGCTTTCGTAAATTTAGAATTCCTACAAAGTTTATAAGCGGGTTTTGGTAAGTTCGTACCCAAAACGAATTTGTACCCCTATGGGTAAATAAATTGTGTTATATGAAATAACCCCATGCAATAAACAATAAATTACTTGTATATGAAAATATGCCAATGTTTAAGAAAACACTGAGAATTGAAATGTGTATTTAACTAGAGCACCTTCTCAAGTGAAAATAAATTGGTGGGGCAATATGTTATTTCAATAAGATTAACATATGGGATTTATCTATCGATCGATGCTAATCTTTAAGAAAAGACTGTTTCAATTTATTTACACAGTTGTGATGGAGATTGGAGATGTTTATTTAACGAACAGCTGATGACATTATATTCAAGCTGTGAGAGGGCTTTCTAGACCTGGCTCTATGGTGATTGAATTATTTGTCTTGATAAATGTATGTGTGTGTTTTCCTTGAATGTTACAGAGAATGAATGCTTGACTGCTTAAATCTGAATGCAAATGTTTTTTAACATGTGATGTTTTGGTTGTGTATGTTGTATGATAATAGTTGTATGTCAATTTTTATATATGTGTGGTTGACTGTGAACGATTGCATGGTAATAAGCTTGTTTTATGACATCTCAACAGCTTGACTGACTTTCTCCAAGGTTAGGGCTCCATCAAACAGAATCTGTCTGAAACAACCTCATATTTTACTGGTCCAGACAGATCCACCTTGGCCATGCTGGCAAACACGTTGCAGTCATCGTTGATGAAAATGGCCCTGCCTGCAAAAATTCACCTGCAAAGGTTACAGAACCACCTTTTCACCAATGCAGGGCGTTTTTTGCTTGGGATTGTTTTGGCATGGGGGTTACTTCAGTCATTACCCATCCTTAACAAGGGGATATGCTGAACCTGTTAAAAAAAGTGTTCCGCCATGATTCGTCTTTCATGAAATTACACATACTGTTTTCATGAAAACAAAATGCTTATTTGAATAATTTAATTCAGCTTTTATTTTTCAGTTGATATGCAGAATTGATCATTTGCACGACTTACTGCAATCAATCCGTCCGTACCCCACTGTCCCAGCTGTGTGACCAGAGTCATGTCTGCAGGTCGTACAATTACGTCGGCTGTGGCCAAAGACAGGGTCATTTCCAAGTTCCCTCAAGTAAGGACATCAATTTTAATTAGGACTCATAGTAGTATGTCTTAATTTCAAAATGTTCACAAATCACAATTAAGCTACGGCATGCTAAAGGTTTTGGCAATAAAAAAGCAGTCATTATAGATGCATCTAAGTAGAGAATGAAAACAAATGGTTTGTTTGCCCTTACGATCGTCCAAGCCACAAAAACATGCCAGACTAAATGCATTTTATGATCCTGTTCCTTAGCAAATTGTTTTTGTACTGTCCACAGCAGTGTGTGATTTTGAAGTGATTGATACACTGTCAGAGAAAGTTGTCAGAGAAAGTGTTTGAACTTGATTATCTTTCAGAACTGAACTGAATATGATGAATGTTTTTCGGTCTGTCTCTAATGTTATCATAATCAAAAATCAAAAACTCGTAGAGTGTCCTGTGTCGTCCTGGTCTGTATGTACAACCTGGTGAGACTGGCACTCGTAAAGTGTCCTGTGTCGTCCTGGTCTGTATGTACAACCTGGTGAGACTGGCACTCGTGTCCTGTGTTGTCCTGGTCTGTATGTACGACTTTGTGAGACCGTCACTCGTACTGTACTGTGTCGTCCTGGTCTGTATGTACGACCTGGTGAGACCGGCACTCGTAGTGTCCTGTGTCGTCCTGGTCTGTATGTACGGCCTGATGAGACCGTCACTCGTAGTGTCCTGTGTCGTCCTGGTCTATATGTACGGCCTGGTGAGACCGGCACTCGTAGTGTCCTGTGTCGTCCTGGTCTGTATGTACGACCTGGTGAGACCGGCACTCGTAGTGTCCTGTGTCGTCCTGGTCTGTATGTATGACCTGGTGAGACCGGCTCTCGTAGTGTCCTGTGTCGTCCTGGTCTGTATGTACGGCCTGGTGAGACCGGCACTCGTGTCCTGTGTCGTCCTGGTCTGTATGTACGGCCTGGTGAGACCGGCACTCGTGTCCTGTGTCGTCCTGGTCTGTATGTACGGCCTGGTGAGACCGGCACTCGTGTCCTGTGTCGTCCTGGTCTGTATGTACGGCCTGGTGAGACCGGCACTCGTAGTGTCCTGTGTCGTCCTGGTCTGTATGTACGACCTGGTGAGACCGGCACTCGTGTCCTGTGTCGTCCTGGTCTGTATGTACGGCCTGGTGAGACCGGCACTCGTGTCCTGTGTCGTCCTGGTCTGTATGTACGGCCTGGTGAGACCGGCACTCGTGTCCTGTGTCGTCCTGGTCTGTATGTACGGCCTGGTGAGACCGGCACTCGTGTCCTGTGTCGTCTTGGTCTGTATGTATGATGTTGTTCCAGGCCTTCCACCCGGATGCAACACCTTATCAGAAGATGAACTTCCACCCCAAGGTGAAAGCAGCATGTACAGAAAACAGAACAGGAAGAGTTGGGTAGGTAGATATGACTCACCTGTCCCCTGTAGTCACCATGGGCTTTCCAGGATAGAAGCTGTTCCCAGTAACCTGTGTTTGGCATAAGTGGCGATTGTGTCACCAGACACTGCTAGCATGGGAGTTTGCTCATATTATCAACCACTCTTTTATCTGACTTTATTGTTTACAGACAGTTGTCCTGTATATTTCAGGTGGCCCTTTGTTACCCCATTTATCTATTTTACCCGTGGGTACCCGGGGTAGATTAGGTCTTCAGCAACCCATGCTTGCCGTAAATGGTGACTATGCTTGTCGTAAAAGGCGACTTATGAGATCAGGTGGATTGAATGGTCCATACTCAATTATTTACAGACCGCTGTCATATAGCTGGAATATTGTTGAGTGCGGCGTTAAAACAATAAACAAACAAACATTTGTCTATTCTCCATTTTACTTCAGATTATATTTGATAAATATATTTGTGCATCCATCAAACTTTGACAGTTGACAGTTTTGTGTTCCAATGGTGTGAAGTGTTTGCCGTGGTTATCAGAAAGATGTGTTTGTGGTTGCAGGTTGAAGATATCCAAGGCGGTGCTGGTGGGAGATGTAGCTGTTGGGAAGACCTGCCTCGTTAACAGGTGAGAGATTGTGTGAGATGCACCTAGGACAAAGGCTGTCAGAATGTGCTTGATATGGTGGGGAAGCCTAGTTGTTCCTTAAACGTTCTCTCGTCATGCTAAATATCTGTTTGATTTCTAACATGGGGAAGGTTTGTGAAACCAACTTTTAAGGGAAGATTGCTAGAAGCAGTGCAAACCATACTCAGTCAAAATACACTCAGATTTGAAAAAGATGAGCATCCTTAATTATCAGTGTATTGAGACTTCACATGACACAGCTCTGAAAAAGTCATTCAACTGGAGCCTGTACAGTCTGTTTGCAGCAAAAAACAAATTGCTCTGTATATTAAGAAACTCATTCCTCAATCTCCCCAAATAACATTTATTAACCCCAGCCGATTCATTGTTGTTTTTTATGAATTGACGTACTTAACTTACTTAACATGCCTGATATGTCTGACTTGATTATTGACAGGCATCAGTGATGTAGTCAGTTGTTGTCACAGTTTGAGTGTTCCCTGCCACATGTTCCAGGTTCTGCCATGACGTGTTTGACCGAGACTACAAGGCCACAATAGGCGTTGACTTTGAAGTGGAGAAGTTCAGTATTTTGTCCACACCCTTCACCTTACAGATGTAAGTTGTTCAGGCCATAGCATACCTCACTCAGTCGGCAAGGGGCAACAATTGTTATTGAGATGTTTTTCTGGGTATTTGGTTCAAGTCAGTCCTGTCTTTTTAAGAATTTTACTGCCAAAGTAAGATGCTGTTTTTTATATCAATGACTGGGAGCGGGCGGCCCAGTCTCCTCAATTTGCTGTGCAGAGTTGCCTCCCTTTCATATGCCAGCAACCTATGATCATGGATTTGAATCCCTGATTTGCCCTGATTATGATCCTTGGTTTGTCAGTACCGTTTAATGTAGTAAATGTCAAAGATCTGCATTTCAAAGATTGTAGACACATGAAATTTAGGAGAAACTGTCAAAATAATTTTGAAGCATTGTTATTATTTTTTGAATGGGTGACAGTTACATAGAAGTTGTCATGCAAGTGTGTTAGGGATGGCAGCATGATGACCATTAAACCTCTTTATTATGCAATGTCATTTTTAAATGCTGTCGTCATAAAAGTATTATCATCTCTCAGAAAGGTACCTAAAAATTGCAAGTTAATCATGTTAATAGTTTACCAAGAATGTGTGCATTTATATATCACATGTTATGGTTTGTGATTAGTCAGTCAGACATTGACCACAGGCAATATAATTCCAACTGAAACTTTATTTTTGACACTGATTTTGGTATCAGGGATTTACCCACTACACATAAATGGTCATGTTTTACTGACAGATGGGACACAGCAGGTCAGGAGAGGTTCAAGTGTATAGCTGCATCGTACTACCGGGGAGCCAACAGTGAGTACCACACAACTAGGGGAGGTCACTCTGCCCTTTGTTCCCCACTCTAACTGGCTGTCATGCAGTGACTTCTATAAGGCTAAGAACAGCAGTGTTTCTTCTGCACCACTGCACCACTGCACCACTTTAAAACATGTGCATAGGGCCCTTTCAATTCTATTTAAGAACCTATATTTGATTTCCTGGGTTGTGTTCATCTGTCATCTGTCATGTAGTGTAGGCAGTTGGGGTTTAGCCACTACCAAAGATCAAACAATCTGGCCTGACTTTATTTCAGTTGAAAAAATGAAGTTGAAATGCCTCATTTGTTTTTTTTTTATTAATCTTATCCTATCTCACACTACGCATTTCTTGCTCCTTCTCTCATTCCTTGTATGGAAACATCGTAAAACAAGGTTTCCAGATTCTAAAACTATTTCATTTTTTAACTTATCCTGCATTACTCCGTATTACTCCGTATTGCATTTACTGCTATGTTTGACAGAGAGACGAACTGTGTGAGATCCAGCTGCTGAAGAAAGTTGTCCCAACCAGCCCAGGAGGCAGCGCCCTCTCACAGTCGGCACGTGACCCGGAAGTCATGACGTCACAGAAAAAGACATAACTGCTTTGTCACCTCCACGGACGGACGTACTTTGTATCCCTTGTGGAAATTAAAGCTTATTATATGTTTTTTATATTTTGCGTGTTTCTACATTCATTATATGCTGCTACATTGTTACCTGTTATGGGCCGTGACCTTAGGGTCTTCCCATTCGTAAATTGTAACGTTTATCGCTCGTCTGTGGCTCACGTCACAGTAATTTACGGGCGCAATGTTGTTCCGCCATTTTGTTTTCTTTCCCGCCATTTTGGCCATTCACCACGTGGCCACGTAATGTCGTGTTCTGCGTTTTGAATTCTCTCTTTGGCTTGGGTAATACATTACATTTATGTATGTTGTTTTGGTGTGCTTAAAGCCTTGCCTTTTCGCTACCTCTAAGCGTAATTGTTTCTTCTCATAAACTTCAATATAATACGAAGTTTATGAGTTACATTATGTCTCCCGTACTCTGTGGTTTTGCCACATGGTTACGTGTTTGCTTAAGGCTTTGCCTTTTCGCTCCCTTTTAGCGTACTTGTTTATCTCATAAACTTTAATAAAATATACTGTTTTTGAGTTACTTTATGCTTCCCATACTTTGTGATTGGCCACACATTATGCTTCCCGCACTTTGTGGCTTTGCCACATAGTTATGTTTTGCTTAAATTCCAGATTTTCTGCCTCGCTGCACTTGTTGCCGCGGGAACAAATCTGGCCGGGGCCGCCCCTTTCTGCCGTGATTGTACGACGCCCTGTACTTTCACAAGGCAGTGCCGATGTTGCAGTCATTCGTCGCTGTGATCCTTCAGCTCATGAGCGAGTATCCAGGACACACCTCGCTCAACGTGCTCGTCGACCCCCACCTACGTTGACGGCAGCAGCGCTCAGCGGAGCTTCACGGCGGCTCCCAACGTAGAGTCTGCCTCCCATGGCACGACATACGACCGTTCACGGTCTCCTACTCCACTGGCGGCTCCAGCGCTCCCAACGTAGCCAGCGCTCCCAACGTAGAGTCTGCCTCCCCTGGCACGACATACGACCGTTCACGGTCTCCAACACCGTCAACGCTGATGTCTCCGGCGCCCCCGGCGCCTCCGATGTCTCGGCGCCTCCGGCGCCTCTGATGACTCGGCGCCTCTGATGACACGGTGCCTCTGATGACACGGCGCCTCCGATGTCTCGGCGCCTCTGATGACTCGGCGCCTCTGATGACACGGTGCCTCTGATGACACGGCGCCTCCGATGTCTCGGCGCCTCTGATGACTCGGCGCCTCTGATGACACGGCGCCTCCGATGTCTCGGCGCCTCTGATGACGCGGCGCCTCTGATGACACGGCGCCTCCGGCGCCTCTGATGACTCGGCGCTTCCGATGACTCGGCGCCGCTGATGTCTCGGCGCTCAACAAGCTTCATGACTTGTTCATGACAAGCTGATGACTCAGCGCCGCTGATGTCTTGGTGCCTCCGGCGCCTCTGATGTCTCCGCGCTCCGGCGCCTCCGCATCCTCTGATGTCTTCGGCGCTCAACAAGCTTCAGATCAACAAGCTTTATCAAGCTCAGATCAACGAGCCGACCATCCGATCTTCTACTGCGGCTTAAGGGGCACCATCGGCAATCGCCTCCCCGGCGCCACTGCCCTCTTCTCTTGCTGCCGTCTCATAACTCGTCACACGGAGAAGCATGGTGAAACAACTGTCGCCGCTCCTGTCGCTACTCTCCCGTCGGTCTTCGGGATCGTGACTATCGTTCTACTTCCTGGGTGGAATCATTTCAACCAATAGACAGTTGGTCTGATTCAACTTGCCCACTGAGACGTTATCCATAATCCCGTGGTTTAAAGCGCTATGATTCCGGAGAGATGACCTGCGGGTTTCCATCGAAACAGAGCGTCATGTGAACAGCGTCTGTATCAGATTCGACGACGACATCCACTTACAAAGAGTTTACTTCGTCGACATCGCAGACATCAACGCTGTTCTACCCTACCCTAGCGCCAGTGTTCCTGAGAGAGACTCTTCCTCGGCGCTCCCCGGGTTTTCCACGACGCCCATGGGGTTCCGTGTTTTATCGCAAAACTCGGGTACACCACTTGATCGTCTCTCACACAGTTCATTGAGGATTGTCTGTGTGTGGAGTTTGCACCTCAGTTCCGACTCCAAGGCGGTTTTCTCGGCTACTGCGCAGGGTGATTTACATGTCACGTGTCAAGTACTCGGACTGTCAACAACTCCGACCGGATTTAGGTCAACTTACCATGGCAAGGGGTGCCATGTATTTCTACAGATTGGTTTCCATGTCTACCTGTACGCTTGGTGATACCACTCAACCAGGCGCCTGTCGCAGTCCATCCATGCACGGATGTTAGACCTCCTCTACCAACACGGCTGTCACGAGGAACCTTGTTTCATCAACCCTTCGCTATAAGAACGATAGCGCCTATAGGCGTTCAAGGGATGGAAAAGATCGCCTTCCTCCGTCCGGTTTGATCTTTTCGACTACGACACCTTCCTATCTTCCGCCTTGACTACCGGACACAGTGTCGATTTGATACTTAAAGTCCCTCGGCCGTCCCACTGACCCCTGTTGCATACCTGCCTCGTATCGTGTTGTCGTCCTCCATCGTCACCTCGATATAAGAACAGGAGTACTTATACGCCGCTTCAGGGATGAAAACGATCTCATTACTTCGCGCAATGGCCATATTGCCTCGACTTCCTACTACCCGGTTACGTCGATGTACCGGCGGTCGATTGTGAAGCTGGTTTACTTCCTCTACTTGAGGTTGGCTCGCAGGCGATCACACCTTTTTCCGAATCGTACCGACGGTACGCAATCGCAGACCCCTGTTGCTGACTACCTCCCCTGCCACCTTGTCAGTGGCTAGTGGCCCACGCCAGCCCACATTGTGACCACCTGTGATCCAGAGATCAACACCATAGGCACAGCAACAGCCTCGAGATAAATGCTTATCCAGGACGGCACTTGCTGACAGTGCATTCTCGGTCACGCCCTGTTGATCGTGTCCACTGACGACGTCACCGTAGTGTGGTGTTTGCGGACCCAGAGTTCTCGCCCCTCTCCCGGCGCTACAAACTCGACCGGCGCCCCAGAGAATCACCATCTTCGGCGTTCCAGGCGCCTCAAGCTCTCCGACGCCTCACGCTCTCCGGCGCCTCGGGCCAGACTATGTGAAACGGTCGACACCCCAACCCTAGATCTGTTTGCCTCATATCTGAATGTGGCCAGCAGTCGTCTTCCATTCCACCTGTGCCGGATACGATCGCTGTGGCAGTCGAAGCCTTCCATCGTTCCTGAGAAGGATTACGCGCGTACGCTTTTCCGACTCCGGTTCTCCCTCCCACGGTTCTTCAGAGATCCAGGCCACTCGACCACTGCCATTGACTTTGGTCTCGCCTTATTGGTCAGCCAGAAGTTGGGTTATCGACCTCCGAAACATAGCCAGAGACAACCCCTGGAACTTCCGGTGTGGTCCAACCACACGGTCTGTTGCCACACCCTCATACCCGCATGTTATCGTCTGCACGCCTGACACACATGCAGAAAGCCAAGGGCTATTCGGCTAGAGCGACCAAGGCTATTGCTTCAGCCCACCGTCCATCTACAGGGGGACTGTATGCTGATAAATTATGCTTGTTCCAGGCATTTTGTTCTGACAAACACCAGGATCCGATGACAGCGTCACCGCAGATTCTGGATCAGTTCCTTCTGTACTTGTGTAGCACCCGTCGGTTGAAGGGCTTACCACCCCCACATACCTGGTCGCCATCTACTCCGTTCTGGCCATCCCGGGCGATCGGAGAAAGACGAAAATTTCCGACCTACGGGCCTGGCTGCGCTCGTTCAGTCTTGAAGACCTGAATACCAAGTTCGGACCGCCTGCGTTGGATCTGAATGTGGTCTTCAACGCCCTTCGAACCACTCCCCTCGTCTTCCTTCTACGACCTTAAGTAGAAGACGGGTGTTTCTACTGGTTTTGACTACTGCCGCTCGAGTCCATGTACAGCACGCCCTCGACGTCTCCCATGCCCGGTTCGAATGCGGTACCCAGGGCACCGTTCATCATGGACCGTACTGGGACGTCAGCGTAAAGACTCAACTCCCAGGACAGCCTGTTAGATCATTCCTTGTCCCCACCCCCCTCGTCCAGTGTGGGTGCCGAGGATGAGGATGAGCATCATTATGCCCAGTAAGGGCACTGAAGGTTATTCTACGATCTAAAGACTGCCGCAAGTCTAGGAAACACCTTTTTCTGCCGGTCTCCCCTTCGTCGCTGTCGTTGGTCAGCCGGAATACTTTTCCCTGTGGCTCCGGGCGGTCATCCTTAAAGCGTATGAGCCGCCGGATTGGACCCTCCCCCCAAAGGCTATTACCTGAAATAAAATGATATCAGGGCGATCGTATTTACACTGGTTCTTCACGGTATACTGTTCCATCCCGTCGTTCAGGGAAGCCTGTTCGTGGCGATCGGACACCGCCTTCACCAACCACTACTTCCGTGATGTAGCCTTGAAAGTTGTCGCCGGCGTTCACAGTTTTGGTCCCTGGTTGTAGCCCAACAGGTCATCTATCTCCGACGCCACTGATTCTCCGATACCCTGAGCGGGGCCCGTCGACCTCTCTGGTGTTTATCACCCCAGACGAGACGTCTCTCTTGCGTTCCGCATTCGCTCTTAGGTCAGTTTTAGTTTTGGGTTACCCGACTCATTCTATTGCTGTCACCTATCCGGGTTTTACTTTTTGCATCAACTCTCGTTTCCTGACGACAGGAATGGTAGTAGATGTGGACACCGGCGCCGACGCCAACGCCGCTGCTTCTCTGGTACCTGAGCGGTGCCCGTCGACCTCACCGGTGTTCCTTGCCTCCAGCTTAGAGGGCTCTCCTGCGTTTCGCATTCGCTCTTGGGATTGGTCGTAGATTTTGCCGCCGACGCCGCTGATTCTTCGATTCCACGAGCGGGGCCCGTCGAACTCTCTGGTGTTTATCACCTCAGATTAGAGGGTTCTACTGCGTTTCGCTTTCGCTCTTCGGTAAGTTATATATTTTGGCTACACGCCTCATTGTATTTCGGTTACCTATTCGGGCGTTTCGTTTTTGCATCGACTCTTGTTTCCTGAAGACAGGAATGGTCGTAGATGTTCCGGTCATCACTTGTATGCGGTGCGGATTCATCGGACCTTGACGAGGGTTTAATATGGTTCACATCTGCAGGTATGCCCACCGGCCAAGCCGTCTGATAAAGATGCAATACGGAGTAATGCAGGATAAGTTAAAAAAATTAGTAAAATCTAAATATTTTTTACATTTGTATACTTATCCTGCATTACGAAGTCTAAGTGCCCTCCCTTTCGCTACGCTACCTCCCCACGAAGTTTCAGATGTTATGTTTAAAGCAGTTATGTCTTTTTGTGTGACGTCATGACTTCCGGGTCACGTGCCGACTGTGAGAGGGCGCTGCCTCCTGGGCTGGTTGGGACAACTTTCTTCAGCAGCTGGATCTCACACAGTTCGTCTCTCTGTCAAACATAGCAGTAAATGCAATACGGAGTAATACGGAGTAATGCAGGATAAGTATACAAATGTAAAAAATATTTAGATTTTACTAAGCTGTGACTGATGTGGTGTTTGTAAGCCTGGTCTTTGGTGTTCTGAATGTTCTCACCTATCAGCCTTTATGAATTACCTGCATAAATGTGAAAATGTAACGTTAATCAGAGTTAAACCTAAATAAAGCTTTACTTATCATTTACCACAATCATAGGATGTTAAACATGGGCCGTCTGCTACCAAGAAGCCTAAGAGCGTTACTACCAACGCTTTGGTCCATTCCATCGTCAAATCCACTATCAAACCACCACTGCCACCTACCTTCTGGTGCATGTGGCATTCTCCGACCATCACCTGAAAGGCGCCTTCTCCTGTTAACACAGTTAAACCTAGAGATGTTGTCCCGCCATGTTCTACCTCCTCTCCCCAGGTTCCACAAGTTCTGTCGACCACAGCTACAATCGACACTTCTCGGACAACTTCCACATCAACTACTGAAATAAGGAGGAGCAGAGAGCGTCAGGGGAAAAATCACCGGTCCAAGGAGCGACTTTACAAGGAACGACATCTTGGAAAGCAACACAAGGGTCGACATTGAGAGGATCGATCTTCCAAGGGTTGACATTCGCAGGAACGATCTTCCAAGTGTCAACATTCGCAGGATTGATCTTCCAAGAGTCGACATTCCCAGCATCAATCTTCCATGGTTTGACATTATACTAAGCAGAAGTCTAAGGGAGATTGACATTGCACCAATGAGGAATATTCTGACTCATGAGTGTCGTCACTCTACAGATCAATGCTACACCTACACCCAGTCGCAATCATCTGACTCCGACCCTCATCGACGCTCCCATCGTCCCTTTTCTAGTAGGTATAGATACGACAGGTCATGATTGGGATAGATACACCTCTCCATCACAGCAATATCATCATATGCTGTACCAGCCGTTTGCCTCTCATGATCGTTACGGGGACCATCGATACCATCCTTTCTTGGACTACTGATAGATGCCAGATTACTATTGATATGCATATCCTCAAAATCGACATGAGGATAAACAAGAAGATCGGCATCGACCTTCCTCTCGTACATGTTCTAGTTCCCCGGCAGCTAGGAGTACAGGCCAGATCATCCAGCAGATCGCATTCCCTGTCGCCGGTACCGTACCGTGACCCCCCCCCCCCCGGAAACTACACCAGACAGTCAAGCTTCACCTCTTTCATCAACTGGCATATACACAAGGGTTGACCCTGTATTGCTGACATGCTCAATCTTCCTGAGCTTCCAGTGATGATCTACTTACAGGTTTTGTGATGTCGTCCAGCACTGCTTCGTCCATTACGCTGCCCCAAAGGCAGACTATGACAGACCTGCCTAAGAAGTTGGATCAGGCCTTTTCAGCTTTCCGTCGTCAAAAGGACAAGCTACTCCGAAGTTAGACGGGACTGTTTCGACTCTCAATCCCAAGTGCTATTCTAATACATCCATCATTGAAGACCGGGAACTGGCTCATCTTGAGATTACCATCAGACATACTGTCGGCTCCTCTTGTGGAACTAATGGACTGGAGAACCCTTCCTAATTGGTTATAAGTTGTGGTTGAATACTTCAAAGCTATGCAGTCATTCTTAAAACGATGTCATACGTGAAGACACATAATGAATGTTATACCCGATTTCATAGTGTTGTGTCCTAGTAAGCAGCAAAAGCGGTCATTTCACTTATGACATTCCTTCCATGTCTTTCAGACGCTATTGTGTGACAATCTTGTGGTTGAAGCATGTTTTGCATCAGCTTCCTCGTGTATATCTTACAGGCTTCAGTATCTGCGACCCACCATCCAAACATGGGATAAAATGCATCGTGTAGGATAGGATAAGTTTAAAAATTATATTTATATTCTTATCCTAGCTCACATGTTATATACCCATCTGATCATCCTCGCATCACAGTTACACTAGCCTGTCAGCTCCCATCTTCCCGATACAAGTGAGTTATCTGACGTTAAAAGTCCAATTTCCACCCTTGATGAACTACGTCCCTTGGGCATGCCAGAAACCTATGATCGTGGGTTCGAATCCTGGTTCGCCCCGATTATGTTTCTAGGTATGTCAGCACCATACCCGTGCTCGTGGGTTTCACCGAGTGGTAAAGGTCTGAGAACTGCATCACTTCGGGCTTTCCTCACACATTAAGCTGACACGCCGTGATATAACTGGAATAATGTTAAAAGCGGCGTTAAACCCAACTCACTTGCTCACTCACCTTGATGAACTAGGCTGGAATTCCTGGGCTCGATCGTAGCGCCACCTGTGGCTATTATGAGTTCTGTCCCTCCTATGCCTCTCCTATGGACCAATCAGATTCCAACCCCTCGTATCACTTGCGTTAGCTTCAAACAAAATGGCAGCGCCCAGTCAAGACTATCTGATCGATAATCAAGGTCTATATTGTGATAAGACGGATCTTACATCGCGAATTGCATCAAATCATGTGAGCTCCGTGATTAAAAACATAAAAAGATTCGAAATTATCTGTTGACACCAAGTTGGTGGTGCACATGCTTTGCAAATCCTGCAATCGACCAAGGTCTGCATGACAGTTTACAAACTGTATTTCAATTTCATTGTGCGATTTTGATTTGACTATGCATAGACTCGTTAGTCCAGCCAAAATGTAACTCCATAATACCAGCCTAGTTAGGCAAGAGTGGAAACTGAACTTTTATAGTCAGTTAACTCTCGTGCCTCGGGAAGATGGACAGCTCCAAGAGGGTGTCACATGATTGTGCTGCATGACTTTCTTTGTTTGGTCGGGGACTATGGTGATGCGAGGGGTGTTTGGGCAAAGTGGTTTTAGAAGCTGTAAACTTTATTTTACGATGTTTCCATACAAGGAATGAAAGAAGAAGGAAGATATGCGTAGTGTGAGATAGGAAAAGATTAATCAAAACAAAATAAATGAGGCATTTCAACTTCATTTTTTCAACTGAAATAAAGTCAGGCCAGATTGTTTGATCTTTGGTAGTGGCTAAACCCCAACTGCCTACACTACATGACAGATGACAGAAACGCTGAACACAACCCAGGAAATCAAATATATGTTCTTAAATAGAATTGAAAGGGCCCTATGCACATGTTTTAAAGTGGTGCAACTTTGTGCAATTTTAAATTTATTATTTATATATATGTTTATTAATTTATTTACTTTAAATCCTCCTTCCAACATCACTTTCAAAAGAAAATATGCCTGAGAAATATTAAGTTACTGTTTATGAGACACAGCCTTACATTTTGTGAGTGCCTTTGTGTTTTGAAGAGGTAGAAAATGTCCTAGTTATATGCTCATTGATAACTCTCTCTAGATTGGTGTATTGAGTCATGGTTCAGTAAGATTTAATCTCTTCTGATACTGGTACTGTGGAGGATGAAAAAGATGGATATTACCATAGTTACAGTATATTTTTATCTTGTTAGGGCTCTATGTCAATGCCTTGCTCACTCTTGATTGACTGTTCACAAAATCGAACTAGTCAATCCTCAATACTGACATCTCTAAGAGAAAAGTCAGGTTGCAGCTAGATGATACTTTGAAGTACAAACTGAGGCTGTATTATTTCTGTGTTTACAGTTGTGATGGTTGCTTTTGACCTGTCTGACGAGGCATCATTACGGAGTGTTCCCAAGTGGATGGACGAAGCATGTGAGAATGCAGCGGACCCCATCAAATGTCTTGTTGGAACAAAGAAAGATCTGATGGTACGCAGTGGTCTTAGTAAGGGAAGAGATTCTAGGGGTCGGGTCCTAATGTTAAATTGTAGGAATGTAGATGATGGTTTCACTTCCTCTAAAATTATTGATGCATATATTATCAAATTTGGTATACACCTTCTCTAGCATGGGGCCCTGCTTTGAAAGCGTTTGCGTTAAGATTAGTCAAAGGTCAAGGTCAGCATTCAGTGCTAGTTCCTTTTGCACCTTTACTGGCAAAATCCTGATATTTGGATCATTGATGGATCTTAAGAAGTTCATCAAGGTAGGAAGTCAGGTATTGTGTTCAGACTGGACCAATCTCATTAAGATTAGATCCTAGTTCCCACTACCGTGAAGCAAAGATCTGAGGACATCCCATTACAGGTCACGTAAGAACGATCTTTTCTTCCAACAACCAGAACATCACTTTCCAGATAGGGTAAGTGACAGTCGGGGTGTTTTCTAATCATGCAACCTTGAAAAGGCTAACACAAGGTATTGCAAATGATAGCTACAGTCTGTAAGACTCATTATGTCAAAATCCTTGTGTATCTCTCATTGGGCTGTACTGAGAGCGAGCCTGAACATGCTGGAAATACATGGACTGTTAAACTGTGGGCAGCTTGGAGACAATGGCAGTGAAGGCTATATGAACTCCTCCAGTTAGGGAATATGTTTGACTAAGCAGTAAGGTGTTTTTGAGTCAGTAACGGTTTACACCGCAGTCAACAATACCATTGTTATCATGGTTATCCTTGTCAGCAGGTCAAAACACTGCATCCAACAGCCCTCATTTGTCGTCTGTTATGACCATCATGGCGAATTAGGACCCCATTCTGACCCACAATGATAAATATCAACTCTGTGATAGCAAGTAATACTAATACTACAGGTGGAGTTCCGATTTAACTCCCTGTCTTACTTTTCAGTCTCCGGCTGGGTACATCGATGTCGAGTTCCGCGCTATGGCACTGGCCAATCAGTTAGGTGCTGAGTTTTGGGCTGTGTCCTCCAAGACAGGTAACATTATTACCAGTGAACTGAGATGACCTATTCTTGTTGAAATACCAGATATGCACTGTTCCAACAAACTAACATTGGTTCTATGTGATCATCACCATGTTTTATCTCCACTTATACAGGAGGAAATAGTGGGTGAAAAGGTGGTTTGTGGAAAAACAGGAAAGTTGGAAATATTCAATTTAAGTCCCAGATATAATAATGACATAACAATGTGGTGAACACTTGACAATATTTCATCTCATTCACCTCAGAGGTGTTATCCAGTCATCTCTGGTCATAGTCTATTCCACAATGTGTGGTTCAGTTTCAACAAAATACTTCAAATCATCAAATTACCATTACCAAAATGCCACTTATTTGTATAATGTGTTAATATCAATACACTGTGTTGCCCTGTGTTAATATCAATACACTGTGTTGCCCTGTGTTAATATCAATACAGTGTGTTGCCCTGTGTTAATATCAATACACTGTGTTGACTTGTGTTAATATCAATACACTGTGTCACCCTGTGTTAATATCAATACACTGTGTCACCCTGTGTTAATATCAATACACTGTGTCACCCTGTGTTAATATCAATACACTGTGTCAACCTGTGTTAATATCAATACACTGTGTCACCCTGTGTTAATATCAATACACTGTGTCACCCTGTGTTAATATCAGTACACCGTGTCACCCTGTGTTAATATCAGTACACCGTGTCACCCTGTGTACATATCAATACACTGTGTCACCCTGTGTTAATATCAATACACTGTTTCACCCTGTGTTAATATCAATACGCTGTGTCACCCTGTGTTAATATCAATACACTGTGTCACCCTGTGTTAATATCAGTACACCGTGTCACCCTGTGTTAATATCAATACACTGTGTCATCCTGTGTTAATATCAGTACACCGTGTCACCCTGTGTTAATATTGATACTCTGTGTCACCCTGTGTTAATATCAATACACTGTGTCACCCTGTGTTATTATCAATACACTGTGTCACCCTGTGTTAATATCAGTACACCGTGTCACCCTGTGTTAATATCAATACACTGTGTCACCCTGTGTTAATATCAATACACTGTGTCACCCTGTGTTAATATCAATACACTGTGTCACCCTGTGTTAATATCAGTACACCGTGTCACCCTGTGTTAATATCAATACACTGTGTCACCCTGTGTTAATATCAATACACTGTGTCATCCTGTGTTAATATCAATACACTGTGTCACCCTGTGTTAATATTGATACTCTGTGTCATCCTGTGTTAATATCGATACACTGTGTCACCCTGTGTAAATATTGACATACTGTGTCACCCTGTACTAATATCGATACACTGTGTCACCCTGTGTTAATATTGACATACTGTGTCACCCTGTACTAATATCGATACACTGTGTCACCCTGTGTAAATATTGATATACTGTGCCACCCTGTGTTAATATCGATACACTGTGTCACCCTGTGTTAATATTGATAATCTTTGTCACCCTGTGTTTATACATCTTCCCGAGGCAAGAGAGTTAATTGACTATAAAAGTCTAGTTTCCACCCATTCTGTTCCACCCGAACGAGGCTGGTATTATGGAGTTACACTTTGGCTGGACTAACGAGTCTATGCATAGTCCAATCAAAATCTCAAAAAAACGAAATCGAAATACGGTTTGTAAACTGTCATGGAGATTTCGGTCAATTGTAGGATTTGCAAAGCATGTACACCAACAACTCGTCAATAGATTTTTTCCAAACCTTTTCATGTTTTTAATCAAGGTGCTCGCGTGATTTGATGCACTTCGCGATGTTAGACCTGTTTTATCACAATGTAGATCTTGATTATCGATCATATCGTCTTGACTGGGCGCTGCCATTTTGTTTGAAGAAAATGCAAGCAGTGGAATCGGATTGGTCCATAGGAGAGGCTCAGAAGGGACATAACTCATAATAACCACTGGTGGCGCTACGATCGAGCCCAGGAATTCAAGCCTAGTTCGGCAAGGGTGGAAACTGGACTTTTAAAGTCAGTTAAATCTCTTGCCTCAGGAAGATGGTGTTTATATTGATACTCTGTGTCACTCTGTGTTAATATTGATACTCTTTGTCACCCTGTGTTGATATTGATACTGTCACCCTGTGTTAATATTGATACTCTGTGTCACCCTGTGTTAATATTGATGATCTTTGTAACCCTGTGTTAATATTGATACACTGTGTCAGCCTGTGTTAATATTAATACTCTTTGTCACCCTGTGTTAATATTGATACTCTTTGTCACCCTGTGTGAATTTTGATACTCTTTGTCACCCTGTGTTAATATTGATACTGTGTCACCTTGTGTTAATATCGATACACTGTGTCTCCCTGTGTTAATATTGATACTCTGTGTCACCCTGTCTTTATATTGATACACTATCTCACCCTGTATAAATATAGATACACTATCTCACCCTGTATTAATATCGATACACTGTGTCTCCCTGTGTTAATATTGATATTCTTTGTCACCCTGTGTTAATATTGATACTCTGTGTCACCCTGTGTCTATATTGATACACTCTCTCACCCTGTATAAATATAGATACACTATCTCACCCTGTATTAATATCGATACACTGTGTCTCCCTGTGTTAATATTGATATTCTTTGTCACCCTGTGTTAATATTGATACTCTGTGTCACCCTGTCTTTATATTGATACACTCTCTCACCCTGTATTAATATTGATACACTATCTCACCCTGTATTAATATTGATACACTATCTCACCCTGTATTAATATTGATGCGGTGTGTCACCCTGTGTTAATATTGATACTGTGTCACCCTCTGTTAATATTGATACTCTGTGTCACCCTGTGTTAATATTGATACTCTGTGTCACCCTGTGTTTATATTGATACACTCTCTCACCCTGTGTTAACATTGATACGCTGTGTCACCCTATGTTAATATTGATACTCATTGTCAGCCTGTGTTAATATTGATACACTCTCTCACCCTGTATTAATATTGATACGGTGTGTCGGCCGGTGTTAATATTGATACTCTGTGTCACCCTGTGTTAATATTGATACTCTGTGTCACCCTGTATTAATATTGATACACTATCTCACCCTGTATTAATATTGATGCGGTGTGTCACCCTGTGTTAATATTGATACTGTGTCACCCTCTGTTAATATTGATACTCTGTGTCACCCTGTGTTAATATTGATACTCTGTGTCACCCTGTGTTTATATTGATACACTCTCTCACCCTGTGTTAACATTGATACGCTGTGTCACCCTATGTTAATATTGATACTCATTGTCAGCCTGTGTTAATATTGATACACTCTCTCACCCTGTATTAATATTGATACGGTGTGTCGGCCGGTGTTAATATTGATACTCTGTGTCACCCTGTGTTAATATTGATACTCTGTGTCACCCTGTGTTAATGTTGATACACTCTCTCACCCTGTGTTAATATTGATATTCTGTGTCACCCTGTGTTTATATTTTTACACTCTCTCACCCTGTGTTAATATTGATACTCTGTGTCACCCTGTGTTAATATTGATGTGGTGTGTCACCCTGTTAATATTGATACTGTGTCGCCCTGTGTTAATATTGATACTCTGTGTCACCCTGTGTTAATATTGATAATCTTTGTCACCCGGTGTTAATATTGATACTCTGTGTCACCCTGTGTTAATATTGATAATCTTTGTCACCCTGTGTTAATATTGATACTCTGTGTCACCCTGTGTTAATATTGATATACTGTGCCACCCTTTGTTAATATTGATAATCTTTGTCACCCTGTGTTGATATTTATACGCTGTGTCACCCTGTGTTAATATTGATACTCTTTGTCACCCTGTGTTAATATTGATACACTATCTCACCCTGTATTAATATTGATGTGGTGTGTCACCCTGTGTTAATATTGATACTGTGTCACCCTCTGTTAATATGGATACTCTGTGTCACCCTGTGTTAATATTGATACTCTGTGTCACCCTGTGTTTATATTGATACTCATTGTCAGCCTGTGTTTATATTGATACACTCTCTCACCCTGTGTTAATATTGATACGCTGTGTCACCCTATGTTAATATTGATACTCTTTGTCAGCCTGTGTTAATATTGATACACTCTCTCACCCTGTGTTAATATTGATACTCTGTGTCACCTTGTGTTAATATTGATACCCTCTCTCAACCTGTGTCAATATTGATACTCTGTGTCATCCTGTATTAATATTGATGTGGTGTGTCACCCTGTGTTAATAATGATACTCTGTGTCACCCTGTGTTAATATTGATACTCTGTGTCGACCTGTGTTAATGTTGATACACTCTCTCACCCTGTGTTAATATTGATACTCTGTGTCACCTTGTGTTAATATTGATACCCTCTCTCAACCTGTGTCAATATTGATACTCTGTGTCATCCTGTATTAATATTGATGTGGTGTGTCACCCTGTTAATATTGATACTGTGTCGCCCTGTGTTAATATTGATACTCTGTGTCACCCTGTGTTAATATTGATACTCTGTGTCACCCTGTGTTAATATTGATACGGTGTGTCACCCTGTGTTAATATTGATACGGTGTGTCACCCTGTGTTAATATTGATACTCTTTGTCACCCTGTGTTAATATTGATACACTCTCTCACCCTGTATAAATATTGATACGGTGTGTCACCCTGTGTTAATATTGATACTCTGTGTCACCCTGTGTTGATATTGATACTCTTTGTCACCCTGTGTTAATACTGATACTCTTTGTTCCATATTAACTATATTTAATCAAAACTTATTTGTTTATTATTTCTGCCAGTACATTTAGGTGTTAGTTGAGTCGTGCCAATCATGTTCCAGGTGAGAATGTGCGAGACTTCTTCTTCCGAGCAGTGTCCTTGGCCTTTGACAACGCTCTCCTTAAAGAAGTCGATACCTCTGCCATATCACCCACAAAGCAAATTGGAAATGATTTGATAAGTGAGTAAACATTCCTCGCCTAAGTTGAAAAGTAAATGGTTCAACTGCATGTATATTAATGTTTTTCCCGTTAACTTTATCATATTGATTTTGGTTCTTGCTGTTCTCTGCCAAAGTATTGAAGTGGGGGTACCAACACCCTTAGGATCTTTACATTTTAACATTTTGGTACTGATTCGCCTCTAATCTTTACATTAGAGTTCTGACATGGACACACCAACTTTCATCCTCAACTTCTGCATTGTGTGAACTGCCTACTGTAACAAATGATAAACGACTTGTATATTAATCATCATCTGGTTAAATTCATGTTAACCAAAATAATGACGTCATTGACAGATGATGGAGGAGGAACATAGTGAACACAATAAATTCTGTTTATAGCGGGAATACTTTCACTCACTCTGTTTATAGCGGGAATGCTTTGACTCACTCTGTTTATACTGGGAATACTTTGACTCACTCTGTTTATACTGGGAATACTTTCACTCACTCTGTTTATAGTTGGAATACTTCTTGACAGACACACTGTTTATATGAGAAATACTTCTTGACAGACACACTGTTTATAGTGGGAATAGTTCTTGACAGACACACTGTTTCTAGTGGGAATACTTCTTGGCAGACACTCTGTTTATAGTGGGAATACTTCTTGGCAGACACTCTGTTTATAGTGGGAATACTTTGACTCACTCTGTTTATACTGGGAATACTTTGACGCACTCTGTTTATACTGGGAATACTTTGACTCACTCTGTTTATACTGGGAATGCTTTCACTCACTCTGTTTATAGTGGGAATTCTTTCACTCACTGTTTTTTACTGGGAATACTTTCACTCACTCTGTTTATAGTTGGAATACTTCTTGACAGACACACTGTTTATATGAGAAATACTTCTTGACAGACACACTGTTTATAGTGGGAATAGTTCTTGACAGACACACTGTTTCTAGTGGGAATACTTCTTGGCAGACACTCTGTTTATAGTGGGAATACTTCTTGGCAGACACTCTGTTTATAGTGGGAATACTTCTTGACAGACACTCTGTTTATAGTGGGGATACTTCTTGACAGACACTCTGTGGGGGGGGCACCGGTGGCCCAGTCGTCTAAGGTGCTGCAGTACTTCTTGACAGACACACTGTTTATAGCGGGAGTACTCTTTGACAGACTCAGTTTATAGTGGGAATAGTTCTTGACAGACACACTGTTTATAGTGGGAATAGTTCTTGACAGACACACTGTTTATAGTGGGAATAGTTCTTGACAGACACACTGCTTATAGCAGGAGTACTTCTTGACAGACACACTGTTTATAGTGGGAATAGTTCTTGACAGACACACTGTTTATAGTGGGAGTACTTCTTGACAGGCACACTGTTTATAGTGGAAATACTTCTTGACAGACACACTGTTTATAGCGGGAGTATTTCTTGACAGACACACTGTTTATAGTGGAAATACTTCTTGACAGACACACTGTTTATAGTGGGAGTACTTCTTGACAGGCACACTGTTTATAGTGGATATACTTCTTGACAGACACACTGTTTATAGCGGGAGTACTTCTTGACAGACACACTGTTTATAGCGGGAATAGTTCTTGACAGACACACTGTTTATAGTGGGAATAGTTCTTGACAGACACACTGTTTATAGCGGGAGTACTTCTTGACAGACACACTGTTTATAGTGGGAATACTTCTTGACAGACACACTGTTTATAGCGGGAATAGTTCTTGACAGACACACTGTTTATAATGGGAATAGTTCTTGACAGACACACTTGACTCCATTGATGGTAATATTACTCTCTGTTGGGTCTCCCACTAAATTGGCTGTTATCTGCTGGTTGTTGACGCTTCTTAGGCCCATGGTCCGCCCCTTCCCATAGGCCTGTGGTAGTTTAAAGGGTCTCCGTCTATGATTGCTCTGCATCCCCTCTGTATATGTCCAGGCTGCCCACATCTGTAGCATTTTGGGATGTCTTCAAAGGCCTGTGGTCCCTGGAACCAGGTTGGTGTCCCACGGCCAGTCGGGTGCCGTCCAAAGGGTTGACGTCCTCTTGTCCTTGGAGGCTGTCCATTGCCTAGGGGGCATCTGCCATTGTTGACCGTGACCTTGACCTTGACCTGAAGATGGCAATTCCTGATTTGGGGTGCATCCTGGCCTGTCAGTCCTACCTACTTGTGCCTTGAGAGTCGCTATCTCTGCAGACATGGATTTCAGCAGGCCTTTGATCTCCTTGAGTTCCGAGTTGTCTGGGATAACAGTGGTCTTGTTGATGGTGCAAGTCTTCTTGATTGATTTCCTCTGCAGCAGGTCATCTTCAACTTGGCGGAGGTACCTGAGGAAGTTCTCATACGGCTCATCCTGGTCTGCTTTATGGCTGGTTAGGCCAGTCCACAAGGTATCCCGAAGAATCTGTTCCGTGTCACTAGGTTGAACCTTACCAAGGATAACTCCTTGGCTGAGAATATCCTCCAGACGGCAGGACCATTCAGCTACAGTCTCATTGTCCCCTTGCTTGGCCGTGTAGAACTGCGCCATGATGTTGTGCTCTGTGTGTATATTGCCAAATACACTATCCAGCTTGTTGATGAGGGCATCCAGTGGGGCATTCTTGTCCACGTGCATAGCAACTCTGGCCGCCTTGCCGCGAAGTGAGTGCCTGACTGCTTCCAGGACAATGTCCGTGGAGTAGTGGGAACACATTTATGTGTACTCATGCATCCACTGATCAAAGTTGGCATCTCCCTTCCTGTCACCTGAGAAGTATGGTAGCTACGGACTCGTAGCTAAGGTGACGGTAGTGGGTAGAGAAGGGATAGTAGCAGCTGCTGTTGGTTCCTCCTGTTCTTGATTATGCCTACCAACCTCGGTGATCCATTGTAGTAAATCTTCAGGTGTTTCAGCTTTAGGTTGTAAACCTAACTTATTCAAAGAAGAAACCAACTGATCCATCTCCTCCTGTGACATATTTCGTGTTGCCATACTGAAGTATGAGAAGCAGAATTTCCGAGTAAATAGATAATTGCTACCAGTGAATACACCAGGGTAATGTGGAAATGAAGCGCAAAAGACAAAATGGTACCTTGTTAAAAAAACCAAGGGAAAATAAATTCTCACATGGAGAAGTGAAGTGTGAGAGGCTTAAAGGGGAAGTGTACACGCAAAAATCACTTTCTTTCTTTTTCTAAACAAAACGCAATTTTAGAATTAATTAGTATCTGTGTTTGAAAATATACACTCATTTTTTTCACAGTGAAAGTAGGAAGCTCACAATAGTGTGAAAATGATATGCCGTTATGAGGTCTTCGTTTTTCGAGCTAAACAGGCCTGAGTTATCCCCCTTAGATTATGACGTAATTGGTGCCAATTCAACTGGGTCCCTGTCTATTCTCAACGCAAAAGATATCAAGTACCATTTTGCGGTAAAACAACATGGCCTACGACACACTCCGGCGCAGTGGTGACTCAGCATAACACTATGCTGGCTGGCATCTGAGACGCTAGAATCACACACCTAGACCTACACCACGTGAAGCGGCTCTAACAAAGCATGATGACGTCATAATGTTTATCAATTGGCACCAATGACGTCATATTGCAAGGGGCATAAGCCATGGTGTTTTTGTTGTGGAAATAGAACACTTGGTAAATGTGAAAAATATAAATCGTTTTAATGCGAAAAATATGTTAATTAATTGTGATATTTTTATATTTTTGTCTATGACACTTCTAGGTTAACACTTTTAATGTGGAAAAAGTACAAGAAAAATAGGTTAATTTCCGTGTGAACTTGCCCTTTAATAACTGAGACTATACTGTTGGTTAGTATACTATACAGTATACAAATGATATACGAGCTGGACGTACCAAGCCCAAGAGAATTATAATGCACACATTCATGTGTACACTAAAGCTACGGTGGAAGATGATGGATAACCATGAATAAAATAGGCTATGGAATAGGGTAGCAACTTACCAAACAGGATACCTTGTGGCTTACCGGTGAAATATGTACCCTTTACAGTACGTGTTTACAGTTAACACAAATTTACCTGAGCTGACCAATGCTTAGATAAGGAATAGCACTAAAATAATGCTAAATAAACCTTAGGAATAATGCTAAGATACAACTAATGTTTAGTAACAAATATTATTCATGCAAATAGTGGCAGTGCAAATTGTAAGCAGACGCGCGCAATTGGAGGCGGGTATGGGGCTAACAGGATCAATGAACTTACCCTACAACATAAGACAATCGCACCAACAACCTAAGAGAAAGAAACAACACTGAACACAGAACCTACAATATCAAATATTTACAGAACTATAACATACACTACCCTGTTATCAACAAGCACCAGGACTAAACAAATAAACCACACGTAATAGAACACAACATACCTAACAGTTTATTTAGTTATAATAAGTTTAGGTAGGTAGTTAAATAGTTTAGTTTTACCAACTACTTATAAGTTGCCTCAGCACATCATTCATTCACACACACACAGACAGATAGTGGCTGTTATTGTAATTGATGCGAGAAATATGAAATAACTAATACTAAATCTAAATATATCAAGAGTTGAGGTGTGAGAGGGTATAGCGTCGCATTCAAGATTATTTCACTTATACAACGACACTAAGAAGAACACAAAGAGATTAAGTGTGATAATAAATATGGGAACTAACTAAGTACTTAGTCGGAGCGCTCCTATTGAAACTAAAGTTTACATGTTAAATTTATTAGACAGCACACAAGCAGAAGATACAAGTAATCAGAGTAACATCACAGATGTGGAGGGGATGAAAACACAGTTGTTGATTTCATATGTCACGTGAGGCTGCAGCACAATCTTCATAGTGTCTGTACACAGTACATGTAATCAGCTGTATAAACAGCAATAGTCACATATCATATTAAATAGTCAAAAGTCACACATATCTACCAACGCACAGGCACATCACATGTAAGCACAATCAGGGGAGTGATCCTGGGTGTCCACGAAATGGCACTTGGTGGTGGTAGCAACGTCTATCTTGTTCCTCACTGGGGGCTCCAATGTAACCGTGCTTGTGTTGGCCGATAGTTGAGTAGGCGATCTACTGGCCAAATAATCACAAACAGGTGTGGGGGGTGAGGCTGATGACGTTTATTTTATTATAGGTCCGAATGTACGTACTTAATTCAGTCTGAAACAATGAAAGTACAACATAAGCAAATATAACATAAAAATAAATATATACAATCCGTTATAGTTACTCTTTAAATTTCTAAAATATAGATTATCACTTCCACTTAATGAATAGCATTTACTTTTCATTACACAATACATCAGATGTATCCGTACAATACATCAATACACAGATACAAAATATATTAATATGATATAGAGTGATAACCAACATTATATACCAGATAGGTGATACCTGAACTCGTAATACCCTAACAATGATTGCACGGTGAACGTTGCCTCTGAGAAATCTTAAATATGACTAAATCCCTTCACAAATCCAAATCCTCACATAGAAATGAATGTGGCAATAAATCTCGCTGAGTCTTTCCTTGAGGTGACAATAGCAACTGATTTTCTAAAATTCAACAGCTAAACATTGTTGTAGCTATGGCCAGCTTGGCCTATCAACAAAACAATAGACTGGGCCGGGGCGCGCTGGGGCAAAGAGTGCTGTAAGTCAAAAGCATGCAGTGTGACAATGAGTGGAAGTTAGACTGAGAGTAAGCTTACTTAATGTTACAGAGCTATGGAATGAATGTTTAAGGTATAAAATACTAAGGTATAAAACATAACTAATATTATAACTACTAATATATAAAATAATGCAAATATCGTAATAAACTAATCAGTTAAAATGGTAACAAGGCCATATAATAATAATAATAATAATAATTGATTTGTAAAGCGCCTAATATCCATCGACAGTTGCTCACTGGCGCTGTGACAAAGTTAAAATGTAATGTCTATGTACATATGCCAACAATCAGGAGATCTATTGAAAAGCTGAAGTGAAGAAGTGTGAAGAAGAAGCAGAGTTTCTTAGATTCAAAGGCAAAGAGTTCCATAACTGTGGACTGCAAAAGGAGAAGGCACGGTCAGACATAGCAGAAGTAGACAGAGGCTGATACAGTAGAGTTCCACCAGAGGATCGGAGAGCACGCTCTGGAGAGTACAGGGATATAAGATCTTTGAGATAGTCTGGATAGTCACTATTGTTGAGGCAGTCGTGAGTGATGATACATATCTTATAGTTTATACGAAAGGAGACTGGAAGCCAATGTAGTGCTTTGAGGACAGGACTGATATGATTGGATCTTGGAACTTTAGAGATGCATCTAGCTGCAGAGTTCTGAATGCGTTGTAGCTTTGATATGGCTTTCATGGGAAGATTAGCATACAATGCATTGCAGTCATCCAGTTTGGATGTCACAAGACATTGCATCAACAATTTAACTGTTGGAGTATCAAGTAGATGGCGGACTTTGCTTATGTTATAGAATCTATGGTAGCATGTTGTGCTGGTTAGTGAAATATGAGTGTCCATGGCCATTGTTGAATCAAAGGTGATTCCCAGATTACGGGCACTGGCAGTTGGGTACACAGTGGTATCACCAATATGAAGGTATACAGAGTCAGGGTGAAGCTTTCTGACTTGCTGTCGCGAACCAAGGATTAAAAACTCAGTCTTCTCTTCATTGAGTTTGAGATAATTGAAGCTCATCCAGGATCGTATGTCATCAATACAGCGCTCAAGGGCGGTGAGGTTCAGAGACAGCTCGGAAGTTTTAAAGGAAATGTAGATCTGGTTATCGTCCGCATAGAGATGGAAGTTAAGAGCATGTTTCTGGATGATATCTCCAATTGGCAGGATGTAAATTGTGAATAGCAGAGGTCCAAGGACTGAACCCTGTGGTACACCATAGTGACTTTTGCATGTTGTAGAATGATGATCATGGATCTTAACAGACATGGTCCGGTCAGACAGGTAGGACTGGATCCACTGGAGAGCTGTTCCCCGAATGCCAAGTCGTGTGTTGAGTCTGTGTAATAAAATTGCGTGATCAATAGTATCAAAGGCAGATGAGAGGTCAAGGAGAACAAGAAGAGTGGTTTTCCGCTGCCCAAAAGATGTCAGGATGTCGTTGTGGACCCGAACGAGTGCTGTCTCAGTACAGTAACTTGACTTGTATGCAGACTGGAATTTTTCACCGAGATTGTTTTGTTTCAGATGATGTTGTAGCTGCACAGCGACAATCTTTTCCAGGCATTTAGACACGAACGAGAGATTGGACACAGGTCTAAAGTTTTTGAAATTGTCGGGATCCAAACCAGGTTTTTTGATGATGGGAGTGACATGATCATGTTTCAGTTCACTTGGGAACTTGCCATGAGACAGAGACGTGTTGATAATGTCCCACATAGAAGGTGTCACGTGGTGATCCATTATGGTCTTGAATAGCCAGGTAGGAACTGGGTCAAGTGAATACGTCTTGGATGGAGCATGCTTGATAGTGTCCGATACGACTATCAAAGAAACGTGACTGAAGGAGGTTATTTCATTTCCAGAAAAAGAGTTGTCGTCAGGGCATGGTCTAGATTCAGAAGATTCCTGATGTTTCTCGTCCAAAATATTCCTGATTTTCTGTATCTTGTCATTGAAAAATGATGCAAATTCATTTGCCAATGAGAAATCATCATCACATTCCGGAAGTGTTGCTTTTGGAGTCCCTTTCAACAAACTGTTTAGAAGTGAAAAAAGTTCCCGTCTGTTTGTATTGTTACGGGTGATATTATCAGAGATGTAATTTTGTTTTGCACTTCTAAGGGCACTGTTTACTTCATTTCTGGCTGATTTGAAGATCTGGCGATGAATCTCCAGCTTGCTTTTGCGCCATGTTTTCTCAGCAGCTCTTGATTGTTGCTTCTTCTTCCTGATGTTATCATCATACCAGTTGGTGTTTGGACGCAGTATCACAGAGCGTTTCTTGAGTGGGGCATGGTTGTCCAAGATGGTAGTAAGAAGGCCTTTGAAAGAAGTAAACTTATCATCAACATCCTCAAGCTGATTGACTTTGCTCATGACATCTTCAGTATCCAAGTCATGAGTGAACAAAGACACCTTACTTCTTACTAATAAATCTTAATTAAAAGTTATGTACACAATTTGAGCCTGCCACATTTATAGAAGGAATAGTTCTTGACAGACTCACTGTTTATAGTGGAAATAGTTCTTGACAGACTCACTGTTTATAGTGGGAATAGTTCTTGACAGACACACTGTTTATAGTGGGAATAGTTCTTGACAGACACACTGTGTATAACGGGAATAGTTCTTGACAGACACAGGGCGATGGGGGTGGTCTAGTGGTTAAAGTGTTCGCTTTTCACTTCGAAGACCCAGGTTCAATTTCCCCACATGGGTGCACAATGTGAAGCCAATTTCTGGTGTCCCCCGCCCAGATATTGCTGGAATACTGCTAAAAATGGCGTAAAACCATACTCACTCACTCACTCTTGACAGACACTCTGGTTATGACACTCTTTGTTAACAGATGTACAGCGGGAAAATACAGACATGTTCGAACGTCGGAAAAAGAAGATGAACTGCTGCCAGTGATGACTGTATGTGTGATGAGACGAAGCCAGGATGTATCTACCTCCTGCTGATTGTGTGCTGGTGCTTGAACTGTTTGCTGTTGAGGCAGGGTAGACAGTGCCATACTTAGAGGGTGAAAAAGTGGCATTAGTTTATGACCAAAACTGTTAAATCAAAACTGCCATTTTTTTCTTTGAAGTTCCAACAACTGTACATAGGTAACCTACTCTTTCATTCAAGATACATGTACAGATTGTAGAAGCATATGATTTAAGTTGCCATGATTAGTTTTGCAGAGTTGTGTCTCTTACCCATGCCAGATCACTGGTTTGAGTCTGAGGTTCCCGTCAGTAGGGCAGCATATTGCCTATGGATGTTACCACAGTGGTGAAAGTCTGGAGACCTGAGTCACACTGACACAGCTGGCTGTAAGGGAAGGAAGCACTGGAGTGCTAGTCACACTAGAGCTGCCCCTCATGAAAGTGTGTGCAACATGGTCGTCATTTATTGGAATGGTTGCATGCCTCAGTACCAAGATTATGTTATTTTCATGATTGTTGTTTGGTTGCATGGGAACAAGTCATCCCAACATGATAAACTGTACACTGGATTCAACTCTGAAATGACAACATACAACCCCTAACAGAACAAGCATGGCAATACTCATCATCACACCAAAAGCAGATGAGTAGCTGACTTCATGTGGTCAGGTTACACTAGGGCTATCTGGACATACGCTGGTAGGACATGTTAGAAGTGGTAGGGAAATGAATCTCCACTTCAATGATTCAGCTAATAACAAATGTCATTTTTACAAATTCATATTGGCATCTTGTTGTATAATATCAATTGATATCGTATCGTATCATCTATGGCATGAAGTAATGGATTGTGATAGCATCCAATGTACAGTCACAGTGTTACCATCATGTAGTGATAATCTGGCATGAAAGTCAGGAGTGAATTACGTGCAGCTGATAGAGAATAGAATCACCTGAAGAATATGCTTGAAGGTCAAACTGCTAAGGAAATTTGTTAATCTATAGGATGGTCACACCAGATTTGACTGTCCATTGCACCTTTATGTGTTGGTTGTGTAAGAACTGCCCGTACAGGGTCTGTATTGTTCGGGCATTACGCCCGCAGGTCTTGCCTGGCACTGCTTCTGTACAGCCATCTCTGCATGTATCACTTGAATAGAACTACATGTTCACCACAACAAAGTTCATTTTAACCCTCTGTCATAGGAAAAGTGACATTGTTTTTGTGAGTAGCAGCTGACATAAGCAACTACTGTTAGAGCACTGTGTCAACTGTCCAGCAAGTGTCAGTGTGCTGTGTAGACCACTTGTTTTCTTAGTAAATGTGGCTGTTATCCCTGATTGTGGTGAGATATGTGGTAATATGCTCAGATGAGCACAAAGTGTGAGCTGTAACTAAATCAGCTGTTATCAGTGGATAGCTATGGTAATAGTGTTGTACCAGGACCAGTCTAGAAATGCTGTACTTCTTGCTTCCTGCCTAGGACCTCATTAAATTCAGGTTTGCTTCAGAGAAACATTTGAATTCTATGCAGCAAATGATAATGTGTCCTCATACAAATCACTTGAATATCTTAAATCATGAAATTAATGCAGAAAATGTGAGATTCCCTGCTTGCACTGATGTACTTACTCTGAACAGATTGAGTTAATTGTCATGTCAGGTTCACTGCACAGGCGGAGACAAGGACATACATAGCAAAGCTCCCAGTAAACAATGTAACTGCATGCTAGATACAGACAGAGGTTCTGACCAGGTGTGCATGCCGTGTGGTCAGGTTGTTTCCACAAGTGGATTGAGCCCTTATGACAGTCGCCAACCTTGTCAGGTAATCTTACCGTTACAAGCACCACACTGCTCACCCAGGTAGTGAGGATGATGTGTCCTGTAAGAGCAGCTCATCTATGTACAAAGGATTGCGTACACCAACTTGTGGAACAACACTTGGAACCCGGGACCAAACCTATCTCATTTGAATACTCCTTATTTGGAATTTCCTGCTTTGATTTCATGAAGTTAGATCACATGTCTAGTTAAGATTGTAAAGATATTGTGATATTCTTCAATCGACCTGTTATCACCCCAAAACTGTTTCATGAAACTCGAAGTTTACAGTCTTGGTGTTATGACTTACCAACTTGTCTTTTTACATATTTCAAAGGCAGGGCTATTAGCATTAATATCCTGATACATTTTAGTCCAGATGTTGTCACTGGCATTAGTTTGGTGACACATTAATTTCATGACATACACTATATTGCTTGTTGTTTTTACTGAACTGCTGGTCGTGTGTATAGAACATTGAAGCTCTACATCCACACACTTCCTATATGACTTTTGATGATACACAAGATGTGGTACAGTACAATGTTAATGCAAGGGCCACAATGAATGTATATATATATGTATATATGTTCATTCAAGGGTTAGATGGGATACATATTGTTGTACATGGGTTATGATGTTTAACTCTTGTAACACAACTTCATAATTCCTGTTGCGACTGAAACAAGGTTTGTGTATGCTCCGCCCAAAGGTCACAACTACATTGTTCACCTTAGGCCTTATGCTTTATTGTCTTGGTTTACAAAACCAAAGGACAAAAACAATGAAGTGAGTTTTGACAAGTTTCCCGATCAATTATCTTTCCACATTATTTTGCAGTTGTACTTCATTGATGTTGTGACCTATGAGTTTGTTTTTGATTCATTAGCAGAAGAACTGATGTAGAATTTGAAAATTATTATATATTATTTTTTACCACCTACATTGAATTTTAGGACTTATTTGATGTATCATTCATTTGTATTTGATCGTTATTGTGATACAGAGGTCAGTTACAGTCTAATACAAGCTACAAGGGTTATCATACAATGAGTGGTATACAAAGGTAAATGAATTGTGGATGCCTTTTTGATCATGTGAAGTTTTGTCAGTGCCTTTGTTGCAATAATTTTGTTGTAGCTTAGGAACTCCTGTAAAACTGTATCAAGGTGCACAGTGGGGGCACGGGTGGCCCAGTCGTCCAGAGTTGCATCATTTGGGCAGGCCACCATCTGTGTATCACACTATCATATGACTTCAGATATGAAGGTTATATGTTTACTCACTTGTGCTTGATAAGAACTTTATCTATGTGGTTGCCCAATGATTTGAAAACAGGAAATACATATAGTGATACGTTTGTGTCAAAGCATTATTGGAAAACCATCCAAATAGATCTAAACTGGTGATGAAAGTGAACATAAGACTTGTACATATAATGAAGCTTAAAGATACTGGTAGAACACATTGTTTTTTTATCTAATTTTATGTTAGATATGTCTGATGAAATTGTTAACTTTCTGGTGCTTTTCTTCATTGAATTCCGAAGTGATTTAATGTCTAGATCAAGGCTCATGATGTCAGTCACTGGATTGCCTGGTCCACACTCCTTTACTTACAGACTGATGTCATATAGCTAGAATATTGCTGTGTTCAGTGTTGAACAACAAACAAATGAACAAACGAAATAGCAAACTTCATAGATGATCAAAAATGCAAGATGGTTTCCTGAGTGTATTGGACCACTCCCAAGACATGGTTGTAGTCACAATTACTGGTGTAATTAAGGTTTTCTTCTGATGCTGAAGTTACGTGATCAGGAAATTCACTGAATATTTACCAGCCAATATTGCCTCAGTTTTATTTGTGTACATATCTTTGAGTGAGTTCCTTGCTGATTGATATCGGCTCAGCAGTACAAGGGTCTGCTAACTGGGGGTTCAAACCCCAGCTTTAATCCAATGATGAACATAGGTGTCTGGCACCCATGTCTGAAGGTTTCACATCAGGCTGCGGAAGGCAACTGGGGCAAGCTGAAGAGTGAGGTAGGACTTCGTGATTTTTTTTATTGAAAATAAAAGTAATGACTGAGGAACATTTTTTTTTTTCCCCACCAAGAATACATAGAAACACATCTGCCTTTCTGTACATAGCCTTATCTAATGTTTGTATTCTTTTAGGTATATTTTGTTATCATAACCGTCCATCTGATTTAGTTGTACTGTCTTTCATGCCAAACCTGTTTTTAAACCAGATGATAATTCCGACATGTCTGTTGTTGTATGTGTATTGTACATGTCTAACTGTAGAAACATTTGTTTTTGTTTTGAATTGAAACTTTATGAATAAGTTGACAAGCGTTTCTATGTTCATATATGTTCATATATTGTTGTGTGTATTGTGTGTGAAGTTGATGTGCAGATGATCAGGTGCCTATGTCTGAATTTTATCCCACAACAATCTCCTGTGTAGGGAAGTGTCAGCAGCGCCAGGGTCTTGAGGCCCTGTTCACTATAATTATGATTGTTGGTTTCTCAGTGCCATACTCGTGGTCTTGGGTTTCAGCAAACTGGCAATTGTCTAAGACCTGCAACATTTTCATGCTTGATTCAACTAAAATACTGTCAAAGCAGAGCCTGACACACTCACTCACCCTGGTTATAACTAATGTCCATCCTGACTTGATGAAGCCAAGTTATTGTCCTGAATGGCCATCCACATGGCTTACACTATCACTTGGCAGTACGTTATGGTGATGGACGAAAGAACACATGATGTTAGCAGGAGGAATATTACTGCTGTGTTCAGTATATGGCTTCAGTACAGCAGGTAACTGTGATGCCTCAGTGTAGCGGTAAGCACCAGCCTATGTTTGTAGGTGTAACCACTGTACCAGACATATACTCTTACTTCACTTTGGGCTTGCCCTCCAACATTAGCTGACACTGGAATGATTTACCATAATCTTAAATAGTGTTGAAAGAGATGTTGAACCCAGCTCACTCAGTCACACCACAACGTACATTGCCTAACAATCTCTGGCCAGTTGAGGCACACACAGGAGATGAAGCAAATACTTCCCTTCATGGATAGTCATGTTTCCATCAGCATATTGAGATCATTGTCCCCTTTCTTCTTTCTATCAGCATGTCTCAAATGTTTCTGAAGTCCATTCAAAGTTTACTCTGTTAGATTTGGAAACCAATAAGTTAGATATTTGTTGTTCATAAGAAACGGGCATACAAAGTAATGAGTTGTGTTTAAAAAAAATCATGTCTCATCTCTTCCCATTTGCAGGAGAATGGCATAATTGTATTTTGTATATGCCCTAATACTGATCTTGTCACATATTTTAGTGATGTTCTATATTCTGTTGTATATTTCCAGGATATGAGTTCACTTTGATCCTGTTTTACAAAAGGTCACATATCAAGCATAATGGTGAATTATAAATCTTATAAGATTGTGATATTAATAAATTTGGCTTTTATGTAACAATTTGTGTTCTTGTTTTGATTCTGTAAGTGTCTTGAAAATGTTTGATATCTATTCTTAACTTCTGTTATGTTCTGTCATTAGCCTTGAATTATTATGTTCTAAATGTTGTTAGGGGCCAGTTTATATTATTATGGAAGCCTTTGATGAGTCAAGACTGCAAAACCAGTGTAGAAATCTGAACCATATCAGTATGGCACATTGGCACCTTGTCATGCCAGTAGTTGGGTGCAGACTCACGTGGGGGTGTCTGTGAGGATGCCATGCCACTATAGGTCCCCAGATCCCCAGTCTCCTGACAATTCAGGGTCAACAATGGTCCAGATAGGTTTTAAGCACCCTATACATGCTCCCACTGGTGATCTCCTCCTAAATATTTAACCTGTGTGGTAGTGTGTCAGTGGTATGTCATTAATGACTGGCTTGTCTGGTCTACATCAGATAACTTCCATGCTGCATCCTTGATCAACTTCACCAACATAACTTCAAAAAATGTAGAGAATGACCCATGCAGCAAGAATTCCTAATGTCTGCAGGTCGGACAGTTTTACTGCAGTGATATTGGTGAAGTGTTGGTCTTAGTGTTATAAACATCTAGTGAGCGCATCCTATTGTTTGTTTTTTTTGGGGAGGGGGGGTGTGTGTGTGTGTTGTTGTTGTTTCTGTAGGTTAACATATTGGCAGGACTTACTGCAGAATGTCCATCTGTATAGTGGATGTTCTACAGCAAGGCCCTGTCCCATGAATATTCTGTAGTAAGGCCCTAGGAAGATTTTATGGAAAGTCTCCCTGTTCCAGGCATACTAGTTTTCAATATTCTACCATGACACTGAAGAAAATGACAGGTCAAAATACCTCAAACTTAACATGCCGTTTCGTAAGGTTCATTGAAAGTGTTTTGGAAACCAAATCGTTGACGAAAATTGTTTCAGATGGATCTTTTGGCTTATGAGACAGATAAAACCCTCTGGGTTGGGTTAAACATGTAAACACTCAGGGTCGGGACAAACCCACGAGGCTTCGCCCCCGAGTTTGTCTGTGTCCCTCATGTTTACCTTTTCAACCAAACCTCAGGAACGTGTTTATCCTTTACATAATCCCTCCAACAATAAGTGACAGACACCCCAGAGCAGTCACTTCCTATTGCTGACCAGTCAGATTCGCTTGATTTTGATTGGTCAATCAGAGGTTTGAAATCACCTTAAAGAACGCTGATCAAGTTCCATGAATGAAATTCCACACGGTCCCATATTCCATTGTTGTGATTCTAAAGTACTGTCGGAAATACTAGAAAACTGCTTTTCTGGCTTCATTTGATTAATACGAGTCATAGGACTATAAAATGAGCAAATATCAAAATAACGCAACTTGCCCTAATCTAGCCTGTCTTAATTGACACTGTGATTACCCTTAAAATGTACTTTTATAGGTAGTGTCATTGCTTTGTAAATGAATACGGATATATTTTGAATGGTTAATACATTATTTGATGCCATTAACATATTAAACGTATATATGGAGGGGTATAGGTAAAACTTTTGGGGTATATATTTTCGTCATAAATGTACACATCGATCACAAATTATTATAAAATGAAATTCATCTTCAATTTGATTTTGATTGCAAGCCACACAACCTTTCAGATTTTACCTCTTTTTATACCTCCCAGTCTCAATTCGGAGCTGGTTGGAACAGCATCTCAATTGCGCAAGGGCACGTCATATTTAAAAATTGATAATTCTTTTAAATATGTTTCTAAGCCGACATTTGCTTTGAATAAACTGTAAAGAGTTGATTTTGAGCTTGATGAAAGAGCTGCGTGCCAATATTGTTCATAACATCATTTTAGACGGAGTATAAATTCCGACAGAAAGCTGGAGATATTACTTATAAATTGTTGTTCCCATGTGTAACCAAAACCAGTGGAGAATAAGATGTACTTTTGATGCCAAGTTAGTTTTACCATTACTACAGTCTAACAATAATAAGTTATAACATTTCTTTACCAAATGTGATTCAGGCATAATAATTATTTTCCACCAATACTTAACAACACGTTTAAATGCAAATATGTACATTGGGTATCTTCCACATTCTCCTCTAACAACGTGGCTTGCGGATGACTGCTTAACGCATAAAAATCTCTTACAGGCAAACATTTGTACAACTTCTATTTCTTCGTAATTATGAACACCCCAAACTTCAGAGCCATACAATAGAATTGGGCTGATTTTGGAATCAAAGATTTTAAAAAATAGATCATGAGGTAATGGATTTAACATATATAGTGATTTAATAATTCCACACGGAACCTTTTTTGCCTGAGTTGATGCACTATTAATAGGAGCAGACAACAGAAGTGATCTAGAGAATAATAATCCCAAGTATTTGTAACATGAAACACATTCAATTGCATTTAACATTCGGTGAAACTCCCCTGTGATTTTAATATGAACCATAATTCAGATCTTTTAACAAAGTCGAAAGCTTTTTTGAAGTCCACCAAAAGCGCATAAAACTTACGACGCTTTTGTGAAAGGTAGTGTAGAATAATAGTTTGTAAAATGAAAATATTATCTATTGTGCTATATCCTTTTCGAAATCCCGCTTGCGACTCGCTAATTTTGTCGTACAAATTTGCCCAAAATACTAATCTTGCATTAATAACTGATGTATAAAGTTTACTTAAAGTGCTTAAAAGGAACATACCTCTATAATTATTAGTATCAGATTTATCCCCTGACTTATACAAAGGGATTACGACACCTGTACTCCATGATTCAGGGAAATAAGATGATTCAAAAATGACTTTAAACAACAATTCCATGTATGGCAACAATATATCAGGGGATTTGAAAAATTCTGAGATAAGGTTATCTTCCCCTGGATTTTTTTAGTTTATAGATTGCTTCTTGTATCTTTTCTTGAGTGATCGGAGAATCCTGTACACAGGCGGCCGTATCATCAGCATTATAGTCAGTATCAGAGTTTTCAATCAGTTCTGGCAAATTAGCGTCACATTCTTCAAACAAGTTGTATGTATGAAATGGCCTATAACCTATGGGATGTCCTCAGATCTTTGTTTAGCGGCAGCGAGAACTTTGATTTGATTTTAATGAGATTGAAGTCGACAATGTCATATATTCCTGTATGGTCGCCTTCAGGCTACTCATGGTTTGGGCGACAGTATCTGATTCCCTGACTTTATATTAACTGGCGTTATCCATGACAATGACACTGACATTGTTTAAAATGGGCGATAGCTGATGTTCAAACCACATCATCTCCTATAATTTCCTTATGAAAATCACCAGTTTTCTTTTTCGCCTCGAAAACGAGCACACATCCATCAATAAGTCCCATAGCATGGGTTGCAGCGTGCAAAACAATGACACGATTACCTTTACCTGATGGTCTATGGGTGCTTTTTGTCCATCTGCCGATAGCCACATGTAGTTAGTGGAATGATTCACCAAGATAAATTATCTGGACGCCCTTACTGTGATAGTTATGAATGGTTCGGGGATAATGTGCCCCCATAGACAGGATGGAATATTTTCCCCTGAAAAGTGCTCGGTCATCGCCACGCGCAGTGCATCGAAATCAGATCTCTTGGAGAGCAATAGTTAGTGCAGTTAACATAAATTGTATCTTAATTCCTCCCAAATTCTACTACAAGTCAGGGTTACCTTCTGTTCATAAAGCTTGTACACTATACGCTTAATCACCTTGTATCAAAGCTGTCTAATATCCTTTTACGTCCCAGTTTTTTTTTTGAGACCACCCCTATACCTGTTTTGTTTTATTTATCAAACCGTAGACTTGATGGTATGAATTGAAAACCCAATAGCTTGGGCAGTTAGATAAATCACCCTATCTAAATTAAGAAATGGTTTCCCTCTTTCTCTCTAAAGTGTAAAGAACTTGTATACATTTGCCGGTACAGACTCCATATGGTGTACCATGGTTATGGCTCATTCGTCACCACTCGCCCCTTTCCGTACCCTGTAAGACGCTATTCGGCTTGTTCCGGAATAACACGAGTTGGTCACGAATGGGTTATGGCTATGCAAGTGAAATGTAACATGCATCATGGGAGCAATGTCAACAAAACAAACGCAGCGTCATTTTGTCATCTTAGAAGATGCACATCTAGAATTTTCTCAAAATAATATTTGAGTGTGGATTAGATGTTTCATGAAGACTACATTAGTATCATTATAACGGAGCCACGTGCGCATATTTCTATAATCCGTTTCAGACTGCCAACATCGGACTTAATAAATGTAAACTTCCTGTTTTCGTTCGAATTTGTCTCTTGTAAACTTGTCGATAGGACTCCTTGTGACTGAAATACTTCAAACCACAGGTAGGTCGATCGGTAGTTACTCGATATTTCAATAACAACAGTCTGTGAAAAATTATATCCTTTTTTAACAGGCAAAAACACAGCTTTATAGCATTTCCGATAGTACTTCAGTGTAGCTGTATTAATAATCCTTTGAAACTTAAATACGCAATCTTGTTCGTTGATTAATGCTATTGATATCCCGACGGCTTGTAAATTCTGGAGAATGGACCACACAAAGCAGTCACCGAGCGAATCACCTCGTATGAAAGGCATAGGTTGCTGGAGACCTATTTTTATCCGAACCCCCACAGGGGATTTGGATATTTAATGTGCTAGTAACAGTAGGTGTATCTCCTGCCTCTAAACACGCCCATCTCCCAGTGATGTATACGGACATGCACACACTGGGGTTGTTTGTCGTACTCCACTCTACCAGGAACAGCTTCCTCTGCAGTAAGAAGCTGCCCCTTAACTTACTACTTTCCATATTACTCCTACTTGTCACAGGAACCACTGTCGCGGTCACGGAGCTGTCAGTAACAAACTCGTCTCGTTTGTTTGACCACAGTGGTAAACGTGACGACCTGCCTCATGTCCTGTGTTATTTTCTGAAGGGTTTCCTCTGGATTTCCTCTAGGGTTTCTGCTGGATTACCTCTAGGGTTTCCCGTATATATTTCAAACAAATACATCACGAATATATCCGTTTGCAGAATTTTATTTGCAACACTTCATTCAGATAAAACATGTATAATATGGCACATAATTGTGCCCAATATCAAGTTAACAAACCTGCTAACATCTCTATGAAAAGGACAAATTGCTTAACTGAACAGAGATAACTTACAAGGAACACATACGAAGCAGGTGAGCTAGCCAACAGTAAGTAGATCCGGCACAGCCGAGGACACACAGGACATAGGACAGATGATAGCAGTTGTCGTTGTACAAAGCGACGGGGACAGAATGACGCGGAATGAGTATGGGTTTACGTGAGAGGTTTAGTGTGAACTCAGTAGTAACAAGTTCAACAGTATTAACAGTTGTTCATTTGTAGAAACTAGAACATCTCGCCGGGGTCGCAGAGGATCCAGAATCGAGCCTGAAAAAAGCAATGTTTGTGATTATGAGAAGGGGGAGGGATAGAGAGACCTGCCAGATTCAATCTGCTGAATAGTGTTGACCAGTTTGACCATTTGGGGCTGTTGTTGAGAAAAAAGCCGTTTCCCCCTGGATAAGGAGAGTGAAAAAAGAAAAGTTATATCCAGGCGCTTTGTATATAACCCTAAGGTTAAGGAAGACCCGTAAATAATAATAATAATAATAATAATAATAATAATGATAATAACACAGCAATGATAATAACAATATACAAACATTTATATACTTATTGAAATTGATAACATGGATGCACAATAATTTTGTCAGATAATGTTTACTGCAGTGTTTAATAAACATACACGACTTCAAGAAATTCTGCCCCTGAGAGAAATTTTATCTTCAGTTAAACATCTTATTATTACGTCTCTGTCCACCAGTAAATGCGAGGGGCCTCGTATTTGTACATATTGTAGATGCGCCCAGCTAACTCACCAACACAATGCCCTTGGTGGTCGCTGATGGTCGCAAGGAGAGACAGAATGTCCAACGTTCGTCATTACATTTACATTGCGTACGCAGTTTACCTACTTATAGCTCTATCAGTTTAGACTATACTTGTACGTACGTACGTGTAGCACTCCGTGGAGACTATAGGTTGCACTTACCCAGTCGACGAAGCCTACAAACGACTGGTACAGGTAGCCCTGGCCTACTTGCACCGGACACTCACGGGTGGCGATTTTACCTGGTTGAAGAAGAGAGAGTGAGTGAGTATGGTTTTACGCCGCTTTTAGCAATATTCCAGCAATATCACGGCGGGGGACACCAGAAATGGGCTTCACACAATGTACCCATGTCGGGAATCGAACCCGGGTCTTCGGCGTGACGAGCGAATGTTGAAGAAGAGACGGCCAATGAGATATACAACAGTAGGCCTATATATAGTTCGGCTGCAAGGTCTCCTGACGTGGGTGAAATTGGGACAATGTGTACTGATACTCATTAAACGTGAGTTGATCACAAGAAGGTAACAAAATGAAACGTATTGCAGCAGTTGCAACTTCATGCGACTCGTAACGAGCCACTCAAGAGCATTACGCTATTACATCTTATCATGAGATCATGTATGGTATTAACATTTTGTATAATTAATATTTATTATACTCATCGTATCGTGATAAATATAATCGACACAGCACAAGCTGCGCCCATTGTAGAACTCAAAATATTGGTCATTGACCCGGAACTCACCTCCAAGTGTCACTGTTGAAGTACGTGTAACCGCGCCTGCGCCCTTTGAACTTCCTGTCAGGTCGTAAGATCCTTCCCCACTGAGAACATACCTCAGCTCGAGAGTAACCCAGCCGTTCTGAAACAGTACACATGGTTTAATAATCCCGAACACTGGGGGAACACTTGGGACACTAGACGCCACAATGTATGCGGGGTTGCGTACCTTAGGCGTACCAGGATCTTATGATAGTAGATTTTTATCTCACATTCGCCTTGATTATGATCATTGGTTTGTTAGTACCTTGCTCGTTGTCCATAGGTTTCATCAAAGAGGTAAAGAACCTTCGTCACGTGATTTCCTCCCACATTAAGCTAACAAGCCCCGATTTAAGGGACCAACCAACCCAAACTCTTCAATCACAACAAACTTACAGAGTCAGTTGTATATTGGAGATCGACTGCTGATTCTTGGTCGTTACCCTCAGCAACAACCTTGAAAAATGCTTGTCCTCTTGTGGAAGACGACGGGCGTACAGTGATTGCCATGCTGGCGGTGACGTTGCAGTCACCGTTGCTGACAACGGCGTATTCTTGACCAGGTTGCAGGAGAGATGTTTGGATGCGCACACGGGACACGAACACGGGGTTATGGAAGCCGGACTTGGCGAAGGGATTGATGAAGACACGGCTTCTACCGGTGAAATTGCCAGCCTTTCCGTCGGCACCGCTTCTTGTAACCAGATCGACGTTCTCGAAGACGAAAGAGGAGTTGATTTTATCGTTGAACTCAATGGGCCAGTCAGCACTGTCACAGGCGCCTGAATGAAACGAAATAAGTCAACTAAGGATATAATTAAATCAGATATGTAACCAATAGTCGGTCATGACGAACCAACATTTCTAATGACACAGCAGTTGGGATCATTAGATGTTTTCACATGTGTCGACTTTGAACAGGCCTCCTTGGGTGAGTGGAACCACACAGATAACGATAAGCACAACATGTTCTTGTTTCAAAGTCGTTTTGAAATAAGGTTGTAAAACATGCTTTTTGAAACAGATTTAATCCATGGCAGTCTCAAAACACAGTACCATATGAATTGTGAACGATTAGTGTGTACAGATGGCCCACTGGTATAAGTCACGTTGTTTCAGGATCGGCTGATCATGGGTTCCTGTCCCAGAGTCGCAATGACTATGACTCTTGGTATGTCAGCACCATATTCTAGTTTCAACAAGAGGTAAATGTCTCTTGCGTCAATTTGGGTTTCGTCCCAAGTTACACACATTGCTTTTGAAAACGGTTATAAACCCAACACTCATTCACTCACAAAGAACACTTGAATACTTAAATGGACCTACCGACTCTGGTTGTGGGTCGTGTGTCATGTACACACACGCAGTTGTCCAGATCGAACACGGTGCCAGGGCCACAGCTGAATGTCTTTTTCACATCCCCAACCATCTGCGAGAAGACTTTTGGGTTCGTTGGGTCGTGTATCAGGTGACATCCTGGGAAGAATCAGATTAAACGTCTACATAGAGCGTGAAGGGCCATTTTACAGACGACAGCAGGCATGTTTGTTGTGATTAATTATTATGACATTATTATTATGTTTAGTTAACATTTATTACACATTTTTTCTCGTTAGAATATGAAATATTTAGATCAGTTTATGACGCAAATTAACCCAAGCTGATTCTCAATCGACCAACTTCGATGTTATACTGAAATGTATATTGTAAGTTCGCTCTTTTATTTTAATAACGACTTTAAATACTTTGTTTAGGACCCCTTACTCTTTTCTCCGGGACATGGAGGCCTGCTGGTCGCGTCACGCCGACAAGTCTCGGGGCAGTTGGGGTCGGGGAGACAGCGCCTCTGTCCGCGGTCGTAGCCTTGTCCAGGGGGACAACACATGCTCTGGACCGTCTTCCCGTTGGAACAACGCCAGTAGGGTTGGCATTCCCGAATATGGGAGTAGGTGCTGTTGCTTGCTTTACCAAGACAGAAATCTGGAAATGGCATGAGATGAAAACAATGGTTAAATGTTTTTAATAATTTAACAGCCTATGGCGCAGGGAGTGTGTATTGCAGGTGATCATTCGTTCATCATTTGAACGTTTCTAAAACCTGAATCACTTTCAGAATAGGAATCAACATTTTATTGATTGGTTTCCGTCATGGTGTAAGGTAACACATGGTCACTTGTTGAACTTTGTGTTACACGGCTGAGACATTATTCTAATAGAACGGTTTCTGGCGAATAACACATACGTTGTGTTCATAATGTACAGTGTTTACGATACAGAAACAATAGCTTCTATATATTTATGTGACCTCACCGTCTTTACAGAAGACCTGGTCGGGGTGGTTGCAGGTGAGCGTACTCTGATCGAAAAGAGTTCCAGGAGCACATTCAAAAATCTCTGGCACTGGTGGCCCGCTGACCGACTCCTGACAGCGCACAAACAGATCACAGCGCTGCTGGACACCAGTGTAGCCCACGCCGTTCTGGTACTTGCAATCGTCACACAGGTTGGCTAGAAAAATGGTGGACGAGAATACAACGCCGGGAGACCGCTGAACAGACATAATGATACAGCAGTTTATCACTGTATGAACTGACTAGTATAATTGCTATTACATAAGAATGTGTGTCAACTGATTTAACGAACTGTGTAAATTGATACTGTGTCCCAGCAAGGTTGGGTTTCTGACATGTTGGAATTCTTTGTTTCAGGTGGAAGGGGAAGGGAAGAAGGAGGCGAATTTTCCATTTTAAATTTCAGTGAGAAATGAGGATTAAGGACAATCACACTCAGATAATGATGACAGTTTCAATAGTACGAAGGCATTTGCCACGTTTTTGTCATACTAGTTTACCTCTCAGTTCAATGTCACATCGCGGTCCACCCATAAAGCGTGGGCACCTGGTGCAGACACAGCGGTCATTACAGTCCCGGGTGGCCTCGCCTCCAGGGCCGCACAGTTGCTCGGAGTTGTCGCAGGTAGGAGTCGTCCGGACTGTAGGTAGAACCATAGAGGAACCACTTAACTTGACTCGGTACTATTCGCATTGAAATTCCACCGAATCCTCTTTGTATCCACTGGACAATGTAACACCCAGAAGTAAGAGCGATGTACCCTGATGCATGTAACTACGACCCTGAAGTGATACTTGTAAAGACAATGTGCTCATCATTGGGTACAATAGCAGTTTTGCTATTAAATGTTCACAAGGTCGACCCATTTCTTTTTTTCAACACAATGAATAGGAGTTTTCAAAAGCAACTGTGATCATGAAGATATAAACTGTATTTGCTGGGATGAATAATACAATACAATAGTATTACAATACTGAGCTATATTGAGCTTCTTTAGTTATTTTCAGTTTATGTTGAAATGTCTGGATATGTTAATTCACAATTTTGTGTTTCAAGAAATACGCCTTAGTTACTGTGGCTAATGGGTGTAGAAGTGGTGAGCTAAGACTACGGTGTCAAACTGTCAATCTCTAAAGGTGTGTTCTCTTCTATTTCCAACCCCACCCACCCTTTTTAACTTGAGCGACATATCTGTAGAACCATAACTATTTATAACCAGTTATCTTTCTCTATGAGGTGACTCCTCTACTTCCAACACACCACCCGCATGTGAGCTCACACCCTTCAGGTGTGGCAGGGGGTAGGTGGACCTACCCGTGTTGTCCTCGCACTGTGCCCCAGTGAAGCCGAAGACACACTGACATGTGCAGCTTGCCGTGCGCACAGTCCCGCCATTGAAACAGTTGAGGTTGCATGGAGTGCCGATCTGGTCTGGAACAAGGAATTTCCAGCATGACAGTGTTTCATGCACGATTACATTACAACAGCAGCTCCCAGCCCAGCCCTTTTGTTGATCGCCAATGTTACCACCAAGCGGCGCTCATGATAGATCGTGTCCTCATGTCTAACCTCTTAATGACTGCAGTTATCAATATTCCATTGTTTGCCCCAGTTTCTACCCCTCATGTTCTGTCACTGTGTGATAACATCCCTCTTAACAATACCACTCTGAACACCATCGTGCAAGAACAGCTACTACTGAATGAATGCACACTGTCGCGTAAAACACGTCCAATCCTCAGGAGGACATGGCTCTGAGGCATGCATAGGCCACCACGGGGGGATCTTCTGCCCGACTGTCCGACTGCCCGCATGACTCGAGATGGGTTTGTACTTACCACTGCAGGTGAGACCTGTGTAGCCGGTGTCGCAGACACAGACGCAGTTGCCATTGGAGGACACAGCCCTGCCGTTCTCGCAATAAGTCCGACTGCAATCTGTAACCAAGTGTCATTTACTTACAGTCAATTTCGAAAGGTACATGTTTCTAAACTGATGGCATTTATAGGGTATTCTTCTGTCCCTGTGTTTGACATGGGTCAAGTTCAAGACCTTGGTCGCTTTGTGTAACAATACAGTGTGACACAAGGATCTTAATCCTAGTTTGTTGTGTCATATATTCTCCAGGGAAAAGATACGAATGAGAGAATTTGTCGGAGAATGTGTATCTGCATATTTCTCCATTGTTGGTACAATTCCTGTATTGATTGTCTTCCCCTACAGGCATACAGCGGCGACCTACCTGGAGTGATGATTTCACAGTTGAGACCGGAAGAACCGACAGGGCACTGACATATACATCTATTTCCAAATCTCAAGTTAGTTCCACCATTCCTACAAGCATTCGGGTTACACACTGAAGAAGAAAAGTGCAAACAAAGTTTTAGCTGCCGTGCCAAATGAACCGCTCGTCATTTTACTCATATGGTCAAAACGGCGAACAACTTATAGGCTGTGGACTGTGTCCTATCTGGAGATGAGAGCCTGTTATACGACTCCGACTCTCCGTGTGTTCAGTAGTGAGTGAGTTCAAATATTAGGCGGCATCGGCATTGTTCAGACGAACATCTGAGTTGCTATTGCATGTGACGGGTGTCCCCGGTGGGGCAGGATAGTCTCACCCTCTAAAAACACCTGTTATCATTGCTTTTTGATAGTTAGGAGATAAACATACTGTGTTTTCAATGTAGAGCTGCGCGTTCGGTTCCAAATTCAGTTTAGCGCGGTTAAATCTGCAGGTAACCTAGATCTACACTGAAAACAGAGAATGTTTATTTCCATTCTGTCATGACTAAATAAAACGCGAACTCTTTGGTTGTGGCAAATATATTGAGTGAAGCGGCATGGGTTTTGAGTCCAGTGTTTCGAGTGGGTTGTCGATCCGAATTACGGAATCACCGACAACAGCCTGTGAACAAAATATCGCGCTGTTTATGCGGGGTAAAGCTGTTTGTTTACACAGTAATACTTCATGCAAACATATGACAGGCATTGAAACCATGTAAGCACGGCAATTTGGTAAGATAACAAGAAGTGGGCAACCCTAAAGAAAACTAAGCAAGCTTTGCAAAGCTTCGTTCCACACAGCACCTCACCACTGTGACGTCATATCGCTAATTGTGACGCAAAAGATATGACGTCGTAGTTGTATATCGAAAGCTCTCTGTTGTCCCCAAAACTTAAACTGCATTCTCTTCTTTCTTGTTTTCTGCACGAAATGCATTGCCACACATTCTCTGAATATTGTAGTAATCGCAACTTTGCATTTTGTAACCTGTAATTTTAGATATAATTAGTTAAATATGCCTACCGACAATGACTGAAAAAAGTACTTTTCTATGAATATTAGCTTCCGCGGTGAAACCAGCTGTTTCAATCAGAGGCGGTTTATTATTGTGATTTAATAGCCTCTGAATGACCAATCAGAATCGAGTAATTTCCAACTTCATGGTAGAATGATTGATAAACACATGCTTATGATATAGTCGGAAAGGTACAATGGACTCTTATGATTATGGAAATGTATTTGTCGCTCATGTTCAAGCCATACGGCGATAAGAACAACTGTTTAGCAGAACAACCAAGAGTTGTCTGTTCTTGCATACTGCTAAAATGATACTTGTCAGCCCTATTTACAACATGTCCCCAGCCATGTTGCCAAGACTCAATAATGTACAAGCAGCAGTGGTATGACTGGAATAATGCTCAGGCCATTTTCTCTCTCGTTCACAATATTTGTCAGGGATCTGGAATCAAAGGTTGTACCAGAGGAGCATATATATGTCATATCTACCCTTGTGATTCCCTACCCCCAACTAAGTGGTTCACGTGACACAATATCGGCCAAGATTTACCAAGCAGATTCGATTGAACCAACATGGTGGTGACCAACAGCCAGGATATAGCTGACGGAATGCTCCGTTCAGCATTAAAGCCCACCCACTTAACCCACAATTTAGGGAAGCAACTGCGCAGATAATCACTAGATTTTAAATACATAACAGGAATGTGTGCTCGATCCCTCCCCAACTCAGCTTTCGCCAAAAACATTTATGACACATAGCAAAGCTTTGTAGTAATAGTTGCAACAAACATTTACAGTGCTAGCTGATGTATATCCTGTCACCCATATATACACACGAGCCAACTGACCTGGTCGCGTAATCTCACAGCTGATACCGGAAGTCCCGACAGGGCACTGGCATCTGCACGTGCTTCCAAATCGCACGTTCGTTCCGCCGTTCTGGCACGCTGTCTGGTCGCATGCTGTTGGAGAACAGTGCGATACCCTAAACATGCTACTCGTATATACACAAGAATCAGTGCAAAATGTATTCATAACAGAAATATAGGATAATTACGATGGAATGGACTGTATGGCTGTGTCTTCTAGTGTAAGTACAACAAATCACAGACCAGTCCATTTCATGCCATTGTCAATCGATATTTTCATGAAAGTCTTTCCCTTTCAAAATGCTGAAAATATCTAAAGGGGGAAATTGACAACAAAAGGTGATGTCCCCATTTATGTAATTCCCATGATACACTACACGGTGGTGGCGCTATTTTACTGAACTTTCATCGGGCTAACACGAAAATGCAACCTTCACCCACCCTACACAACAATCTACACCCATCCTGCACTATAACCTACACCCACCCTGCACTACAACCTTCACCCACCCAACATAAAAACCTACACCGACCCTACACTACAACCTACACCCACCCAACATAACAACCTACACCCACCCTACACTACAACCTACACCCACCCTGCACTACAACCTACACCCACCCAACATAGAAACCTACACCCACCCTGCACTACAACCTACACCAACCCAACATAACAACCTACACAGACCCTACACTACAACCTACACCCACCCTGCACTACAACCTTCACCCACCCAACATAAAAACCTACACCGACCCTACACTACAACCTACACCCACCCAACATAACAACCTACACCCACCCTACACTACAACCTACACCCACCCTGCACTACAACCTACACCCACCAAACATAAAAACCTACACCCACCCTGCACTACAACCTACACCAACCCAACATAACAACCTACACAGACCCTACACTACAACCTACACCCACCCTACACTACAACCTACACCCACCCTACACTACAACCTACACCCACCCTGCACTACAACCTACACCCACCCAACATAAAAACCTACACCCACCCTGCACTACAACCTACACCAACCCAACATAACAACCTACACCGACCCTACACTACAACCTACACCAACCCTGCACTACAACCTACACCCACCCAACATAACAACCTACACCCACCCTGCACTACAACCTACACCCACCCAACATAAAAACCTACACCGACCCTACACTACAACCTACACCCACCCTGCACTACAACCTACACCCACCCTGCACTACAACCTACACCCACCCAACATAACAACCTACACCCACCCTGCACTACAACCTACACCGACCCTACACTACAACCTACGATGTACGATGGGTGTAGGTTGTAGTGTACGATGGGTGTAGGTTGTTGTGTAGGATGGGTGTAGGTTGTAGTGCAGGATGGGTGTAGGTTGTTGTGTAGGATGGGCGAGGTTGTAGTGCAGGGTGGGTGTAGGTTGTTGTGTAGGATGGGTGTAGGTTGTAGTGCAGGATGGGTGTAGATTTTTGCACTACAACCTAAACCCACCCAACATAACAACCTACACCCACCCTGCACTACAACCTTCACCCACCCTGCACTACAACCTACACCCACCCAACATAACAACCTACACCCACCCTGCACTACAACCTACACCCACCCTGCACTACAACCTACACCCACCCAACATAACAACCTACACCCACCCTGCACTACAACCTACACCCATCCTACACAACAATCTACACCCACCCTGCACTACAACCTACACCCACCCAACATAACAACCTACACCCACCCTGCACTACAACCTACACCCATCCTACACAACAATCTACACCCATCCTGCACTACAACCTACACCCACCCTACACAACAACCTACACAACAACCTACACCCCTCCTGCACTTTAACCTATACCCACCCTACACAACACAACAACCTACACATATCCTGCACTACAACCTACACCCATCCTACACAACAACCTACACCCATCCTGCACTACAACCTACACCCACCCTGCACAACAATCTACACCCATCCTGCACTACAACCTACACCCACCCTACACAACACCCTACACAACAACCTACACCCCTCCTGCACTTTAACCTATACCCACCCTACACAACACAACAACCTACACATATCCTACACAACAACCTACACCCATCCTGCACTACAACCTACACCCACCCTGCACAACAATCTACACCCATCCTGCACTACAACCTACACCCATCCTACACAACAATCTACGCCCATCCTGCACTACAACCTACACCCACCCTGAACAACAACCTACACCTATCCTGCACTACAACCTACACCCACCCTGCACTACAACCTACACCCATCCTACACAACAACCTACACCTATCCTGCACTACAACCTACACCCACCCTGCACTACAACCTACACCCACCCAACATAACAACCTACACCCACCCTGCACTACAACCTACACCCATCCTACACAAAAATCTACACCAATCATGCACTACAACCTACACCCATCCTACAAAAAAATCTACACCCTTCCTGCACTACAACCTACACCACTCCTACACAACAACCTACACCCACCCTGCACTACAACCTCGCCCATCCTACACAACAACCTACACCCACCCTGCACTACAACCTACACCCACTCTGCACTACAACCTACACCCACCCTGCACTACAACCTACACCCACCCAACATAACAACCTACACCCACCCTGCACTACAACCTACACCCACCCAACATAACAACCTACACCCATCCTGCACTACAACCTACACCCATCCTACACAAAAATCTACACCAATCATGCACTACAACCTACACCCATCCTACACAAAAATCTACACCCTTCCTGCACTACAACCTACACCCATCCTACACAACAATCTACTCCCATCCTGCACTAAAACCTTCACCCATCCTACACTACAACCTACACCCATCCTGCACTACAGCCTACACAACAATCTACACCCATCCTGCACTACAACCAACACCCACCCTACACAACACCCTACACAACAACCTACACATATCCTGCACTACAACCTACACCCATCCTACACAACAATCTACACCCATCCTACACAACAACCTACACCCATCCTACACAACAACCTACACCCATCCTACACAACAACCTACACCCATCCTGCACTACAACCTACACCCACCCTGAACAACAACCTACACCCACCCTGCACTACAACCTACACCCACCCTGCACAACAACCTACACCCATCCTGCACTACAACCTACACCCATCCTACACAACAACCTACACCCATCCTACAAAACAACCTACACCCATCCTACACAACAACCTACACCCATCCTGCACTACAACCTACACCCACCCTGAACAACAACCTACACCCACCCTGCACTACAACCTACACCCACCCTGCACAACAACCTACACCCATCCTGCACTACAACCTACACTCATCCTACACAACAATCTACACCCATCCTGCACTACAACCTACACCCATCCTACACAACAACCTACACCCATCCTACACAACAACCTACACCCATCCTGCACTACAACCTACACCCATCCTACACAACAACCTACACCCATCCCACACAACAACCTACACCCATCCTACACAACAACCTACACCCATCCTGCACTACAACCTACACCCACCCTGAACAACAACCTACACCCACCCTGCACTACAACCTACACCCACCCTGCACAACAACCTACACCCATCCTGCACTACAACCTACACCCATCCTTCACAACAACCTACACCCATCCTACACAACAACCTACACCCATCCTACACTACAACCTACACCCATCCTACACAACAACCTACACCCACCCTGCACTACAACCTACACCCATCCTGCACTACAACCTACACCCATCGTACACTACAACCTACACCCTATTAGGCGAAGGCCCGCCAACAACCATGTATACAACAAAGATAACTTGTATTGTTAACAGCGATTGAGGTTGCCGAACTCATCATTCAGATGGAGTGTACTCACGGATAATAATTCGAGCTCCACAAAATTCACCAGTAAATCCATTGGCGCACTGGCACACACAGCGTCCGCCACTCAGCACCTGTGTACCGCCATTCTGACAGAGTTGGGAGTTGGCGTCACAGACTGGCGATAATAATAACAATAATAATAATAATAATAATCAACGCCACACTATAATAATAACGACTCATCCTCACCACCGTAATGATCATAATAGTTACTACACCTACATCATCATTATCATCATCATCATCATCATTGCATCGTCATTGTCATCAGCAGTTTTACCATGATCATTTCGTGATGCAAGCGACTCAAGAACCATGTCTTGACTCCGACAAGAAACACGACCTCAATTATTAATGTTTTAAGCCAAAATTGTCACGTGCAACCTACCGGGTGTTTCGCAAAATCGTCCATTGAATGCTACTGGGCAGGCGCAGTTGCACTGTGCGTTCGGTGATGGGAAACCGCCGTTACGGCACGGGTTTGATGCGCAGGCTGAAATGATAAACTTGTTTATATATCTTATTTATACTCGTTTTTGTTGATATAAACATGTATGAACTAACTGAACATTTTCTAATTCTCACATATTGTTTATTCACGATGATTTGTAAAGTGGAGTATTATCCTGACAAAGTTTCAGCAGCGAGTTTCCCTCCGGGACTTTGAGATGGGACATATCACTTTCAAGACAAAACGACCACAGAATATCACATACCGTCTTGTTTTGTTTGTTAGTTGTTTAAGACCGCACTTACAGCGATATTCCAGCTATATGACCGCGTGAAGAATACGACGGTGGTCTATAAATAGTCGAGTGATTGATATCATGAACAATTGGGATACGGTGACATGCACCGTTAGTCGCCTCTTACGACAAGCATAGGTTGCTGAAGATCTATTCTCTTATTCTCTACCGGGATCTTCACGGGTAACACATACTGTCTGGAGAAAAATATGCAAACGTAATATTGTGAAAAGTCTTTTATTTTAAAGATCGTTACTCTTCATAATGCCCATGAAGTTTTTATTATCATGCTTGTATGATCAGCCCACAATAAGGCCATATTAAAACTCACTCAAAAACAATGACTTGTGGGTGTCTCAGGCGCCGAAATTTGCACGCACACGCACGCAAGCACGCACGCATGCATGCATGCAATGTTGCTAAATAAGTGCATTAATCTTATAATCTCGAGTGCGACGTTAAAACCCCCATTAATTTTCGACTCGTCTCGCCTCACCTTACTCGTGCCAGGAAGTTAGCAACGTCGAAACAGAACTCAGAGTGATCCTTGTTTTGTCAACACCATACCTGTAGCTTTGACTTAACTGGTAAACATTTAAGAACTAAATTACTTCGGGGTTTCCTCCAATATCATGTTGTCACGCCGTGGTATAACTGAACTATTGTTCAAGGCGACGTCAAACCCAAGTCACTCAAACTCACTGCAACGCGCTATGCTAACACTCACTGTCGCACAGTTGTCCGGTATATCCCGTGTCGCACTGGCAGGAGCACGGACTGGTTGCCGTTGCTTCGACCAGAGTACCGAACCGGCAGTTGAGCGAGCACGGAGGACCTGGGAACACGGCATCAGTACTAAACATCACAGGCATCATATACATACACAGAGAATAGTATTGCCAATAACATATTTATCTTATCCAGTGATGGTTTCTTGACAATGTCAGATATAAACATGTTATTTGACGAGAAAACACCAGTGTTCTATTTTTTACGTAGTTTCTTTGTGATCTACACCATCGTGCTCTGAAAACATAGTGTCACTGAGGCACTGAGGCAGATTGAGTGTAGAATGTATTAAATATCATTTTACTAAAGTGATGTTGGATTTTTTATTTTCAGAATTCGTCACATAATGAACAGTCCATGACATGACACATGACCTCATTATTTCCTTGTTGACGTCACTGCAGTAAAAGTGAAATGTGACGTCACTATGTTAATTGAATTCATATATTGATAACAGAACCAAAGAGAAACTGAGGATTTAGCTCACTGAAGAATTACGCAAATATATATTAGATGGTCACACCTGTTTCACACTGGTTACCAGAGAAGCCAGGAAGGCAGGTGCATGGACAGACGCCATTCGAGGGTTGGGGGACACGCTGGGGGGTTCCTCCGTTCATACAGAACTGGCGACCATCGCAAACTAAAGGAAATGACACCTCAGGTAAACACAGGTACGAAGAACACAGTCTGTAATGCGCATTCACACTCATACACATTGATTCGCCAGGCAGCATTAGTTCAAATAGTCCTAGCGTCCTGTAAATGATCAAGCCTGTGCCAGAATGACCAGTTGTTGAGCAACGCTCCACGCAGTTGAGGCTCGATGACACACAACCCGCCAGGCCTGATACTGTAACCAGGCGATCCACATTAGTCCGTATTTTTAATAGCATGGGCTACCTCCTTGGTCAGACATTTCTAACAAAATCTTTTAGTTATGAAGAACACCCGACAACACAGAACTGATCTGTAAGGCACCCGGAAGAATTATATCTGCGTGTTTTCCAAACAAACACTTGTTGATTTGAGTTATGTTTTATAACTCAACATTATGAAAACTTTCAAGAAATTGTTCGCAATAAAACATTTTTATATATACCGAGTAATCATGTGGAGAGAGGAAAGCAAAAACAATTGTAAACAATGCTCACATCGTGTTTCACAGCGAGATCCCGCGTAATCAGAGGGACAGACGCAGACACACTGTCCATTCTGCTGGCTGACACGCCCGTTATTCAGACACGTGAAGGTAGCACATGGATCGACTGAAAGAACACATAATTGTTCATCTCTATCGTAATAGGTGTTTCAAGAAGACATCGTGAGTGGGAGTAGGCTCGAGAAATTTGGAGAAGTCCCTGAGAGGTTTCATTCAAGTTAAATTTAATTATACAAATCAATCTCAGTTTATGATGACCCTACGTAAAGATATCATATGAATGAGATCTGTTACGTCAGTTCTTTCATTAAAGGATTTTTAGTTACAGTAAACAAATCAACGATTCATGACTGCTGTTTTATAATTTCTCAGATACCTTCGATGCCTCTCAATATTATGACGAAGCTTAATCAGAAAGAGCTAGTATTGCATATGAAGTACATATGGCGTTCTTGTCACTGACGTAATAGTTAAGAAGCAATATAAACATTTTATTCTCCATCAGAGAATTATATAAAGTACATTGCTACATGCACAATCATCATGGATATTATAATGTGGCATTCAGACAGAGTGTATCATAATCTGAAAAAGAACAAAGCAGCTTATATCCGGTTTACATCATAACCAAACAGCTTCATGATTAAGCATATGCAATATTCCTTGCAACCTGTGTGCAAAGCATTATGCTGTTATATGAAAGACATACATGTTATAACAAGCTGAAATTAAACATACAAAACATAACCGGAAATTCGTTCTGAAATAACATCCAACACTATATATTAATGTATATCGATGGTAAGCACCACAACGTAATGGAAGCTAATACTGTACAATACTAATATGTGCCAACGCCAACGAAAATCACATAGAATTCAGGTATGAGGCAAGAATTCATAGTCTATGAAATAGACGATAATGAAGGCAGCACACAAAAAGCCGAAAAAACGACACAAACAGGTATACCAATTGTGAAATGTTTGAAAGTATGATGTATATAGCCAGAACGTTAAAATCCAGAGCATATCTTTTGAAAAGAGCATCTGAGGAAAGGCAGAGAGAATGCGGATGTTCATTCTCTATTTTTTTTCAAAGCATCACACAGCAAGTATTGAAACATGGGTATTGAAATGGCCCCGTCGTGCATACACACATTAAACTGTCCATTGTGGGGACAAAGAATCAACTAGCAGAGATTGAAATACGAGTATTGAAGTAGCTTCAACATACATGCATATAGTCAAACAGCTGATACAGGCGTGGAAAAAGTTGCACAAGCGCTGAAACAAGGGTATTGAAATGGTATCAGCAAGCACAAGATCCGGACTGTCTCTGACATCTGTAAAGCATCATACACGAGCTGCAACAAGGGCATTGAAATAGTCTCAACATGCATAGAGACAAAGAAGTGTCTTTCGAATGTAAAGTTCTTCAGACAGCAAGATCCGGAACATAGGAATGCCATGCATAGTATAGAAGAGTTGACATGACACCATGCTGTCATACTTCCAGTATTCTCGCACTGCAGTCCAAAGTATCCGTCCATGCATACACATTGGCATCTATCAAGATCGATATCCCATGTGCCCTCCTGGGAACAGCCGAGTTCAGCAGCCGTGCACTGTGGACCTAATGGTGATACTCGTCACGACTGAGTGAAGGGGACAACAGGAAAGCACGCAAAATAGGTGAATCCAAAATGCAAATGTCGGGTATTCTGATGAAGACATCAAGCCTGAGATGAAACAACTAGGTCTGATAGTATTGATCTAAGACTAGTAAACACAGACAAGATTATTATGCAGAGTTGTTCGATCTAAATAGGATACAAAGACGAGAAGACACTGTCATTTATAAAGGACAAGAACATGTAGAACCATGTAAGGGCTGAAATTGGTGTGAATAGAAAGATTGTTGAAACGAGTTTTCCTCTTCTGAATAGAAGGAAAGATAAGCCTACTCTGGCCTTGGCAGGTGTCTCCAGTGAAACCAACTTTGCAGAGACATGTGCAGGTGTCAGTGTCAGTCTCAGCAGTTCCAGCTGGGTCACAGTTTAGACCAGGACAAACCGCAGACCGGTCATCTGAAACATGACATCTGTTGTGAGGAACTATAGTGAACATTGTAACGATATATTTAGGCTTTACAGCCATATAAACCCATTTGGGGGAAAGCGAAGCATCTCCATAATTCAAATCTGCTGTGATACAAATCGATGCCGTCCCTCCACTAAAATGGAAGCTAAGCTGTTGCACCTACTAACAAAATGTATTACACAAAGCAGTAACTGTTACAACCACATAGCTGTAAATAAAGCGATTAAACCCTTTCCATAACCAGACGAAACTTCAATATGTGAGTGTGGCATCAGAGATACTCGTAAGCTATAGAGGAATACGTGTCTTTTCTTTTACACATGGTACACTTATACATTTTGATATTTCGTCCTCACACCCAGTAATGCAACAAACACATATGTACCGGGTTCACATCTAGGACCAGAATATCCTGGCCTGCACTGGCACTGGCATGTACTGGTAATTAACATTGTACCAGAATCGTCACAGTCAGCAAATGGACACCCATTATTATCTGCAAACAAAATTATTAAATAGGGTAAACGAAATACTCATAATAATATGAGTGATTGTCCTCATAATATGGGAATTAGAATCAGTCATCGTTTCAGTCTAAAGTTTTAAATTAGTTTTAAGAACGATCGGATGAGATTCAAACAACGTAAATATTACTTATTATCTGGGCTTTCTTAATCATAGTAAGTCCACCAGTATCTTTGTCTTTGAAATGGTTACTGTCACGTGTATGTGAAGTTAGAAGCTATTGTACCCGGTTGACAGGAATCCCCAGAGTATCCGGCTTTGCAGACACATTTGCAGTTGTTGACATCTCTGAAGTCTGTCCCACTATCGTTACAGATTAAACTGGTACAGGTCTGACCTGGTGGCCTGATTGGTGCCTGGGTTGTTAGGTTGGGAATGCTTGACCCTAAATCAAGCAATCGTATTGTTCAGAGTAATATATATGTAACTAAAGGTTAAGAGGGAAAAAACAAGCAAATCAACATTTTTTTAAAGAAAGTATGTCACTTTGACAAGAAACGCAAGAATATTAATGTGTGCAATGCAGAGGCAGTTTATGTTTCTTCATCACCACAGCAAACCAAGAACAGTGTCCTGGTGCTGTTCTCGGTGGACTACCTTCCCCTAAAGGTATTTAAAAGTACTCCAACATTACTAAATACAAACATGTTTTAACTTTTGTACATGACAGAAGGGCATGCGAAAGATGTCAATCACATTGAAAAGGTAAAGGAAAGAATTAGCCCTCTGACACGAGTCCCCAGAAAATCCACGTCTACAGATACATCTACAATTTCTGATATCTCTCCTGGCTGTCCCTGACTCGTTACAGTTCAGGTTGGTACATGTTTGTCCAGTTGGGGCTGAAGTTGATCGTGGTGGTACACCTGGTCCTAAAGATTTATTCACGACATGCTTAAATAAAACGATTTCTTTTCAAATAAAGTGGGGAATGAAGATGTTGATTGAAATAAATCTCAAATAAGATATGATAGAACGGAGTCACATAGATGATAGAAATGTATATAAAAGATGTCATGCACATTGAATAGGTGCAAAAGAAAGAAAGAATTACCCCGCTGACACGAGTCCCCGGAAAATCCTTGTGTACAGATACATCGACAATTTCTGATATCTCTCCTGGCTGTCCCTGACTCGTTACAGTTAAGGCTGGTACACGTTTGTCCAGTTGGGGCTGAAGTTGATCGTGGTGGTTAAATAAAACAATTTTTTTTTCAAATAAATTGGGGGAGTGAAGATATTGAATGAAATAAATCTCAAATAAGACATGAGAAACCGGCGTCTTATAGATGATAGAAATGTATATGAAAGATGTCATGCACATTGAATAGGTGCAAAAGAAAGAAAGAATTACCCCTCTGACACGAGTCCCCAGAAAATCCACGTCTACAGATACATCGACAATTTCTGATATCTCTCCTGGCTGTCCCTGACTCGTTACAGTTTAGGCTGGTACACGTTTGTCCATTTGGGGCTGAAGTTGATCGTGGTGGTACACCTGGTCCTAAAGATTTATTCACGACATGCTTAAATAATACGGTTTCTTTTCAAATAAAGCGTTGGAATGAAGATGTTGATTGAAATAAATCTCAAATAAGACATGAGAAACCGGCGTCTTATAGATGATAGAAATGTATATGAAAGATGTCATGCACATTGAATAGGTGCAAAAGAAAGAAAAAATTACCCCTCTGACACGAGTCCCCAGAAAATCCACGTCTACAGATACATCGACAATTTCTGATATCTCTCCTGGCTGTCCCTGACTCGTTACAGTTAAGGCTGGTACACGTTTGTCCAGTTGGGGCTGAAGTTGATCGTGGTGGTACACCTGGTCCTAAAGATTTATTCACGACATGCTTAAATAATACGATTTCTTTTCAAATAACGTGGGGGTATGAAGATGTTGATTGAAATAAATCTCAAATAAGATATGAGAAACCGGCGTCTTATAGATAATAGAAATGTATATAAAAGATGTCATGCACATTGAATTGGTGCAAAAGAAAGAAAGAATTACCCCTCTGACACGAGTCCCCAGAAAATCCACGTCTACAGATACATCTACAATTTCTGATATCTCTCCTGGCTGTCCCCGACTCGTTACAGTTAAGGCTGGTACACGTTTGTCCAGTTGGGGCTGAAGTTGATCGTGGTGGTATACCTGGTCCTAAAGATTTATTCACGACATGCTTAAATAAAACGATTTCTTTTCAAATAAAGTGGGGGAGTGAAGATATTAAATGAAAAAAATCTCAAATAAGACATGAGAAACCGGCGTCTTATAGATGATAGAAATGTATATGAAAGATGTCATGCACATTGAATAGGTGCAAAAGAAAGAAAGAATTACCCCTCTGACACGAGTCCCCAGAAAATCCACGTCTACAGATACATCGACAATTTCTGATATCTCTCCTGGCTGTCCCTGACTCGTTACAGTTAAGGCTGGTACACGTTTGTCCAGTTGGGGCTGAAGTTGATCGTGGTGGTACACCTGGTCCTAAAGATTTATTCACGACATGCTTAAATAAAACGATTTCTTTTCAAATAAAGTGGGGGAGTGAAGATATTAAAAGAAATAAATCTCAAATAAGACATGAGAAACCGGCGTCTTATAGATGATAGAAATGTATATAAAAGATGTCATGCACATTGAATAGGTGCAAAAGAAAGAAAGAATTACCCCTCTGACACGAGTCCCCAGAAAATCCACGTCTACAAATACATCTACAATTTCTGATATCTCTCCTGGCTGTCCCCGACTCGTTACAGTTAAGGCTGGTACACGTTTGTCCAGTTGGGGCTGAAGTTGATCGTGGTGGTACACCTGGTCCTAAAGATTTATTCACGACATGCTTAAATAAAACGATTTCTTTTCAAATAAAGTGGGGGATGAAGATGTTGATTGAAATAAATCTCAAATAAGATATGATAGAACAGAGTCACATAGATGATAGAAATGCATATAAAAGATGTCATGCACATTGAATAGGTGCAAAAGAAAGAAAGAATTACCCCTCTGACACGAGTCCCCAGAAAATCCACGTCTACAGATACATCGACAATTTCTGATATCTCTCCTGGCTGTCCCCGACTCGTTACAGTTTAGGCTGGTACACGTTTGTCCAGTTGGGGCTGAAGTTGATCGTGGTGGTACACCTGGTCCTAAAGATTTATTCACGACATGCTTAAATAAAACGATTTCTTTTCAAATAAAGTGGGGAATGAAGATGTTGATTGAAATAAATCTCAAATAAGATATGATAGAACGGAGTCACATAGATGATAGAAATCAGTGCCCCTTTAAATAAAACCATTTCCTTTTAATTAAAGTAGGGGAGTGAAGATATTGAATGAAAAAAATCTCAAATAAGACACGAGAAACCGGCGTCTTATAGATGATAGAAATGTATATGAAAGATGTCATGCACATTGAATAGGTGCAAAAGAAAGAAAGAATTACCCCTCTGACACGAGTCCCCAGAAAATCCACGTCTACAGATACATCTACAATTTCTGATATCTCTCCTGGCTGTCCCTGACTCGTTACAGTTAAGGCTGGTACACGTTTGTCCAGTTGGGGCTGAAGTTGATCGTGGTGGTACACCTGGTCCTAAAGATTTATTCACGACATGCTTAAATAAAACGATTTCTTTTCAAATAAAGTGGGGGATGAAGATGTTGATTGAAATAAATCTCAAATAAGATATGATAGAACAGAGTCACATAGATGATAGAAATGCATATAAAAGATGTCATGCACATTGAATAGGTGCAAAAGAAAGAAAGAATTACCCCTCTGACACGAGTCCCCAGAAAATCCACGTCTACAGATACATCGACAATTTCTGATATCTCTCCTGGCTGTCCCCGACTCGTTACAGTTAAGGCTGGTACACGTTTGTCCAGTCGGGGCTGAAGTTGATCGTGGTGGTACACCTGGTCCTAAAGATTTATTCACGACATGCTTAAATAAAACGATTTCTTTTCAAATAAAGTGGGGGAGTGAAGATATTAAAAGAAATAAATCTCAAATAAGACATGAGAAACCGGCGTCTTATAGATGATAGAAATGTATATAAAAGATGTCATGCACATTGAATAGGTGCAAAAGAAAGAAAGAATTACCCCTCTGACACGAGTCCCCAGAAAATCCACGTCTACAGATACATCGACAATTTCTGATATCTCTCCTGGCTGTCCCCGACTCGTTACAGTTAAGGCTGGTACACGTTTGTCCAGTTGGGGCTGAAGTTGATCGTGGTGGTACACCTGGTCCTAAAGATTTATTCACGAAATGCTTAAATAAAACGATTTCTTTTCAAATAAAGTCGGGGAGTGAAGATATTGAATGAAATAAATCTCAAATAAGATATGATAGACTGGAATCACATAGATGATAGAAATGTATATGAAAGATGTCATGCACATTGAATAGGTGCAAAAGAAAGAAAGAATTACCCCTCTGACACGAGTCCCCAGAAAACCCACGTCTACAGATACATCGACAATTTCTGATATCTCTTCTGGCTGTCCCTGACTCGTTACAGTTAAGGCTGGTACACGTTTGTCCAGTTGGGGCTGAAGTTGATCGTGGTGGTACACCTGGTCCTAAAGATTCATTCACGACATGCTTAAATAAAACGATTTCTTTTCAAATAAAGTCGGGGAGTGAAGATATTGAATGAAATCAATCTCAAATAAGACATGAGAAACCGGCGTCTTATAGATGATAGAAATGTATATAAAAGATGTCATCCACATTGAATTGGTGCAAAAGAAAGAAAGAATTACCCCTCTGACACGAGTCCCCAGAAAATCCACGTCTACAAATACATCGACAATTTCTGATATCTCTCCTGGCTGTCCCCGACTCGTTACAGTTAAGGCTGGTACACGTTTGTCCAGTTGGGGCTGAAGTTGATCGTGGTGGTACACCTGGTCCTAAAGATTTATTCACGACATGCTTAAATAAAACGATTTCTTTTCAAATAAACTGGGGGAGTGAAGATATTGAATGAAATAAATCTCAAATAAGACATGAGAAACCGGCGTCTTATAGATGATAGAAATGTATATAAAAGATGTCATGCACATTGAATAGGTGCAAAAGAAAGAAAGAATTACCCCTCTGACACGAGTCCCCAGAAAATCCACGTCTACAGATACATTTACAATTTCTGATATCTCTCCTGGCCGTCCCTGACTCGTTACAGTTTAGGCTGGTACACGTTTGTCCAGTTGGGGCTGAAGTTGATCGTGGTGGTACACCTGGTCCTAAAGATTTATTCACGACATGCTTAAATAAAACGATTTCTTTTATAATAAAGTGGGGGAGTGAAGATATTAAATGAAATAAATCTCAAATAAGATATGATAGACCGGAATCACATAGATGATAGAAATGTATATGAAAGATGTCATGCACATTGAATAGGTGCAAAAGAAAGAAAGAATTACCCCTCTGACACGAGTCCCCAGAAAACCCACGTCTACAGATACATCGACAATTTCTGATATCTCTCCTGGCTGTCCCTGACTCGTTACAGTTAAGGCTGGTACACGTTTGTCCAGTTGGGGCTGAAGTTGATCGTGGTGGTACACCTGGTCCTAAAGATTTATTCACGACATGCTTAAATAAAACGATTTCTTTTCAAATAAAGTGGGGGAGTGAAGATATTAAAAGAAATAAATCTCAAATAAGACATGAGAAACCGGCGTCTTATAGATGATAGAAATGTATATAAAAGATGTCATGCACATTGAATAGGTGCAAAAGAAAGAAAGAATTACCCCTCTGACACGAGTCCCCAGAAAATCCACGTCTACAAATACATCTACAATTTCTGATATCTCTCCTGGCTGTCCCCGACTCGTTACAGTTAAGGCTGGTACACGTTTGTCCAGTTGGGGCTGAAGTTGATCGTGGTGGTACACCTGGTCCTAAAGATTTATTCACGACATGCTTAAATAAAACGATTTCTTTTCAAATAAAGTGGGGGATGAAGATGTTGATTGAAATAAATCTCAAATAAGATATGATAGAACAGAGTCACATAGATGATAGAAATGCATATAAAAGATGTCATGCACATTGAATAGGTGCAAAAGAAAGAAAGAATTACCCCTCTGACACGAGTCCCCAGAAAATCCACGTCTACAGATACATCGACAATTTCTGATATCTCTCCTGGCTGTCCCCGACTCGTTACAGTTTAGGCTGGTACACGTTTGTCCAGTTGGGGCTGAAGTTGATCGTGGTGGTACACCTGGTCCTAAAGATTTATTCACGACATGCTTAAATAAAACGATTTCTTTTCAAATAAAGTGGGGAATGAAGATGTTGATTGAAATAAATCTCAAATAAGATATGATAGAACGGAGTCACATAGATGATAGAAATCAGTGCCCCTTTAAATAAAACCATTTCCTTTTAATTAAAGTAGGGGAGTGAAGATATTGAATGAAAAAAATCTCAAATAAGACACGAGAAACCGGCGTCTTATAGATGATAGAAATGTATATGAAAGATGTCATGCACATTGAATAGGTGCAAAAGAAAGAAAGAATTACCCCTCTGACACGAGTCCCCAGAAAATCCACGTCTACAGATACATCTACAATTTCTGATATCTCTCCTGGCTGTCCCTGACTCGTTACAGTTAAGGCTGGTACACGTTTGTCCAGTTGGGGCTGAAGTTGATCGTGGTGGTACACCTGGTCCTAAAGATTTATTCACGACATGCTTAAATAAAACGATTTCTTTTCAAATAAAGTGGGGGATGAAGATGTTGATTGAAATAAATCTCAAATAAGATATGATAGAACAGAGTCACATAGATGATAGAAATGCATATAAAAGATGTCATGCACATTGAATAGGTGCAAAAGAAAGAAAGAATTACCCCTCTGACACGAGTCCCCAGAAAATCCACGTCTACAGATACATCGACAATTTCTGATATCTCTCCTGGCTGTCCCCGACTCGTTACAGTTAAGGCTGGTACACGTTTGTCCAGTCGGGGCTGAAGTTGATCGTGGTGGTACACCTGGTCCTAAAGATTTATTCACGACATGCTTAAATAAAACGATTTCTTTTCAAATAAAGTGGGGGAGTGAAGATATTAAAAGAAATAAATCTCAAATAAGACATGAGAAACCGGCGTCTTATAGATGATAGAAATGTATATAAAAGATGTCATGCACATTGAATAGGTGCAAAAGAAAGAAAGAATTACCCCTCTGACACGAGTCCCCAGAAAATCCACGTCTACAGATACATCGACAATTTCTGATATCTCTCCTGGCTGTCCCCGACTCGTTACAGTTAAGGCTGGTACACGTTTGTCCAGTTGGGGCTGAAGTTGATCGTGGTGGTACACCTGGTCCTAAAGATTTATTCACGAAATGCTTAAATAAAACGATTTCTTTTCAAATAAAGTCGGGGAGTGAAGATATTGAATGAAATAAATCTCAAATAAGATATGATAGACTGGAATCACATAGATGATAGAAATGTATATGAAAGATGTCATGCACATTGAATAGGTGCAAAAGAAAGAAAGAATTACCCCTCTGACACGAGTCCCCAGAAAACCCACGTCTACAGATACATCGACAATTTCTGATATCTCTTCTGGCTGTCCCTGACTCGTTACAGTTAAGGCTGGTACACGTTTGTCCAGTTGGGGCTGAAGTTGATCGTGGTGGTACACCTGGTCCTAAAGATTCATTCACGACATGCTTAAATAAAACGATTTCTTTTCAAATAAAGTCGGGGAGTGAAGATATTGAATGAAATCAATCTCAAATAAGACATGAGAAACCGGCGTCTTATAGATGATAGAAATGTATATAAAAGATGTCATCCACATTGAATTGGTGCAAAAGAAAGAAAGAATTACCCCTCTGACACGAGTCCCCAGAAAATCCACGTCTACAAATACATCGACAATTTCTGATATCTCTCCTGGCTGTCCCCGACTCGTTACAGTTAAGGCTGGTACACGTTTGTCCAGTTGGGGCTGAAGTTGATCGTGGTGGTACACCTGGTCCTAAAGATTTATTCACGACATGCTTAAATAAAACGATTTCTTTTCAAATAAACTGGGGGAGTGAAGATATTGAATGAAATAAATCTCAAATAAGACATGAGAAACCGGCGTCTTATAGATGATAGAAATGTATATAAAAGATGTCATGCACATTGAATAGGTGCAAAAGAAAGAAAGAATTACCCCTCTGACACGAGTCCCCAGAAAATCCACGTCTACAGATACATTTACAATTTCTGATATCTCTCCTGGCCGTCCCTGACTCGTTACAGTTTAGGCTGGTACACGTTTGTCCAGTTGGGGCTGAAGTTGATCGTGGTGGTACACCTGGTCCTAAAGATTTATTCACGACATGCTTAAATAAAACGATTTCTTTTATAATAAAGTGGGGGAGTGAAGATATTAAATGAAATAAATCTCAAATAAGATATGATAGACCGGAATCACATAGATGATAGAAATGTATATGAAAGATGTCATGCACATTGAATAGGTGCAAAAGAAAGAAAGAATTACCCCTCTGACACGAGTCCCCAGAAAACCCACGTCTACAGATACATCGACAATTTCTGATATCTCTCCTGGCTGTCCCCGACTCGTTACAGTTAAGGCTGGTACACGTTTGTCCAGTTGGGGCTGAAGTTGATCGTGGTGGTACACCTGGTCCTAAAGATTTATTCACGACATGCTTAAATAAAACGATTTCTTTTCAAATAAAGTGGGGGAGTGAAGATATTGAATGAAATAAATCTCAAATAAGACATGAGAAACCGGCGTCTTATAGATGATAGAAATGTATATAAAAGATGTCATGCACATTGAATAGGTGCAAAAGAAAGAAAGAATTACCCCTCTCACACGAGTCCCCAGAAAATCCACGTCTACAAATACATCGACAATTTCTGATATCTCTCCTGGCTGTCCCCGACTCGTTACAGTTAAGGCTGGTACACGTTTGTCCAGTTGGGGCTGAAGTTGATCGTGGTGGTACACCTGGTCCTAAAGATTTATTCACAACATGCTTAAATTAACGATTTCTTTTCAAATAAAGGGTGGGAATGAAGATGTTGATTGAAATAAATCTCAAATAAGATATGATAGAACAGAGTCACATAGATGATAGAAATGTATATGAAAGATGTCATGCACATTGAATAGGTGCAAAAGAAAGAAAGAATTACCCCTCTCACACGAGTCCCCAGAAAATCCACGTCTACAGATACATCGACAATTTCTGATATCTCTCCTGGCTGTCCCCGACTCGTTACAGTTTAGGCTGGTACACGTTTGTCCAGTTGGGGCTGAAGTTGATCGTGGTGGTACACCTGGTCCTAAAGATTTATTCACGACATGCTTAAATAAAACGATTTCTTTTCAAATAAAGTGGGGGAGTGAAGATATTGAATGAAATAAATCTCAAATAAGACATGAGAAACCGGCGTCTTATAGATGATAGAAATGTATATGAAAGATGTCATGCACATTGAATTGGTGCAAAAGAAAGAAAGAATTACCCCTCTGACACGAGTCCCCAGAAAATCCACGTCTACAGATACATCTACAATTTCTGATATCTCTCCTGGCCGTCCCTGACTCGTTACAGTTTAGGCTGGTACACGTTTGTCCAGTTGGGGCTGAAGTTGATCGTGGTGGTACACCTGGTCCTAAAGATTTATTCACGACATGCTTAAATAAAACGATTTCTTTTCAAATAAAGTGGGCAAGTGAAGATATAAAAAGAAATAAATCTCAAATAAGACATGAGAAACCGGCGTCTTATAGATGATAGAAATGTATATGAAAGATGTCATGCACATTGAATTGGTGCAAAAGAAAGAAAGAATTACCCCTCTGACACGAGTCCCCAGAAAATCCACGTCTACAGATACATCTACAATTTCTGATATCTCTCCTGGCCGTCCCTGACTCGTTACAGTTTAGGCTGGTACACGTTTGTCCAGTTGGGGCTGAAGTTGATCGTGGTGGTACACCTGGTCCTAAAGATTTATTCACGACATGCTTAAATAAAACGATTTCTTTTATAATAAAGTGGGGGAGTGAAGATATTAAATGAAATAAATCTCAAATAAGATATGATAGACCGGAATCACATAGATGATAGAAATGTATATGAAAGATGTCATGCACATTGAATAGGTGCAAAAGAAAGAAAGAATTACCCCTCTCACACGAGTCCCCAGAAAATCCACGTCTACAGATACATCGACAATTTCTGATATCTCTCCTGGCTGTCCCCGACTCGTTACAGTTTAGGCTGGTACACGTTTGTCCAGTTGGGGCTGAAGTTGATCGTGGTGGTACACCTGGTCCTAAAGATTTATTCACGACATGCTTAAATAAAACGATTTCTTTTCAAATAAAGTGGGGGAGTGAAGATATTGAATGAAATAAATCTCAAATAAGACATGAGAAACCGGCGTCTTATAGATGATAGAAATGTATATGAAAGATGTCATGCACATTGAATTGGTGCAAAAGAAAGAAAGAATTACCCCTCTGACACGAGTCCCCAGAAAATCCACGTCTACAGATACATCTACAATTTCTGATATCTCTCCTGGCCGTCCCTGACTCGTTACAGTTTAGGCTGGTACACGTTTGTCCAGTTGGGGCTGAAGTTGATCGTGGTGGTACACCTGGTCCTAAAGATTTATTCACGACATGCTTAAATAAAACGATTTCTTTTCAAATAAAGTGGGCAAGTGAAGATATAAAAAGAAATAAATCTCAAATAAGACATGAGAAACCGGCGTCTTATAGATGATAGAAATGTATATGAAAGATGTCATGCACATTGAATTGGTGCAAAAGAAAGAAAGAATTACCCCTCTGACACGAGTCCCCAGAAAATCCACGTCTACAGATACATCTACAATTTCTGATATCTCTCCTGGCCGTCCCTGACTCGTTACAGTTTAGGCTGGTACACGTTTGTCCAGTTGGGGCTGAAGTTGATCGTGGTGGTACACCTGGTCCTAAAGATTTATTCACGACATGCTTAAATAAAACGATTTCTTTTATAATAAAGTGGGGGAGTGAAGATATTAAATGAAATAAATCTCAAATAAGATATGATAGACCGGAATCACATAGATGATAGAAATGTATATGAAAGATGTCATGCACATTGAATAGGTGCAAAAGAAAGAAAGAATTACCCCTCTGACACGAGTCCCCAGAAAATCCACGTCTACAGATACATCGACAATTTCTGATATCTCTTCTGGCTGTCCCTGACTCGTTACAGTTAAGGCTGGTACACGTTTGTCCAGTTGGGGCTGAAGTTGATCGTGGTGGTACACCTGGTCCTAAAGATTCATTCACGACATGCTTAAATAAAACGATTTCTTTTCAAATAAAGTCGGGGAGTGAAGATATTGAATGAAATAAATCTCAAATAAGACATGAGAAACCGGCGTCTTATAGATGATAGAAATGTATATAAAAGATGTCATGCACATTGAATTGGTGCAAAAGAAAGAAAGAATTACCCCTCTGACACGAGTCCCCAGAAAATCCACGTCTACAAATACATCGACAATTTCTGATATCTCTCCTGGCTGTCCCCGACTCGTTACAGTTAAGGCTGGTACACGTTTGTCCAGTTGGGGCTGAAGTTGATCGTGGTGGTACACCTGGTCCTAAAGATTTATTCACGACATGCTTAAATAAAACGATTTCTTTTCAAATAAAGTGGGGGAGTGAAGATATTGAATGAAATAAATCTCAAATAAGACATGAGAAACCGGCGTCTTATAGATGATAGAAATGTATATAAAAGATGTCATGCACATTGAATAGGTGCAAAAGAAAGAAAGAATTACCCCTCTGACACGAGTCCCCAGAAAATCCACGTCTACAGATACATCTACAATTTCTGATATCTCTCCTGGCTGTCCCCGACTCGTTACAGTTAAGGCTGGTACACGTTTGTCCAGTTGGGGCTGAAGTTGATCGTGGTGGTACACCTGGTCCTAAAGATTTATTCACAACATGCTTAAATTAACGATTTCTTTTCAAATGAAGTGTGGGAATGAAGAAGTTGATTGAAATAAATCTCAAATAAGATATGATAGAACAGAGTCACATAGATGATATAAATGTATATGAAAGATGTCATGCACATTGAATAGGTGCAAAAGAAAGAAAGAATTACCCCTCTCACACGAGTCCCCAGAAAATCCACGTCTACAGATACATCTACAATTTCTGATATCTCTCCTGGCTGTCCCCGACTCGTTACAGTTTAGGCTGGTACACGTTTGTCCAGTTGGGGCTGAAGTTGATCGTGGTGGTACACCTGGTCCTAAAGATTTATTCACGACATGCTTAAATAAAACGATTTCTTTTCAAATAAAGTGGGCAAGTGAAGATATAAAAAGAAATAAATCTCAAATAAGACATGAGAAACCGGCGTCTTATAGATGATAGAAATGTATATGAAAGATGTCATGCACATTGAATTGGTGCAAAAGAAAGAAAGAATTACCCCTCTGACACGAGTCCCCAGAAAATCCACGTCTACAGATACATCTACAATTTCTGATATCTCTCCTGGCCGTCCCTGACTCGTTACAGTTTAGGCTGGTACACGTTTGTCCAGTTGGGGCTGAAGTTGATCGTGGTGGTACACCTGGTCCTAAAGATTTATTCACGACATGCTTAAATAAAACGATTTCTTTTATAATAAAGTGGGGGAGTGAAGATATTAAATGAAATAAATCTCAAATAAGATATGATAGACCGGAATCACATAGATGATAGAAATGTATATGAAAGATGTCATGCACATTGAATAGGTGCAAAAGAAAGAAAGAATTACCCCTCTGACACGAGTCCCCAGAAAACCCACGTCTACAGATACATCGACAATTTCTGATATCTCTCCTGGCTGTCCCTGACTCGTTACAGTTAAGGCTGGTACACGTTTGTCCAGTTGGGGCTGAAGTTGATCGTGGTGGTACACCTGGTCCTAAAGATTTATTCACGACATGCTTAAATAAAACGATTTCTTTTCAAATAAAGTCGGGGAGTGAAGATATTGAATGAAATAAATCTCAAATAAGACATGAGAAACCGGCGTCTTATAGATGATAGAAATGTATATAAAAGATGTCATGCACATTGAATTGGTGCAAAAGAAAGAAAGAATTACCCCTCTGACACGAGTCCCCAGAAAATCCACGTCTACAAATACATCGACAATTTCTGATATCTCTCCTGGCTGTCCCCGACTCGTTACAGTTAAGGCTGGTACACGTTTGTCCAGTTGGGGCTGAAGTTGATCGTGGTGGTACACCTGGTCCTAAAGATTTATTCACGACATGCTTAAATAAAACGATTTCTTTTCAAATAAACTGGGGGAGTGAAGATATTGAATGAAATAAATCTCAAATAAGACATGAGAAACCGGCGTCTTATAGATGATAGAAATGTATATAAAAGATGTCATGCACATTGAATAGGTGCAAAAGAAAGAAAGAATTACCCCTCTGACACGAGTCCCCAGAAAATCCACGTCTACAAATACATCGACAATTTCTGATATCTCTCCTGGCTGTCCCCGACTCGTTACAGTTAAGGCTGGTACACGTTTGTCCAGTTGGGGCTGAAGTTGATCGTGGTGGTACACCTGGTCCTAAAGATTTATTCACAACATGCTTAAATTAACGATTTCTTTTCAAATGAAGTGTGGGAATGAAGATGTTGATTGAAATAAATCTCAAATAAGATATGATAGAACAGAGTCACATAGATGATAGAAATGTATATGAAAGATGTCATGGACATTGAATAGGTGCAAAAGAAAGAAAGAATTACCCCTCTCACACGAGTCCCCAGAAAATCCACGTTTACAGATACATCGACAATTTCTGATATCTCTCCTGGCTGTCCCTGACTCGTTACAGTTCAGGTTGGTACACGTTTGTCCAGTTGGGGCTGAAGTTGATCGTGGTGGTACACCTGGTCCTAAAGATTTATTCACGACATGCTTAAATTAACGATTTCTTTTCAAATAAAATGGGGGAGTGAAGATATTGAATGAAATAAATCTCAAATAAGACATGAGAAACCGGCGTCTTATAGATGATAGAAATGTATATGAAAGATGTCATGCACATTGAATAGGTGCAAAAGAAAGAAAGAATTACCCCTCTGACACGAGTCCCCAGAAAATCCACGTCTACAAATACATCGACAATTTCTGATAGCTCTCCTGGCTGTCCCTGACTCGTTACAGTTTAGGCTGGTACACGTTTGTCCATTTGGGGCTGAAGTTGATCGTGGTGGTACACCTGGTCCTAAAGATTTATTCACGACATGCTTAAATAAAACGATTTCTTTTCAAATAAAGTGGGGGAGTGAAGATATTGAATGAAATAAATCTCAAATAAGATATGAGAAACCGGCGTCTTATAGATGATAGAAATGTATATGAAAGATGTCATGGACATTGAATAGGTGCAAAAGAAAGAAAGAATTACCCCTCTCACACGAGTCCCCAGAAAATCCACGTCTACAGATACATCGACAATTTCTGATATCTCTCCTGGCTGTCCCTGACTCGTTACAGTTAAGGCTGGTACACGTTTGTCCAGTTGGGGCTGAAGTTGATCGTGGTGGTACACCTGGTCCTAAAGATTTATTCACGACATGCTTAAATAAAACGATTTCTTTTCAAATAAAGTGGGCGAGTGAAGTTGTGAATGAAATAAATCTCAAATAAGACATGAGAAACCGGCGTCTTATAGATGATAGAAATGTATATAAAAGATGTCATGGACATTGAATAGGTGCAAAAGAAAGAAAGAATTACCCCTCTGACACGAGTCCCCAGAAAATCCACGTCTACAGATACATCTACAATTTCTGATATCTCTCCTGGCTGTCCCTGACTCGTTACAGTTCAGGCTGGTACATGTTTGTCCAGTTGGGGCTGAAGTTGATCGTGGTGGTACACCTGGTCCTAAAGATTTATTTACGACATGCTTAAATAAAACAATTTCCTTTCAAATAAAGTGGGGGAGTGAAGATATTGAATGAAATAAATCTCAAATAAGATTTGATAGACCGGAATCACATAGATGATAGAAATGTATATAAAAGATGTCATGCACATTGAATAGGTGCAAAAGAAAGAAAGAATTACCCCTCTGACACGAGTCCCCAGAAAATCCACGTCTACAGATACATCTACAATTTCTGATATCTCTCCTGGCTGTCCCTGACTCGTTACAGTTTAGGCTGGTACACGTTTGTCCAGTTGGGGCTGAAGTTGATCGTGGTGGTACACCTGGTCCTAAAGATTTATTCACGACATGCTTAAATAAAACGATTTCTTTTCAAATAAAGTGGGGTAATGAAGAAGTTGATTGAAATATATCTCAAATAAGATATGATAGACCAGAGTCAAGGTAGAAATGTATATGAAAGATGTTATGTCAATGAAAAGGTGGAAAAGAAAGATATATCTACAATGTAGGCTGGCACACGTTTTTTTCCGGTGGGAAGGCTATGGCCTGTGTTGAGCGTGGTGGAACATCTGGTCCTAATGTTGTTTGCGCGATATGTTTACAGACGTTTAGAAAATACAATTTTTTAACAAGATAGGGTTTGATACAGCATGTGAGCTGAAAATTGAATGAACAAGTAGAAAGCATTAAAATGAGAGAAATACTCGTGTATGAGACACGGGATAATGAGTACAGAAGAGCGACAGAGTACCCCTCTGAGACATTTGTTAATGAGGGCCAGCTGGAGCTTGAATGGATAGTGATGGTAACTACGCAACATACCTACATATTATTATTCAGTAAAATTTGTGAAGAGTTATACTATTTTACCATGTTGTTACAGACTATATACTATTGGGTTGACAAGCCTATACGAAAACAATTAAATAATATAATTGAGTGATGAAGTATATTGAGGAACTATATCAGACAGTAATCAGTAATCAGGGACTGAAGTCTGAAAAAACAAGTTGCTCGTCTGTGACTACTTATGGAAGTGGAAAAGTAGAGGCGATGCAATCTTACTGAGGTAACAATGATTTTAAAAAAGTGTGAGGAAAGAGAAAAATGAACGAAATCAGCTAATCTGATGCTTGGGCAAAGAATGTATTGTATCAAAACGAATGAAGAAAAGTGAAAGCCATGGCCAGTATGTGAGAGTGAGTGAGTTTAGTTTTATGCCGTCTTTGCAATATTTCAGCAATATCACAATATCACAGAGGGTGACACCAGATATTGGAGTCTCACATTGTACCCATATGGAGAATAGAACCCGGGCCTTTTGTGTGATGAGAGAACGCGAAACCACGAGGCTAGCCCGTACATATGCACCGTCTGGGATTATTGTTGAAAAGGGAGAAGAAAATGTATGTCTATTACTGGAGCAGTCTTGTCCAGTGTATCCGTCCTGACATACGCACTGACAGTTCAGTTCATCAACAGATGCTGTTCCTTTGTCGTTACATCGAGGGTCACATCTTGGAGCTGAAATGCAACATTTGTATTTCCATGACAACGCACAGAATGCAGCAGAGACAGGAGGTCCTTTATTTAATGGGAAAGCCTTAAAGGTTGAGGCAGAGTGACTGTAAACGTTGTATAAGACATTGCTATACAGAAGGCATGCATGTATAGTAACTGCACATTGAAGATACTAGTTTTAGGAAATGTCCATCCAAAGAGGCAAAACAATGGAACAAAAAGACATACCTTCAGGAATCGGTGTCTGACAAAGAAAAGAATATTGAAGCACACAGGTCATACAAATGGAATATACAACTGTATATCCATAGAATCCACGCTTTCAGAGTGGTTCATGCAGGAGAAGCAGGGTTTCAATAAAACATGTTCAGATTTTACTGGACACACTAAATACAAGGATGGTGCTGCTTTTAGATACCTAACAGCAAATTTACCATCGACGGCGGGGTTTTCTGTATTACATGTGCACGATGTGCGCTAGGGTAGCCCGCATGTGATACAGATGAAAGACAATATCTTCTGTAGAAGACGCTCCCAAACAAAACACATAACATCGCAATTCTTACAGGTTTATTTGTCTGTTTATAATCCCCATTTTGCGCAGTTTAACAAACATTTCCCCTGCCTGCAGGACCATCAGTAATGAATGAAAACACATCTGTTCCGGAACTGGATGGTTCTCTCCTCCTCGGCGGCTGAAGCACCGCTGCAGAATCTTGTAGAAACCTACCTGGCATTCCCCGGATCTGGAGGTAAAGACACCACGCTCTCTGTTTGATACCCCTGCAATGTAACTATGACTTACTTGGTGTTTGACATGTAGGTCCTGTGAACTGGGGGGTACATCTGCATTCGCAGTTACCACTGAAGGCGTTCTGGACTGCGCTGCCGCGGTTTGCACAGGTGATAACGCTTGAACAGTCTGAAAGGCAATAACACCATCTTGTAAACGTTTTCTTGACCAAATGTTACAGCTTTTGAGTAAGTGAATGTCAGTTATTTCGCAGCGTGTTAGTGGAAGTAAATTCTGAAGTGAAGCCGGTTTCGAAATCTAAGAACACTGACACGGTGCTGCCCAACCCAAAATCATATTAGTGTCGCACCTTCGATGATAGGATTCAGGTCCTCCGAAAGGACGTAATCCTGTACCGCGAATTTCAGCACCCTAGACCACTGGACCGCCCGTAACTCCGTAAAGCATTTGAAATGGCCGGCGAATTGCAAGTTTCAGAATTTAGAAAACAAAATACTACACACCTCTAATTTGACAGTTGGTTCCCGAGTAACCGAAGGGGCACTGGCATCGACACGAACCGGACTGACTGACAGCTGTGCCGCCGTTCTGGCAGATAAGTGAGGAACAATCTGAAAAGAAACAGTTAACAAAAACTTAATGAATGAACTTAAATAGATAAAAGGCTTTACAACTTCCATGACCAGTATTTAGAATTAGGTTTTCTATTTGGATTCGCAACTTATCCGTCTTTTTAGTATCCGAAAGGTCATAATATTTTTACCATGTTCGTTTGACATTTATTTTGAATGAACTATTGCTCCGATTTAAGACTTTAAGCTGTACATACCTTGGTTCTCACAGTTGCTCCCCGTGAAACCAGAAGCACATTGGCATCTGCATGTACCGAACTGGTTAACCGCTACACCGCCATTGCGACAGGAAATCTGTCTCGTGCAGTCTGGGAAGGAGGGAAGAACGTTGTATAATATTCTCTCAGTCTTGTTATAATTTTTATGAACGTTGGATGACAGACAACTTTTTCGTTTTGTTTGTAAAACACTTTCGACTAGCTGAATACGTAAAAGTCCATATGTGAATGTTTGTACACAATCCACATACCCAACACCTAGTGGCATTAACGTCTCTCTGCGACTCATAACATTATTTGTTTGATGGTTTCAATTTTATAGACTTGGACTTGGCAAACACTCACCAACGTTCGCACAAGTTGGTCCTGAGTAGCCAGCCGGACAGCGACATGTGCAACTTCCAAACTGTTCAATCGCTGTTCCCGAGTTCTCGCATAGGAGTTGTGTTGAACAGTCTGGAGAAGTGAGGTGATATGTAAAAAGATACTGTGATATGTAACGATATGTAAGTCAAGATAATGTTTGGGTAGGACGCTGACATAATGATAGGATAGGAGGTTGACCTAATGATAGGGTAGGACGTTGACATAAGGATACGATGTTGACATAATGATAGGACGTTGACATAATCATAGGACGTTGACTTAATGATAGGATAGGACGTTGACATAATCATAGGACGTTGACTTAATGATAGGATAGGACGTTGAAATAATCATAGGACGTTGACTTAATGATAGGATAGGACGTTGACATAATCATAGGACGTTGACTTAATGATAGGATAGGACGTTGACATAATGATATAATTAGAGGAGGATGTTAACAGCATGAGAAATATATATATATACGATCGCCCAAAGGAGCCAGAAACAGCATTTTCGCCATTTTGACAGTTAATGTCAGCGCTGGTGCACACTAAAAGCAATATTGGTTACAATGTAGCAAAATATACATGGTTTCAAGAGGATATATATAAAGTGAAGAGCAGCAATAACGCTCGCACGCTCGCACGCACTGACCTCTGGTCTGGCAGTTGGTGCCGGTGTAGCCAGTTCTGCAGCTGCACGCGCATCGCCCAAAGGAGTTAGACACAGCTGTTCCGCCATTTTGACAGTTAATGTCAGCGCTTGTGCACACTAAAAGCAATATTGATCTCCATAACTACCTACATATTTGGATAATATTCAATTTTGGATAACCGTGTGGAACAAAGTTTGAATTTGCCATGGCTTGCTCATTATGAATTCTTAAGCAGAGGTGACCATTTGCTTTGTATTTACATTTACATCCAAAAGTAGATCATAACGATAAATATAACAAGAATAGAGACATGAAGTGAAGGACGGTAATAACGCTCGCGTGCACTGACCCCTAGTCTGACAGTTGGTGCCTGTATAGCCAGTTCTGCAGCTGCACGCGCATCGCCCAAAGGAGCCAGAAACAGCTGTTCCGCCATTTTGACAGTTAATGTCAGCGCTTGCGCACACTAAAAGCAATATTGTTCCTACTAAATACCAAAATATTTGGCTTGAACTTCAGTTTTTTTGTAATAGAAAATATGTATTTGTACTTTATGACATCTGTTAATGCCTCTCTCATTCTAATTGTTAAGAATGTTGGCCATTTAGCTTTTCAGGTATAGCTCCATGAAACATAAATGGTAATTAGAAATATTTCAAGAAGAAATGTAAACTGTTGAGCAGTAATAACGCTCGCACGCACTGACCTCTGGTCTGACAGTTGGTACCGGTGTAGCCAGTTCTGCAGCTGCACGCGCATCGTCCAAAGGAGCCAGAAACAGCTGTTCCGCCATTTTGACAGTTAATATCAGCGCTTGTGCACACTAAAAGCAATATTGGTCTCCATAAATACAAACATATTTGGATAATATTCAATTTTGGATAACCGTGTGGAACAAAGTTTGAATTTGCCACGGCTTGCTCATTTCGTATTCTTAAGCAGAAATGACCATTTGCTTTGTATTTACATTTACATCCAAAAGTAGATCATAACGATCAATATAACAAGAATAGAGACATGAAGTGAAGCACAGTAATAACGCTCGCGTGCACTGACCCCTAGTCTGACAGTTGGTACCGGTATAGCCAGTTCTGCAGCTGCACACGCATCGCCCAAAGGAGTTAGAAACAGCTGTTCCGCCATTTTGACAGTTAATATCAGCGCTTGTGCACACTTAAAGCAATATTGGTCTCCATAAATACAAACATATTTGGATAATATTCAATTTTGAATAACCACGAGTTATGTGCAAACCTACATGGCGTGTAACAAAGTTTGAATTTGCCATGGCTTGCTCATTATGAATTCTTAAGCAGAGGTGACCATTTGCTTTGTATTTACATTTACATCCAAAGGTAGATCATAACGATAAATATAACAAGAATAGAGACATGAAGTGAAGGACGGTAATAACGCTCGCGTGCACTGACCCCTAGTCTGACAGTTGGTGCCGGTATAGCCAGTTCTGCAGCTGCACGCGCATCGCCCAAAGGAGCCAGAAACAGCTGTTCCGCCATTTTGACAGTTAATGTCAGCGCTTGTGCACACTAAAACAATATCGGTCTCAATAAATCCCAAATTATTTGGCTTGAACATCAGTTTTGTAATATAAAAGATGGATTTGTACTTTATGACATCTGTTAATGCTTCTTTCATTCTAATTGTTAAGATTGTTGGCCATTTAGCTTTTCAGGTTTAACTTCATCAAAACATAAATGGTAATTAGAAATATTTCAAGAAGAAATGTAAACTGTTGGGCAGTAATTACGCTCGCACGCACTGACCTCTGGTCTGGCAGTTGGTGCCGGTGTAGCCAGTTCTGCAGCTGCACGCGCATCGCCCAAAGGAGTTAGACACAGCTGTTCCGCCATTTTGACAGTTAATGTCAGCGCTTGTGCACACTTAAACAATATCGGTCTCAATAAATCCAAAAATATTTGGCTTGAACATCAGTTTTGTAATATAAAAGGTGGATTTGTACTTTATGTCATCTGTTAATGCCTCTTTCATTCTAATTGCTAAGAATGTTGGCCATTTAGCTTTTCAGGTTTAACTATATCAAAACATAAATGGTAATTAGAAATATTTCAAGAAGAAATGTAAACTGTTCAGCAGTAATTACGCTCGCACGCACTGACCTCTGGTCTGGCAGTTGGTGCCGGTGTAGCCAGTTCTGCAGCTGCACGCGCATCGCCCAAAGGAGTTAGACACAGCTGTTCCGCCATTTTGACAGTTAATGTCAGCACTTGTGCACACTAAAACAATATCGGTCTCAATAAATCCAAAAATATTTGGCTTGAACATCAGTTTTGTAATATAAAAGGTGGATTTGTACTTTATGTCATCTGTTAATGCCTCTTTCATTCTAATTGTCAAGATTGTTGGCCATTTAGCTTTTCAGGTTTAACTTCATCAAAACATAAATCGTAATTAGAAATATTTCAAAAAGAAATGTAAACTGTTCAGCAGTAATTACGCTCGCACGCACTGACCTCTGGTCTGGCAGTTGGTGCCGGTGTAGCCAGTTCTGCAGCTGCACGCGCATCGCCCAAAGGAGTTAGACACAGCTGTTCCGCCATTTTGACAGTTAATGTCAGCGCTTGTGCACACTAAAAGCAATATTGATCTCCATAACTACCTACATATTTGGATAATATTCAATTTTGGATAACCGTGTGGAACAAAGTTTGAATTTGCCACGGCTTGCTCATTTCGTATTCTTAAGCAGAAATGACCATTTGCTTTGTATTTACATTTACATCCAAAAGTAGATCATAACGATCAATATAACAAGAATAGAGACATGAAGTGAAGCACAGTAATAACGCTCGCGTGCACTGACCCCTAGTCTGACAGTTGGTGCCGGTATAGCCAGTTCTGCAGCTGCACACGCATCGTCCAAAGGAGCCAGAAACAGCTGTTCCGCCATTTTGACAGTTAATATCAACGCTTGTGCACACTAAAAGCAATATTGGTCTCCATAAATACAAACATATTTGGATAATATTCAATTTTGAATAACCACGAGTTATGTGCAAACCTACATGACGTGTAACAAAGTTTGAATTTGCCATGGCTTGCTCATTATGAATTCTTAAGCAGAGGTGACCATTTGCTTTGTATTTACATTTACATCCAAAGGTAGATCATAACGATAAATATAACAAGAATAGAGACATGAAGTGAAGGACGGTAATAACGCTCGCGTGCACTGACCCCTAGTCTGACAGTTGGTGCCTGTATAGCCAGTTCTGCAGCTGCACGCGCAACGCCCAAAGGAGTTAGAAACAGCTGTTCCGCCATTTTGACAGTTAATGTCAGCGCTTGTGCACACCAAAAGCAATATTGATCTCCATAACTACCTACATATTTGGATAATATTCAATTTTGGATAACCGTGTGGAACAAAGTTTGATTTTGCCACGGCTTGCTCATTTCGTATTCTTAAGCAGAAATGACCATTTGCTTTGTATTTACATTTACATCCAAAAGTAGATCATAACGATCAATATAACAAAAATAGAGACATGAAGTGAAGCACAGTAATAACGCTCGCGTGCACTGACCCCTAGTCTGACAGTTGGTGCCGGTATAGCCAATTCTGCATCGTCCAAAGGAGCCTGAAAGAGCTGTTCCGCCATTTTGACAGTTAATATCAGCGCTTGTGCACACCAAAAGCAATATTGGTCTCCATAAATACAAACATATTTGGATAATATTCAATTTTGAATAACCACGAGTTATGTGCAAACCTACATGACGTGTAACAAAGTTTGAATTTGCCATGGCTTGCTCATTATGAATTCTTAAGCAGAGGTGACCATTTGCTTTGTATTTACATTTACATCCAAAGGTAGATCATAACGATAAATATAACAAGAATAGAGACATGAAGTGAAGGACGGTAATAACGCTCGCGTGCACTGACCCCTGGTCTGACAGTTGGTGCCTGTATAGCCAGTTCTGCAGCTGCACGCGCATCGCCCAAAGGAGTTAGAAACAGCTGTTCCGCCATTTTGACAGTTAATGTCAGCGCTTGTGCACACCAAAAGCAATATTGATCTCCATAACTACCTACATATTTGGATAATATTCAATTTTGGATAACCGTGTGGAACAAAGTTTGAATTTGCCACGGCTTGCTCATTTCGTATTCTTAAGCAGAAATGACAATTTGCTTTGTATTTACATTTACATCCAAAAGTAGATCATAACGATCAATATAACAAGAATAGAGACATGAAGTGAAGCACAGTAATAACGCTCGCGTGCACTGACCCCTAGTCTGACAGTTGGTGCCGGTATAGCCAGTTCTGCAGCTGCACACGCATCGTCCAAAGGAGCCAGAAACAGCTGTTCCGCCATTTTGACAGTTAATATCAACGCTTGTGCACACTAAAAGCAATATTGGTCTCCATAAATACAAACATATTTGGATAATATTCAATTTTGAATAACCACGAGTTATGTGCAAACCTACATGACGTGTAACAAAGTTTGAATTTGCCATGGCTTGCTCATTATGAATTCTTAAGCAGAGGTGACCATTTGCTTTGTATTTACATTTACATCCAAAGGTAGATCATAACGATAAATATAACAAGAATAGAGACATGAAGTGAAGGACGGTAATAACGCTCGCGTGCACTGACCCCTAGTCTGACAGTTGGTGCCTGTATAGCCAGTTCTGCAGCTGCACGCGCAACGCCCAAAGGAGTTAGACACAGCTGTTCCGCCATTTTGACAGTTAATGTCAGCGCTTGTGCACACCAAAAGCAATATTGATCTCCATAACTACCTACATATTTGGATAATATTCAATTTTGGATAACCGTGTGGAACAAAGTTTGATTTTGCCACGGCTTGCTCATTTCGTATTCTTAAGCAGAAATGACCATTTGCTTTGTATTTACATTTACATCCAAAAGTAGATCATAACGATCAATATAACAAAAATAGAGACATGAAGTGAAGCACAGTAATAACGCTCGCGTGCACTGACCCCTAGTCTGACAGTTGGTGCCGGTATAGCCAATTCTGCATCGTCCAAAGGAGCCTGAAAGAGCTGTTCCGCCATTTTGACAGTTAATATCAGCGCTTGTGCACACCAAAAGCAATATTGGTCTCCATAAATACAAACATATTTGGATAATATTCAATTTTGAATAACCACGAGTTATGTGCAAACCTACATGACGTGTAACAAAGTTTGAATTTGCCATGGCTTGCTCATTATGAATTCTTAAGCAGAGGTGACCATTTGCTTTGTATTTACATTTACATCCAAAGGTAGATCATAACGATAAATATAACAAGAATAGAGACATGAAGTGAAGGACGGTAATAACGCTCGCGTGCACTGACCCCTAGTCTGACAGTTGGTGCCTGTATAGCCAGTTCTGCAGCTGCACGCGCATCGCCCAAAGGAGTTAGAAACAGCTGTTCCGCCATTTTGACAGTTAATGTCAGCGCTTGTGCACACCAAAAGCAATATTGATCTCCATAACTACCTACATATTTGGATAATATTCAATTTTGGATAACCGTGTGGAACAAAGTTTGATTTTGCCACGGCTTGCTCATTTCGTATTCTTAAGCAGAAATGACCATTTGCTTTGTATTTACATTTACATCCAAAAGTAGATCATAACGATCAATATAACAAGAATAGAGACATGAAGTGAAGCACAGTAATAACGCTCGCGTGCACTGACCCCTAGTCTGACAGTTGGTGCCGGTATAGCCAGTTCTGCAGCTGCACACGCATCGTCCAAAGGAGCCAGAAACAGCTGTTCCGCCATTTTGACAGTTAATGTCAGCGCTTGTGCACACTAAAAGCAATATTGGTCTCCATAAATACAAACATATTTGGATAATATTCAATTTTGAATAACCACGAGTTATGTGCAAACCTACATGACGTGTAACAAAGTTTGAATTTGCCATGGCTTGCTCATTATGAATTCTTAAGCAGAGGTGACCATTTGCTTTGTATTTACATTTACATCCAAAGGTAGATCATAACGATAAATATAACAAGAATAGAGACATGAAGTGAAGGACGGTAATAACGCTCGCGTGCACTGACCCCTAGTCTGACAGTTGGTGCCTGTATAGCCAGTTCTGCAGCTGCACGCGCAACGCCCAAAGGAGTTAGACACAGCTGTTCCGCCATTTTGACAGTTAATGTCAGCGCTTGTGCACACTAAAAGCAATATTGATCTCCATAACTACCTACATATTTGGATAATATTCAATTTTGGATAACCGTGTGGAACAAAGTTTGAATTTGCCACGGCTTGCTCATTTCGTATTCTTAAGCAGAAATGACCATTTGCTTTGTATTTACATTTACATCCAAAAGTAGATCATAACGATCAATATAACAAGAATAGAGACATGAAGTGAAGCACAGTAATAACGCTCGCGTGCACTGACCCCTAGTCTGACAGTTGATGCCGGTATAGCCAATTCTGCATCGTCCAAAGGAGCCTGAAAGAGCTGTTCCGCCATTTTGACAGTTAATATCAGCGCTTGTGCACACCAAAAGCAATATTGGTCTCCATAAATACAAACATATTTGGATAATATTCAATTTTGAATAACCACGAGTTATGTGCAAACCTACATGACGTGTAACAAAGTTTGAATTTGCCATGGCTTGCTCATTATGAATTCTTAAGCAGAGGTGACCATTTGCTTTGTATTTACATTTACATCCAAAGGTAGATCATAACGATAAATATAACAAGAATAGAGACATGAAGTGAAGGACGGTAATAACGCTCGCGTGCACTGACCCCTAGTCTGACAGTTGGTGCCTGTATAGCCAGTTCTGCAGCTGCACGCGCAACGCCCAAAGGAGCCAGAAACAGCTGTTCCGCCATTTTGACAGTTAATGTCAGCGCTTGTGCACACTAAAAGCAAAAATGGTCTCAATATAACAAAATATACCAGGCTGATATTCAGTTTTGAAAATTCAATATTGATGTATTCTTACATTACATATTATGGTTTGAATTTGCAAGATCTCGTTCTTTACAAATTGTTAAGATTTTTATCATTTTGCTTTTCAGGTATAGTAACATGAAAAAGTAGATGGTAATGAGAATGATTTCAAGAGGATATATAAAGTGAGGACCAGTCATTACGCTCGCACGCACTGACCTCTGGTCTGGCAGTTGGTGCCGGTGTAGCCAGTTCTGCAGTTACACACGCATTGCCGAAAGGAGTTAGACACAGCGCCGTTTTGACAGTTAATGTCAGCGCTTGTGCAAACTAAAAAGAATATTGGTATCAGTAAATCCCGACATATTTGGCTTGAATGTGTTTTTGTCATATATATTTTTGTTATTCCTCGTTCATTCTAACTGAAAAGAATGTTGACTATTTTGCTTTTCTGGTATAGCTAGAACACAAAGTAAATGGTCATAAAAATTATATCAAGAAGATTCATAAAATGAAAGGGAGAAATCAGAATAGATATGTTTCTTTTGATATGAAAGTGATGTAATATTAGGAAGCAGAACACAGGAAGAGTGACTTGAACTTACCTCTTGTCTCGCACATGGAACCAGAATATCCTGGGTTACATACACATCGACATCCGAGGCCGTCATCCTGGGCGTTACCGTTGAGGCATCCGATCAGGGCATTTGTACAGACGAGCACTATAACAACGGTGAGGCATGCTGATCTTAAACCTTCAACAGGATTATTACTGTCATCTCAAAAGTGGTGATACATTGCAGAATTTAGTCTACTTGGGGAAAGTTTCAGTAATTTACATAATACTGCCACTAAATGTTGTCTAACCGAATCACTGACTGACTGGCTGTCGAACCAATCACTGACTGACTGGCCGTCAAACCAATCACTGATACGACCAAAAGTCATATCTCAGTAGGATAAGCGGAGTCAATAACCTTGTCCAAGGAAACAACACAGTGACTTGCATGATATGCATCTTGAAATGGAAGATTTGAAATGATTATTAATAAATAAGGGTTAGATACATATTGTCTCATATGGTGATGTCTCTCTGTCAAAGATTATGGCTTTTTACGAAATACTCTGTATTGATGAGGATGGTCACATTGCGGTCGAGACTTTTTACTGAGGCTGACTTATTTTCAATGGTCCGCCCCTTTCCAATCAGGGACTGACTGACTGTCTTACCAATCACAGACTGACTGACTGTCTTACCAATCACAGACTGACTGACTGTCTTACCAATCACAGACTGACTGGCTGTCTTACCAATCACAGACTGACTGGCTGTCTTACCAATCACAGACTGACTGACTGTCTTACCAATCACAGACTGACTGACTGTCTTACCAATCACAGACTGACTGACTGTCTTACCAATCACAGACTGACTGACTGTCTCACCAATCACAGACTGACTGACTGTCTTACCAATCACAGACTGACTGGCTGTTTTACCAATCACAGACTGACTGACTGTCTTACCAATCACAGACTGACTGGCTGTTTTACCGATCACAGACTGACTGACTGTCTTACCAATCACAGACTGACTGACTGTCTTACCAATCACAGACTGACTGGCTGTTTTACCGATCACAGACTGACTGGCTGTTTTACCGATCACAGACTGACTGACTGTCTTACCAATCACAGACTGACTGGCTGTTTTACCGATCACAGACTGACTGACTGTCTTACCAATCACAGACTGACTGACTGTCTTACCAATCACAGACTGACTGGCTGTTTTACCGATCACAGACTGACTGACTGTCTTACCAATCACAGACTGACTGACTGTCTTACCAATCACAGACTGACTGGCTGTTTTACCGATCACAGACTGACTGACTGTCTTACCAATCACAGACTGACTGACTGTCTTACCAATCACAGACTGACTGGCTGTTTTACCGATCACAGACTGACTGACTAAACCGGTAAATTGACTCTTTCCATCCCCACTCACCCCGGGTGTCACAGCGTGTTCCGGTCCAGTCGGCGCTGCATGTACAGCGACAGTTGCCCAAGGAGTCAGCTTGAGCGACACCACTGATGCAGCCAATCAGAGCGTTCGTACATACTGTGGTGAAAATAATTACATTTCAATGACGGAATATTCGTGTTGGATGGCACATACTCAGGCACGCACTCACACACTCACACACTCACACACGCACACACGCACACACACACTTACCACGGTTCTCACACCTGGCACCAGAGTATCCAGCGTTGCAGAAACAGCGACATACATTGGAGCTGTCGAGGTTAGCATTACCGTTGATGCATCCAATATCAGCATTTGTACAAGACGGGGCTGTAACAGTCTAGAAGGCTTAGACAACGCATTTAACTCAACAGAACTAACTTACTTTATCAGCCTGTCGTACCTCAGGTCGGCTGACTGACACATTCGTAACCAGATGAAAATAAAATGTCGGTATCGATAACAATTATCAAAATCTTTAAATTCATTATAATGACATAGATAATGCAAATTGACTATTCATAAAGTAATGTAGAAATATATTAATGCACAAATAGTCATCCATTCTTGTAACAGCCACGCACTTCTGGAATAAAATCAGTTATTAAACGATCCTCCTTATTTAATGTGATGTGTCTTCATATAACATGCCTCTTTGGATGGACTTGATTTGAATTACATAAAGTTGCTCTTAACAACCTGTAAAGGGAAGTAACCCACAGTGTGAGGCCCGTGAAGGGCAACCAACGACATATACAGGGAGATAACCTACGGTTGGGGACACCGCAGGTAGGTCCGGTGTAGCCTGGGTTGCATAAGCATCTGCAAACACCGTTTGAGTCGAACCCAGCGTTGCCGTTCACGCAATTAGCGATGGTGTTGTCGCACAATATCCTACCTGAAAGAATATTTAGAGGTATCATTTATAATAAACAGTACTGGAGGCTCAGTGTATAGAATCGTCAGTCAGCAAGTCATTGAATCATACCGAATAAATGTTTGAAACTGCTTTTCTTGTACTGTGATGAAATGCTTGATTATTCATCTTATGTACTGAATAATAAACAGTTGGTTATAACAATATAACAGTTAGTCTGTCGTACAAGCAGCAGCAGCAGCAGCAGCAGCAGTAGTAGTATACGTAGTAGTAGTAGTTGTTGTTGGTTGTTGTTGATGTGGTGGTGGTGGTGGTGGTTTTGTTTTGTAAATGGCAGTGGTTGTTCTGTGGTGGTGACAGTGGTGATTCCAGTAATAGTATGAGTAGTAGCAGCAGCAACAGTAGAAGTAGAAGTCGTAGTCAAAGAATATTAGTAATGGAAGTAGTAACTGATTGATTGTCATTCTAGAAGTTGGTGACTCAGTAAGAAAACGTACAACTTTATGGACAACAACTTCTGGTTTATTGCATATCGCCATGTTTCGGTGTATAAGGTATAATATATGCAGGATATGTTGTGATGTAGATTCTTACACCGTTATCAAGCTGGAGTGACAACAACCAAGTGATGAGAGGTATAATATATGCATGATATGTTGTGATGTAGATTCTTACACCGTTATCAAGCTGGAGTGACAACAACCAAGTGATGAGAGGTATAATATATGCATGATATGTTGTGATGTAGATTCTTACACCGTTATCAAGCTGGAGTGACAACAACCAAGTGATGAGAGGTATAATATATGCAGGATATGTTGTGATGTAGATTCTTACACCGTTATCAAGCTGGAGTGACAACAATCAAGTGATGAGAGGTATAATATATGCAGGATATGTTGTGATGTAGATTCTTACACCGTTATCAAGCTGGAGTGACAACAACCAAGTGATGAGAGGTATAATATATGCAGGACATGTTGTGATGAGCAACAGATTAACATTGATAACAGGTAATAGATAACAAGTAGCATACAGATTATTGGATGAAGCCAGATGTACAGTGAGAATAACAAACAGCACACGGGTAATGAAGCAAGTGGGTAATGAAGCCAGATGTACAGTGAGGATAAGGAAAAAACGGATTAAACAGTTGTGACAATCTGATAGGGTCCTTATTAAAATTATCTTCATAGGGAGACGACATGTTGATACGACATGTTGATCGAAGGTTTGTGACGGCGTAAGTGCTGACGTTTGGCTGACAGGAATTGGATTTTGTTAAACTGAATGTGATGTCTAGGGAAACTTGGCTGGTGGTCTGAGAGGGCTGAATTGTTGTCTGCTTTAGCTGTCGAAGACTTATGTTCCTTGATGCGAGTATCTACTGGACGGGAGCTTTCACCAATGTACGAGGCGCCACAGCATTGTTGGTGGTGGTAGTTGTGGTCTTCATTTCATGTCTGGTGATAGTAGCAGTGGTTGACATACAGGTAGTTGGGGTAATCAGAGTGGCACTGTTAGAGTTTGTAGTGGTAGTTGTAATTGTAGTGTTGTGTGTTAGTGTTAGTGTTAGTGTTAGTGTTAGTGTTAGTGGTCACAGTAGTATCCAAGCACCTACCTCCACAGAGCAATAAGCTGAAGTCAACAGAATACAGGTCAAGGTAGGTGTCAATCTGGAACACGTTGTCTTGGTTGTTGCCAGCAAGGCTGACAAGATCCGAGCTGCTGATATCGTCACCGACGCCGATAACGACAATCTCATATCCTGCACTACGGGCGGAGCTGACAGCGTTGATGGCGTTGTTCAAACTGAGTGGAGGACCATCGGTGACGAGAATTAGTGCCTTCGAGTTGCTTCTCCCGGCCTGGTCCAGGAGTCTCTGGGCCTCGACAACGCCGCTTGTTGTCCTGGTCCCGCTTAGAGGAAAGTCCAAACCATTTATCTCGGCTTTTACTACCATCTTGTTGGTGTTCGGGGCAGCCTGACTGCCGATCTCGGTACCAAAGATAGTCACGCCAATGGCGTTGGAAACGTTCTCATAACGATGGATGGCGCTCTTCAGATAGGCCTTGACGATGTCCTGGTGGTGGCAGAGACTGTCGGAACCATCAACCACGAACATAAAATCACGACAATCTGAAAAAGAAAAACATTTATTGTGTAGATTCCTAGAGAATCTAGCAACTAATATGAGAACAACGTTGCTGCAACCCAATTGCAATTTATTATGAAACGAGGTTTTCTGTACGAGAAGTGACACAGTTGTCCCAGTGGTCTAAGGCTAGCCTGAGTTGCGTCCCTTAGCAGTGGGAGGATGTTTTTGTCATGTCAACAACTCATAAAGATACTCTAAAAAATCTATCAATGTTCATTTATCGTGCTATGTTAATTAGAATATGACCTGTTAAACGGATATGTAACCACTCCCGAAAACAGAATTGTACTATGGGCCTGAGGCCTTTCAGTATGGAATAAAACGTATCCTATCCTATATGTTTTTGATAAAGCTGAACATAAGCACTGTTATTTTATGCCTGTAAGTATATTGTAAATACTGTCATCCCGAAACACTTACTGGACGTGGCTCCGATCCCGGGGAGAATGACACCTGCAACAGAACATGAGATCATTGTAGATCTGCCACAATCACCCTCCGAGACGAACAGCATTTTCTACATATTACTGGCATACGTTCCCCCCTGTCACATGACACATACAAACCTTCTTTGGTAAACCATTTGTCAATGCAAATCAGTAATAAGGTAATTTCAACAGAAGAAACCCGAATCAGCAACATATTTAGATTTATATTAATGAACATGTCATCTTTCATTGCCAGTCTACAAAATCACAATCAATCCAGTACAACTGAATGTAGTCCAATACAACTGAATGTATTCCAATACAACTCAATGTAGTCCTAAACAACTCAATGTTGTCCAATACAACTCAATGTAATCCAAAATAACTCAATGTATTCCAGTACAACTCAATATATTCCAATGCAACTCAATTTAGTTCAATACAACTAAATGCAATCCAGTACAAGTCAATTCAATCGCAATTTTACAAATCTGTGATCAAAGGAAGTCCTTCCATTAACACCTGTAATACCCACCTGGGCACATGAGGATGTCGCTCCAGTCGATGGAAGTGTTACCGTCCTGGATCCGACTTGAAATCTTCTTCTGTAGGCTGATTTGGGGTTCCTCAATTCCAAGGCTGATGATGAAGATGCCCTCCAACCAAGACAGAAGAGCCTCGTTGACGGTTGCGTGGAGGTTGTAGGGACAGCCGTCGGAGATGACAACGATGACGTTACCTTCCTTCTTGTACTGTTCTAGAAGCTGCCGTGAGCGTCTTAGGGCCGTTGTTAGTTCTGTCTTGTCCCTTGGTTGCTGTAGGTTGTCGATGTCGTTGTACAACTGTTGGAGCTGAGCGTTGTTGCGAGTTTGGAGAGGCATCTCACGGTAGATGCCGTCGCTGAAGAAGAGGACACCAACGTCGGTGCCAGCGAAAGAAGATGTCACGGATCTGATTTCACGCTTCAAGTAATCCTTGGCCTTCTGGAAGCCATTCAAAGAGACGCTGTCGGAACCATCGACGACGAAGACAACGTTCACGGGGCATCTCTTGACTTAAATACAAAGACGAAGCTGTTCTTGTTATGGTCAAAGGCATACCATACTGTTATTCCCCTTACTTCAAAGTCAAATTTTCAGTTGCTAATGGCAAAGAAAATGAATCTAGTACATGTTTATTTAACGTATGCTACAGATATTTGGCCGATAAAGCGTGATGTCATTTTAGAATCCTAACCTGGAGAAACAAATAAGGTAGGGGGGTCTATACATTAAATAGACACCCTTTCTCCGATGTAGTTATGTCCCGTGATTCGGCATCTAATGGGTTTGCTGCGCAGAGCTGCGTCCCCATTAAGTGTCAGAAGAATCCTAGGATCGCGAGTTCAAATCCCAGATTCGCCCTGATTATGTTTCTAGGTTTGTCAGCACCCTACATGTGCTTGTGGGTTTCACCACAGTGGTAAACTCCTGAAACCAGCATCATTTTGGGCTTTCCTCCCACACAAAGTTGTCACGCCGTGATTTGACTGGAATACTAGACAAAGCAGCCTTGAACCTAACTCACTCATTCAACCATTCATTACCCTTTTGTTTCCATTATGATTTATTTGATATTTGCACACAGATTCAAACGTCACGGTTTTTTAGTATTGACGCATTTCATTCTATTTTAACTACTTGCTTTTGAAATTTGAATTCACAGGCACCGTTGTTGACTACCTTCTCCTATTGCCAACTCAGATCCACGTGTTTACATACCTTTAGTTGATCCCCAGTTGTAAAACTCGAAACCCCAACTCCTGGCCGTAGGTTTAGATTTTGGCCTCATTTGTTGACCAGCAAGTGAGTCCACCCATCCCCTAAGTAGTTTGGCGTCTTGACCATAGTTCCCCGTGAGTGCCCCGGCGTGAGCGTGACCTGCCAGGCACACGATGGCGCATACCGCCATCCACATCTCCATTCCTTTGGTGTCTTGCTGAATTAAAGAAAGTACATTTGCAATTAATTGAATTTTACTGCAAACGTCCATCTATCCGTCTTGCAATTATGCTCTTCCCTGTATTGCGTTGGTCAATTATGTGGGTGGGGTGTGTCCAGGTGTCTAGTACTCTTGGTTGCCTCATGTTATAAGGCTGCGTGTCTGTCTGCGAGTGTTCATTGGGCGTGGGTTCCCAGATAAACCCTCGTTATGCTCCTTGGCTGTCACAAAAGGGGCTAGGGGCTTACTTTTGGAATTAAAAGGCAAGTTTTCGTGTAACCGGACAGTTTTTAAAACGCCTTGAACCAAAAGATTACGATTTTATATTGCTTGTCCACTGAGTTACCAAGCCGCAGTTTAACATGACTACCCCACCCAGACACGGTATACTGACTCCGAGTCCTTGTATATGGCTCTTAATGCTGGGCGCCAGGCAGGGTAACAACAAGTACCATCTGTTAACGGCGTTTGGCATGACGCGGCCGATGATCGAACCCCCGACCTTCCGCTCTCCTGGCAGACGCTCTACCACTAGACCACGGAGGTTGTCGATAAGATGCGGACTGGAAGCGGCCGATAAGATGCGGACTAAGATACACATTATGGTACGTCTGAAATCTTTCTATGTGAATTAACTAAATGGGTTGAAAAATTCAAATCCTAAAGTGTATTTAAATTCAAGTCTTTTTATGTAGGACACAACCCGACACTTGGTTAAACTTACTTTGAAGAAACACAAGGCGTCGTTAATAATAAAGTGTTAAAAACTTAAGCTGATCAGTGGAACCATAAGGAGATACTCGGCTTTGGTCAATTGCAGAACATTGGATACAAAATTGCCGCTAAGTCAAATGATTTGATGAACATAATCTTTCAGTTTATGTTCCATTTCTGGTGTACCCCGTCGTGATATGGCTGGAATATTGCTCAAAGCGGCGTAAAACCATACTCACTCACTCACTCACTCACTCAGTTTATGTTCACTCTAATTAAACAGGTACAATGTCACAAAATGTTCAGCGTCAACACCTTCACTACAAATAGCCCCGCCTTGAGAAAGGCTTACTTACGCTGTGGGGAATTATACATAATAACTAATTCTACATTAGAACACGCGTACTACTCGCATTGATTATAAATAACAACTCATACTTGTGTACAGATGATAGAATACATGTTCTGTTGGAACCACTTGACTCACATCACTGCCAGGAGAATTAAAGAACCATTCAAATGCATCTCTTGTATTAAAGATGATTAAATAAAACCAAACTTTGGTCTAGGGTAGTGATACTGCAACACCATCTCTGCACACTGGTATATATATAAAAACTAAAACATACCTTTAAAGTCTGCACTACGAAAGTTCTTTACGAAAGTAGTGTACAACAGGACAATCAGAAAACGTCTAGTCACTTGGCCGTTTGTCCGAGCACTAGTCGTGTTAAAAGTTGGATTAATCTAGTCACACAATTCAAGAGGGGCACTTCATAGGCCTACGTCATTTTACCAAATGGCATGAGAATGTGTTTGTTTAGGGATGCGTGATTTGAAAGTTTCATGGGTTGTTCAAACTAGAAGCTATCGTGTCCAGGCTAATTGCAGGGCCACCACACTGTACGTTCATTGAGCGTTAATTGGGGATAAGGGGGACAGAAGAGACATGACGGGACTTGGCGTTTGTTCTTGGGGTGGAGCTCACATCCACGGTGTTAACTGGCCTCTGGCGACCTGTGACGTCATGGCCCGCCTCAAGAAATCCTGTAGCTACCACGGAGAAGCTTGTTGACAGGACCGCATGAAATTTCCACTTACACAATGGCTTCATGAGGTTAAAAAAATCCGCTCTTTAAAACAAAAATGTTTTCCATAAAGAAATATGTTATTTTCAAAACATTAACATGCCTACCAGACCAGGATCTGATGCCAGGTGTAAAGCAAATAAGTCATTTTGCTATTACTATATATATATCGATACGAAATGTTTATGAACATTATATCTTTACAATGTCTTTATGAAATAGTAAATGTAATCGTTCATACTTTATTCAGAAATAATAGCTGACAAATACTTCACTCTCACGCCAACCCTCTTAAAGCAACCATGCAACGGTAGATATTACTATATCCACTTGGGATACGATCAATGTGCCTCAGGCGCATTGCGGGTACCAGATGTAGTGACTGCTCTAAGCTGTTGTCATGAGAATACTATTCGATATTGCCATTGCAAAAACAATTCCAACCACAAACAAAACAAAAGTTCTCTGAGTTTTGGAAGGTGAAATATGTCAGCATTCTATTAAAACCTAAGTAACATGATAGTTAGGGGTGCAAAGACGACTCACACTGTTTTAGATTTCCAATATAAGAACTGTAGATCGGATGATATTTCGATCATCGGAGGTACAAACCGTACTATCATTATTGTTATAGTTATAATAATGATAACGATAATTTAGTGATTACTGTGTAACATCGTTAACCCGAAGTTCAGATGACCAACGTCGATGCATCGAATTGACCAATGTTAGGCCATTCTCAAGTGACATCGTAAGCGATATATGGGGCAAAGTAGGGTTGAGTTCACCAGGGTTCAGTGTACAGTCGAACACATGTCTATAAGTCATGTAGCATTCAGTATTCTCTACTCGCCGTACATTGGACCACAGACGTAGCGGTTAAAGTTAAGGGGTTATGTGATTCAAAAATGACCTTTCTCTAAACCTTTATACCACATGGTTTATATTTATACACACCAATGTAGGTTTTAAACACGATGTGTGGGGGACGCATAAGAACTTAGCAATCCAATTAAGAATGAAGAATAGATATTTCTGCCTCCTACAAACTAACGACAACGCTGAGACGAGCGGCGACCTGTGGGCATGTGAAGGGCAAGCATCCAGAGAATAATAGTCGTCCCGTGCATTGAAGAACGCCAAGCAAACAACATGTGCCCCGCGATGTTGATGCTGATAAGGAGTATTTGGTCGTCACGCCTATCCACGTTTACTATTCGGGAGGAGGTCAAGAAACCCCCCATCTTTTTAAACTTTTGCAGCAGAGCGATACCCAGATTGAGGCACCCTCACCCAATAGGATATCTCTTATCGTTTCGATGTGTTTAGGTACAGCTGTAAGTTACTTTCCGGATTATTACAGTTCCCACTTTCACACACACCTTCCGTGGTTTAATTACGTCTTTTGATCTTCAAACAAGGTGACGCGGTTCGTGTTTATATGGGTAAGAGTTTCACAAGCTGAGGACGGCCAGTTCATGTTTACTCGGTTGGGAATGACGGGGGTCATTTCTCGGGGACTTTACAGATTGTGTACGAAGAATTCCTCAGTGTGTAAGTGACACGGTGACGTATTAATACGGTCACGGATTACGTCATTGTTTGTTTGATTATTTGTTTGTTTAACGCGTATTCAGCAATATTCTAGTTATATCATGGCGGCCTGAACATAATGGTGTCTGGAAGCAGACTATCCAGTCAATGATATAAAGGCCAAGGTCCCACCCCGTCGGAGAAGCATAACGGGCAATCACGCCACCGTGTCTGACCACCCGATCCATTTTAGTCGCCTCTTATGACCTGCATACCTATGGGGACCTATAGTCGTACCTGAAATCACCACACCAGACAGAAATCAGAAACAATCAAAGCTTGTACATTTATTTCAGTGACTCGTCTACAGAACAGACAGAGCATTGTTTTAATGTTGGAAGCATTGGTATGAAATCTGTGAAACACAACAACTATATTATTAACTGATCAACTAGATTCTACGACAATGGCACGCACAGTTGCAAAATCGGACACTCGTTTGATGGGGTTGCATATATGTAAGTGTCAGTCGATATGAGGCATTCGTTTCTCAACGTTTACAAGAGCGGTGACTAAGGGTCGGTCAATAAATGTTCGATAAATGAATGGCGATCTGGGACTGACCCCCTATTGTAAGACAGTTGATAGGTTAAGAAAGGCGTTTTGTAATATTGGATTGGTGCACGTGTTGAATACCGTTGGTAGAAGTAACACAAGCTTTGTCTGTGGAGGAATAAGTATATAACATCTGGGAATGGTTTACTCAACAAGCATCTATGTCCGCAAAATCGAGGTGAATTAAAGTATTCATTGAAAGTATTATTATTGCGCTGAAGTGTATGTTTTAAACCAAATACCCCGTGATTATAGATACACATAACCACAATTTAGATGGGGTGTGTCTCTTCGGACACAAACTGACAGACATGAAAGTGTACCCCTGCAGAGGAACTGTTTTAACTGTTCAGGTGACATTGAGTCACATGTACGTTTTCACTGCGTTTTATATATATATATATACGGGCAATCACGCCACCGTGTGTATATATATTTAATCATGTGTTTCGGTATTTAAAGTGTATACAGGCATTATTTATTATGATCAAATGTACAGAGCTAATCCCTGTCTTGGCCAGATACACTTCTCAGGTGCTGATAGGGGAAGGAGGTCTCCTTATATTAGGGACATATCAGTAACACGGCGTAACCTTAGCATTAAACAATGTAATGACTGCCATCCAAGCACCAGTGAAAACACTCCCCCTCCCAGGATTCAGCTTTGATAGTCGTCTACCACCTCCTCGCGGACAAATGTAGCCTCCATCTAACTTAGAAATTTACAACAATGTTTTGTTTTTATACAAACAAATTTAAACTTTAGAAAAATATTCAATTTTTGAAATACCTACGTACTTTCCAAAGGAGTTTGCTATCTGTGTTACTAATCTAGCCACATTGTCACCAATGTGATATTTGCTTTTCTTTGATTGAAGGGACAGTTGTTCTGTGTGGAGAAATGTCTTAAAACTACATGCCCTTTCCACATCCAGTATGTCATTATCTGAGAAAAACTGTAGTTCACCATGGTGCAGCGATTTCCCACGTAGTGCTACACGGCAACTCAAATGGGGGCTTTCTGGTTGGATTGGGTTCACCATGTAA